ACGCGCGCGCAAAGTTTCAAAAATCGCGATACAATCGTATGAAAATCGTATCGAAACGCAATTTTGGCTCCATTGTTCATTGCGTTGAACGGCAAAGCATACATCCTAAATTCCTCGTTCTACGTTAATTGCGCAACACGCCGCGAATTTGCACACGCGACATTATCTCCTTCGCGCTCGCTTATAAAACTCGGCATGATTCAGGCGTTGCATCATGAATGAAATCGCGGACTATGGTCCACTAGAAGCGAGGGATGTATCGTGAATTATTCATGGCATCGAATAAAAACATAAGCGGCGAAAGACAAGCGACTCATCGCAACATACTTTTTCAGCGGCTTTTGCGAAAGAGAGTTTGCCAAATCGCGTCGATTCTATCGTCATCGCCGATGATTGCGCGCCGATTTCTGCTTCGTGGAACCTGCCTTATGTACAACCAACGAATTTGAAAGTAGTTCACTAAAGATAAAGATATCGAGATAGCCCCTCTTTTCGCCCTTACCAAAACCTGAGATTTTGGAGCAGTGTTTGCTGTTGTGTAAATCAAATTAGATAGATAATCATGTAGATGAAATTTTGACGTAATCTTTACGTAGATAATAAAAATATATGTATTATCTATATCTGTATTTTTGATAGAAAAAAGTGTTATTTTTATTTTAAATTATCTAGATTAATGTTCAGATAATTTTTCAGAGTTTGGAGTCAAAGTGGCTGAGCTTAAGCAATACAAACTTATAAATAAAAATATAAATATATTTTCAGATTCCTTTTATAATTTACATTTTTTTATATAACTGGGTTTACAGAAACGATTTTAAAAATAATATTACCTGAAAGTTATCTCTATATGAATGGCCATATAATTTTATCTTTTATCTACACGAAGAGAATTTTCTCTTATTGTTAGAATTTACCCTGAAAATCATGGTAATCATAGACAATATGGTATTGGAAGATTTTATAAGAATTTCTCTGATTAATATTTATCACAATAAAAAAATACATATTAATATGTACATAGTAAAATTAATCGAACATATTTTATGTTTTATTGTAGCAGATATTACTATTTTTATTGTGGTAAATATTAATCAGAGAAATTCTTATAAAATTCTTCCAATATTGTCCATGTTTACCATGATTTTCAGGGTAAATTCTAAAAGAAAATTCTCTCCGTGTATACATATTTAAAACAAAATCATCTTCAAATTCACCCATTTTCATCTCATCTTTATCTAACTAATTTTAAAATAATCCAAGCACAACACTGTGTTTACGACGGCCTTTCTCGAAATCTAATCGGCGGCGCGCGCAAAACTTATTCCTCGCTCCTCGTTATCGGACGGTCAGCGGAAATGACATTTTTCGTCGAAACGCTACAAAAGCCCGGGCATCCGATAGCCACCCTCCAGGGCCGCGAAAGAAAATTATGTCGAAACTGGAGCCGTAACATTAGGAGCATTGTATTGTTGCGCGAGGCTACGGCTCTCCTGGGAGTAGGTTGGATGGTTGGTCCATTCGTTGGTCCTTCTCTCTCTCTCTCTCTCTCTCTCCTTTACGTTCTCCTCCTCTTCTTCGCACGTACACAGACGCGCCGGAAATACAGACGGAACGGGACATACCCTCAGGTGGTGCTTGGGACCGGCAAATGAATCGTTTAATTGAATTAGTCGATGAGCCCGCGTTACGACGCGCATTATAATTTCTACGGCTGCCGATACCAGTTTCTCACTTCCCGCTTCCTCAGAAATCATATTCCGGAAAACCCGGTGACGGTCAAACCTTCCCGTACATGTAATACACAGGATTACGTAATTTTGCAATTTTTCGGACAATTAATTCTCGATAAATGTTCAGTCTTTTAGAAAAATAATTTTCCGGACTATATCATTTTTTTATAAGATACATAAAATCGTAATACAAAGAGAAAGGTGAAAGAGATAAATAAGATTTTTATCAATAATTATGAGGGTAATTTGTTTGACAAAAATTCATTGTCATTTATTAAAATCACATATTATATGGATTGAGAAAATTTTTCCAAGAGATTTATTTATATAAAAAAAAATCCTGAGCGATTTGCTGCGTATGTATCGGGTTCGCGGATTCCATGACAGCGTAGGGAAACGATGTTATCCTCGCGGTAATCTGGCCGATTATTACGCGCAGCTGGCATTTCTCTCGTCGAGAGAGAGAGAGAAAGAGAGAGTGGTGGCGACTCGACGATTCGAATCCGCGAAGAAGAAGAAGAACGAAGAAGAAAGGGAGGGTTGCGGATATCCGAGGGAGCGAGAGCTCGTCATAGCTCTCTGCTGAATTATTGATGGGCAGCACTTAAGAGAAGGCGAGAGGACGTTAGCTCTCGGTGGATCCTTTCTCGAGGATCGCCAAGGATATCCGGGAGGGACCAGCACCACCACCACCATCATCTGTGGTCCCGCGGGACTTTCGGGACTCGCGTGAGGCCGCCCAATTCCAACCAATTTGACCGAAAGTTGGGCGTAATTTTATTTTCACACGTCTGCAGACGCTTCACCGCGCGAGCCCGAAGTGTACGAACGGACGAGGGCTGCCGTGTGCTTAGGCTTAGCTTTCCCAACTTCCGCTTCTCCTCGGGGGATAGATTCGACACGGTCAAAGGAAGCGCCGCCACCCCTTGTTCCTTCTATTCTTTATCTTTAATCGTTCTTTTGTTGTATACGGAATCATTTTTATAGAATTTGCTCGGTCAAATCTATGTCTTAGGAAAATGTCTTGAAAAATGTGCGTTTGATGCTGTGGAAGAAAAGTTGGAGTGCAAAGTGTACGTAGTCTATCATTCGAAAACGCGGCCTCAAGAGGGAAGAATCTGTCATTATCCCTTTGGGACGAAGACGAAAGTCTGGTTGGTAAAGGAAACTTTGCCAAGGGAGGATCGAGTGTCGCGGAATGCCTGTGAAATGCCAAAACAGGATTCTGACACTGTGGCAGCTTGTATTATCAGTAGGGGGATGTTCTCTCTCTCTATCTCTTCTCCCTCTTCTTCCGTTTTTACGACTTCCGATCCCTGTTCGCAGTCGAGAATGGTCATAATGGGTTACCATCGTGTTGGCAAATCTCGCGCGAGGGAGGAAAGGTATATCGGTGTTTTACAGTCGTTAAGCGCAATAGCGAACGAATAAAAATCCCATCGCGTTTCGAATCATTTCGGTCCAGGACAGACGTTTCCGCTCCCCATCGAACAACGACGGAAGTTAGTTAATGGGCTAAACTCTTAACTCTGATGCCTTCCTGGGGACAGATTTCGCGCGCGGTTGCCCGTTTTTCGGTTTACCGAGAGTGTTCTCGAATAAAAAAGAGTTAATTGCGTCTCGTTACTCGAGACGAGAGGGACAAAGAGTTTGAATCTGAAAAATTGGGCTAAAAAGTTTATAAAACAAGAATTTAATAAGATCTATCCGGCATACCTTGGGAAAAATTTTATCTTAGTATTTACCTTGAAAGTCATGGTAATCGTGGGACAATATGGTAGATATTGGAAGAATCTTATAAGAGTTTCTCTGATTAATATTTACCACAATAAAAAATATTAATATGCACATAGTAAAATTATTAATCGAACATATTTTATATCTTATTGCGTTGGATATTAATATTTTTATCGTGGTAAATATTATTTAGAGAGACAAACTCTTACAAAATTCTTTTAATATTATATCGTCTTAGATTACCACGATTTTCAGGGTAAATTCTATAAGAGAAAATTCTCTCTGCGTGGGAATCTAAAAAATTATAACAAATAACTGAACGAGATCTTTATTCGGTACATCCTGGTGATACGCTTAAGATGAGGGCTATTCGCTCTAGAGGTTGATGACTACAAGAAAGTCCACAGAATTTACCTTGAAAGTCATGGTAATCGTGGGACAATATGGTAGATATTGGAAGAATCTTATAAGAGTTTCTCTGATTAATATTTACCACAATAAAAAATATTGATATGTACATAGTAAAATTAATCGAACATATTTTATATCTTATTGCGATGGATATTAATATTTTTATCGTGGTAAATATTATTTAGAGAGAGAAACTCTTACAAAATTCTTTTAATATTATATCGTCTTAGATTACCACGATTTTCAGGGTAAATTCTATAAGAGAAAATTCTCTCTGCGTGGGAATCTAAAAAATTATAACAAATAACTGAACAAGATCTTTATTCGGTACATCCTGGTAATACGCTTAAGATGAGGGCGATTCGCTCTAGAGGTTGATGACCACAAGAAAGTCCACATAGATTTGGCGCAAACGCCGGGCGTTTCATTGGCCGGCGGTTTACATAGTTGAAAATGTAAAACCGGTGCCGAGAGAGGGACCGGGGTCCACCCGGGGCGTGGTTACGTTACGTTCGATGTTCTCTACATTCGCCGGCTTGTCAGTAAACACGGGCTTCATAGCGCTTTTGAATAATGTATGCCGTTTAAGCGGTGGCGCACTACGACACGCACTATCTCGCCACGCCTCTCCACCTTTACACACCTATTTGCGCGACCGCATAATTTCAGCTTCGCGTCGTATGTACTGTACGTATATTTGCGCGAAATAACTCCCACCCCTAAGAAAAAGGTGTACTTTGCTATTAAGGGAGCGCGAAGATCCCTTAAAAGAAGCGCGGACTCGCGTAGGAATGAATTTGCGGGCCGATCGCCGTCTTTCTTTTCTATGACCGACTTATATCATGACCGAATTCATAAGCAGACGCTTGCATTTAACCGATAGTCCCGGGGAAAAAAGAAACGCCGAGCTTATATACTTTATGCTGCTATTTTAAATCGGAGGATCGAGCATTTTTTTTTTTTTGCGCATTCGGAATTATTTCTCTGGGGACTACTCTGTAGCGAAAACTTGCCATCCACATGTAATAACGATTTATATATACTTTGTATAATCTCCGTCGGAGAAATGTGCATTGTTTCGCCGCTGTAACCGCTGTCCGTGTGTGTTTGAATTTACAGCATCTTGGAGTTGCGCAAGGAGAAGAGCCGGGACGCGGCGAGGTCGCGACGTGGTAAAGAGAACTTTGAGTTCTACGAGCTCGCGAAAATGCTTCCTCTACCGGCGGCCATTACCTCCCAGCTGGATAAAGCCTCCATAATAAGACTAACGATCTCGTATCTCAAACTCCGCGATTTCTCCAGTCACGGCGATCCGCCGTGGTCCCGCGACGGCCCACCGCCCAGCAAATCTGTCAAAGGTAAGATAAAGTACGAGTCGCGCATATCCACTTACTTATCCTTTTTCTCCAAAAACTGTATTTCAAAAATGCAATCTCGAGTCTACGTAGAGAAATCTTCTCTTTTTTTCACCATCTCCAATTTAGCCGGATGATGGTTGAATGAAAGCTTTTGATTAGTATATTAAAATATGTTAAACAATTTTTTAAATATATATATATATATATATATTTATTAAATATTTATTTCAATCTGTCAAAGGTAAGATAAAGTACGTGTCGCGCATATCCACTTACTTATTGTAGCGAGAAAATTTTTTTTCTCCAAAAACTCTATTTTAAAAATGCAATCTTGAGTCTACGTACAGAAATCTTCTCTTTTTTCACTATCTTCAATTTAGTCGGATGATGGTTGAATGAAAGCTTTTGATTAGTATATTAAAATATGTTAAACAATTTTTTAAATATATATATATATATATATATATAATTTATTAAATATTTATTTCAATATTGCCTTATAAATCATTTACTTGAACCTAATATTGATTTGATGTGAATAACTATTTATTTGATATAAGAAAACAGATAAATATTTATTTGTTGCAAATAAATGATTTATAAGGCAGTATTGAAATAAATATTTATTATATAATCATGTTGAAACGTTTCGAAGAAATAAGCGATCTATAAAATTTGTTAGCCACAAATAATTTATATTACTATAAAATAATCGAACTTTTCACAAACATGTGCTTGTTCAAGCGCATTTCAATACCTTCTAATGTAGAAGTTTTATTTCTTTTTTTTTCTGTTCGATTTGCTGTAATTTTAAATGTCCATATGTTGCTAATAGTTTTGAAACTTGCTTCAACATATTTTTTTTAAATTAATCTACCAATCTTAAACTTTACAATAAGCCATCATTTAACTCCAATTGAAGATGATAAAACAAAGGGGAGGAATTTAGCTGCATTCTCTTTAAATTTGTGAATTATATAATTCTTATCCTCTTATTTTCTGGCATATGTAATTAACGAATATAAGATTATCTTATCCACTTATTTTTATTTCTGTCACTCTATCTATTTAATCGCGATATAGAGCATCGCGATCTTCCGAGCGGAACATTTTGTTTTAATTCATTACGATAGACATGTAATCCGGGAAGTCGGCTCGATGAAGATATATCTGCCGATGATGTCTCTTGATGGATCAGCGTTTAACCTCGGAAAGGGGGAGTCATCCGAACTGTTAATAGGGGGGATCAGGACCCATATTCCGTGAACCTAACTTTCTCTCCAGGGATAAGAATAAGAGAGGAAGTCAGCCGCGTTATAATTCCTTTACGCTCGCGTCGTCTGCAGTAGAGTAAACTAGTATTGCGGCGGACACGCGCGAAATGTATCGTCGCACAATATTTTCCCGCGCGAGTAATACATACTTGATACCTTTCGACACATTTTTTTTATATTTTTTATATTTGCATATAATAATTTTATATTCTGCAAGTTAGAGATATAATTTTTTCAGAAGAAATAAAAGTAGGAAAATCTAAAATTTAGTACGGCAAGAGTTTATAAGAGCCAGGCACAGATATTCTGCGTAACAAACTTGTTTTTTATTTTTCTCTAATTAATTTGAACATTTTCAGTCCTTTTTTGGATCATCCTGAATATCGATTATAAAAAATTCACGTGTTTTGAATTTCACATCCCTTATAAGTTCTTAAATCGAACGCAGATAGCAAGAAGAACAAGGAACGAATATTCTGAACAATCAGCAATATTCAAAATCAATTAGTAAAAAAATCTACGTTTTGATATGTCAAGGATGGTCAAAAAAAGAACCGACACGTTCAAAATAATTAAGAGAAAAATTAAAAGTTTGTTTTGCTCCTGGCTTTTATTAACTTTTTCATGTCTGATTTTGTATTTATACATATACACAGAAAGAATTTTTTCTTAGAATTTATCCTGAAAATCGTGATAATTGTGGTACAATATGATATTGGGAGAATTTTATAAAAATTTCTCTGATTAATAAATAATTACCACAATGGCAAAATATTAATATTTACCACAATGAGATACAAAATATGTTTGATTGATTATACTATGTACATATATGAATATTTTTTATTGTGGTAAATATTAATCAGAGAGACTTTTATAAAATTATTCCAATACCATATTTTCCCATGAGTTTTATGATAAATTCCATGATAAATTCTAAGAAAAAATTCTCTCCGTGTATATCATAGTTTTTCCAATTTTTATAAAAATAGAAGTAAAAAAAATGAGGGAAGCACATACTCCGTCTCCGATTATAGCTTTTTGACAGACACGTGTCTCCTCTATTATCCGACAGAATCGACGCGTGTCCTGTCTCTCCTGACACTTGTAATTCGATTTATAAGAATGTGCCTCGGGTAAGAGAAATTTTTTTTAGTACGCCTATCTCGCGTCTTTATATCGCGTGTTTCGCAACTACATCTGAAATAGTTTCGCGGTAACGCCAAATGAGAACTATATTGGGACACGTTTAGGATTATATCGAACAAAGAATTGGACGGTTGCTTCCTTGAAGAAGCACACGCAGACTCGTCGGCGATAGATCGAGCTTTCAGATACCCTTTATAATTCCAGTGACCATGCAGCCGGCGAGAGAGATTTCTAGAGATACATAGTAATAGAGAATTGTCGGCAATCATCGAGCGATAAGATCGCCGCGGGTCTCTTTCATTTTCGTGCTTCATTTAGCGAAAAGGGAATAGAGCTGCTACCGGCTTACTTTGGCGCACTTTCGCTTCGTCGCTCTCTCGCAATCTTTTTCTTCATTAATGTAGATGCACCGTTACGCTCTATCGGTTTTATGTGTTTTTCGGATTTTATTGCAAGGGTCAAGTCGATTGTTTTTTTTTTTTTTTAAGAAAGAATAGACTTATATTACACTGTTCAACAAAAAATTACTTTTTCGAACACCAGAATGATATACGTTTCTTATAGTTTTTTGGATACGAATCCGGTTTCCACGTCACAATTTTGAGAAATTTTTAATTAAAGTCATATTATAACTATGATATGTGACGTGCTGGACAAGTTTTATTGCAATCAATATAAAGTATGTTGTTAGGACTTTTAATCCTCAGAAGAAATTGTTCGTGTCGATTATGGTTAATAAGATATCGATGATTAATTGTGAGCTGTGTTGCGGAAGTTATCTGTGACTTACAATTAGATGACGATTTACTGAATATCTTTTAAGGATTTCGTAGACCATTAAATACGACTTCAGTGTCAAAATTGTCAAATTCAAAATGATACTCGATATGGAGAATGTCAAAATTTTAAAAATGCTTTTTTTATACAAATCCATATACAGCTCATATTTAACCATGGATATCTTATTAATCGACACCGAAAATTCCTTTCGAGAATAATTAAAAGTCCTATAACAATATACTTTATTTGGATTTCAATAAAACTTTTTATTGAAAAAGCCTTTTTTACAACTTTAATTAAAAATTTCTCAAACTTGTGACGCGATAAAATAATTTGGAAACTAGACTATAGTATTTATAGCAAAACCATAAGAAACTAGTCTCGTCCGGTTAATGTTTTCTGAACAGTAGTGCTATATCGACCGAAGATTGCGAACAGGAATAAATGCAGCCTGTCTACTCGATGAGAGAAAAATCCTTTCCCCATGAAGGGAAATCGTAAAGATCGGGAAACCTCACTCGCTCGTCGCCGCATATTTTCGGAGTGCACAAGGGTGCTGGTTGAGTTAATATTTACAGTGCGGGAGGGTCGCGAAAAACGTTAGAGAGAGGTTCCGCACGTACGCGGGTACGTATAAAGGCTTAGGTATAGATGCGTCTTGCTCTTTCTCTCTCTCTCTCTCTCTCTCGTCTACCACTATCCGCATGAAAATCTAATCACGACAACCCCTATACGCGCGCAAGGCCTCGCGTTACCAACCGCCAATGTAACTAAACTAACAAAATTGAGTTAGGTGCCGCGCATCGCTGCCGCAACTCCTCGTCAAACTAAATCCAGTGCCACCCCTCTTCTATTCACAGCCGCATGTCAGGACCAGTAGTCGAGGCTTCTCGACTTAACCGAGTAAAATGATTCGAGATTTCGAGAGACGGAACAGAGATAGACCTCGCTTCATTCGCGAGGTATTTCGGGCTCTAGACAGGCTGTTCAAAAAAAAGGATTACACACTTCGATAGCAAATGGTATTGATCGAAATAAGAAAAAAATGTGCAATGAACCTGGATCTAATGAACATTTTTTCTGCTTGAGCTTATTGCCCTTAAACGAAAGAATATTTACTATAGGTTTGCATTTTCCAGTCCTACGTCTCACGTATTCTTTCAAACACCTGGTAATTCTTAACTTTACTGACATGCATTAAAGACTTCATATTGATATCTATATAAATACCTACAATTCTAATGTTGTTATGAAATGTTACTGTAGTGAGAACAACAAGCGCAAGTAGAACAATAGCTTGTATCTTCGAAGATATTAATTGTAGCGTCCATGTTAGACCTCTTTTTATTCTCTCGCTCTCAAAATATGTAATCCTTTTTTTTAACACCATGTATAGAATAATCGATCAAGATGGGGGGTGGCAATTACGTGATATTTGTTCAGAAAGAATCGCGCGTACGGATATTTTTCTAGCTGCCTAAAAGCAAATATCGCGCGGTCAAGTTATATTTATCAAAATATTGTGATAAATGGCGAAGTAACGAACTGTGCGAAAATGTCGACGTGCTAAATCCACCTTTTCGACCGAAAGATGGAACCTCATCCTTTCATCGGTTCTTCTTCTTTTTCTACAAAGAAAAGACACACGTATCGCAAAACCAAACAAATTCCAAATGCATCCTTAAGGATCAAGTGTGCGAGGATTCGCGAAAGGGGCATTATGATTAGGAGAACAAAGGCATTCGTCAAGACAGACGAAATCCAGTTAGATTAGACCCAGAGAGTCCGGCCTTAAATATATATACGGTAGGAAATATCGGCATTACCTTGTTGACCGAAAACCCGAACTGCTAGGGTCAGCCCGACGAGTCGAGCCATTCCGTCTCTCATCCCGATGGACTTACGAGATTAAGCGGTTCGCGCGCCAAGTTTGATCGAGTCTTCTAAGTCTTTCATTACGGTGCTACTGGGGAGCGTGGGATTATTATTACGGTAAGAAGTAGCCTTGTGCGTCTTGTTTGTTAAACGAGGGGAGAAAAGAAGGCGCAAAAGGGGTCGACGCGGCTTCGTACGTCCGTGTGAGTCACGTATCGCTGATCAATCGAGGATACCTTTCTCGATAAGCGTATGCCAGTTCGTCGTAACTGTTCACTATTGTGTTACCTTATACTTCCTTCGAAGATGTTTCAGTTTAGACGGTAAATAATAACGCCGAATTCGCGATGATTCGCGTCCAATTGAATTCAATTTTATTACACTATGAAATCTCGCGATCGATTAGAAGAAATTCACGTTTTAATTAAATATGATGAACAAAATTATTTATTTGTCTCGTTAATCTGTATTCATATCTTGAACGTGTATTGATAACAATTTTATTCACAGGTGCTAATCGAGTCAGAGCGTCGTCGAATGCGGCAATAGAGCATTTCGAAATTCATCAAGGTACCCACATATTGCAGGTAAGTTTATTTGTTGTCTTGTTAAATAATAAAAATAAAACAATGTATTTAATGAATTAAATAATCTCAAGTAAATTTTATTTTAATCAGAATTGTACGAATCCATCGGACAAATATAAATATATATATATATATATATATATATATATATATATTAAAAATGCAGAGAAGAGATATCAGAATCAACGTAGAGATCTTCTAGAATCGACATACTTTTATTTCTCAGTAATTAAATGTATTGTACTTTATCAGAACTGATAATGAACCGATATAAGTAACTTGTTCCGCGTAATTAGTTCACTTATCAGAAGATTCTATAGGTAGAAGATTCCGCATTTCGTGCTCGTTTGTATGCTAACTCGGATTGTCGAGAATTATTAATCTTTGGCGAATTCCATGATTTAAATAGTAATAATAAAGCAGTCCTTTTTTTCTCGATAATATTATGTTTTCTAAATTTTTCCTATAATTTTCATATCAATTTTAGGGATTGATATTTCAAACATTCATGGATTTTCAAACAGGACTGTTGAAAATTAATTTCAAAGCAATAAATTTAAATTTAAAATACAAATTTGTATTTAGCCACTTTCAAGCTGAGAGCTGGAACAAAAATGAAAACTGTCACCTATATTACGATATCTTTTCTCCTCTAAATTTTCTATAATCGCAGTTATATGAATCTAGTATATCGAGCACGAAACATTTAAATGTACAATACATGCGAAACATAATTAAACATATACATATTCGAAAACGTATAGATCATCGATACTTAATAAACGTTCTTTCGAACGTCTTCTCGGAATATATTCGATTCGGAGTTCCTCAAGTGTCTCGTATTTTCTGTCGCTAGTCCCTGGACGGCTTCGCGATGGCTGTCGCGGCTGATGGCAGATTCCTGTACATATCCGAGACCGTTTCGATATATCTCGGCCTCTCACAGGTAAGCGCAGTTCGTTGTACCGGGATATCGATGAAGCCGGATGGAGGAGGCGAGAAAGAGAAAGAGACAGGAGGGTAAAACCTCGGGTTAGGGGTAGAAAAGTGATAACGATAACGAGAAAGCGAAAGCGAATAAAAAGCAACGCGTGCGTACGAATGCAACGTGTACCATCAGCCGGAAGACCAGAGATAGTAGAAAGGTATAAAGGGTACCAAGGGGGGTTGGAAGGGGGGCAGAGGGAAAAAGTTGACGGAAGAGAGAAGGAGGTTGAAACGTAGGTGTAGTAGTGGTGATATACCCGGGTTGGTGGTAGCGGTGGCGGCGATGGTGGCAAAAGGAGGTAGCGAAAGAGAGGAAGGAGAGAAGGAGGAAAAGTTGATAGCGTTGTGGAGAAGAATAAGGAGGAGAGGTCAAGGGAGGAAAAGAGGAGAAGGTTGTACGAGTTGGCGGCCATACTGGCTGGCACGACGGCGAGAGCATGACATAGAAGGGGGATGGTTGGTTGTGGATGGCGGCGGGTGGAAGAGGTGGTCGCATGCGGCTCACGTAGCCTCTGCACGGCGGCGTGTTCGCCATTCCTAATGCCGCGAGCGAGAGGAAGGTAGACACGGGGGGGAGGGAAGGAAAGGGAAGTAGTGGAGAGAGGTGGTACGGGAGGTGACCGGTGTACTAGCTCTCCGGGTTCCTGCGAAGCTCGTGGGGCAATCAATAGGGTGTTTCGGGGATTCGGAAAACCGACGGAAAGCCGACGTTGGCACAAACATGGCTGCCGCGTTTCTTCGCGAGGGGCATCATCCCTTAACGTGCCCACACATATCTCGAAGACGTTTAGAGAACATCCCGAGGATGTTCGAGGATGTCCTCCGAATATTTTCGGAATATCTTTCGAATATGTTTTGCTATCACCCTAACAGCTATCCCGAAGACGTTCAGAGAACATCCTGAAGATGTCGAATGTCCTTTGGATATTCTCTAAATATCTTTCGGATATGTTGTGCTATTAGAGAACATCCCAAGGATGTTCGAGGATGTCCTCCGGATATTCTCTGAATATTTTTGGAATATCTTTCGAATATGTTTTGCTATCACCCTAACAGCTATCCCGAAGACGTTCAGAGAACATCCTGAAGATGTCGAATGTCCTTTGGATATTCTCTAAATATCTTTCGGATATGTTGTGCTATTAGAGAACATCCCAAGGATGTTCGAGGATGTCCTCCGGATATTCTCTGAATATTTTTGGAATATCTTTCGAATATGTTTTGCTATCACCTTAACAGCTATCCCGAAGACGTTCAGAGAACATCCTGAAGATGTCGAATGTCCTTTGGATATTCTCTAAATATCTTTCGGATATGTTGTGCTATTAGAGAACATCCCAAGGATATTCGAGGATGTCTTCCGGATATTCTCTGAATATTTTTGGAATATCTTTCGAATATGTTTTGCTATCACCCTAACAGCTATCCCGAAGACGTTCAGAGAACATCCTGAAGATGTCGAATGTCCTTTGGATATTCTCTAAATATCTTTCGGATATGTTGTGCTATTAGAGAACATCCCAAGGATGTTCGAGGATGTCCTCCGGATATTCTCTGAATATTTTTGGAATATCTTTCGAATATGTTTTGCTATCACTCTAACAGCTATCCCGAAGACGTTCAGAGAACATCCTGAAGATGTCGAACGTCCTTTGGATATCCTCTAAATATCTTTCGGATATGTTGTGCTATTAGGGGCTATCGAAAGTCTCTCCTGTCTCTCGCGGAGTGGACATCTTCATTCCCGAAATGAAAGAAAAAAAAACCGTGATGATTTCAGGTAGAAATGACGGGGTCGAGCGTTTTCGATTACGTCCATCAGCAAGATCACGCGGAGGTCGCGGAGCAACTCGGTCTGGGACTTGCGTCGTCTACCAGCAGCACCTCGGGTCCGCATTCCTCGAACTCTGGTCTAGCCTCGCCGAGTAGCGGCGCCTCGGAAGACCACGGTTCGAGCTCCACTGCTAATCCTGACGGTAACTCTCGCGTCATCGTACGAATGCGCGCATTTTATCAATAAACTCGCACGATCCAATAGTTGTTTCGCTTCGAATCGAGGTTTAATTCTCTCCCTCCTATATTCCTCAGTGTCCTCGGTAATGGCGCTGTCGGCGACCGGACTCTACAAGGGGTACGACCGAGCGTTTTGCGTCAGGATGAAATCCACCCTGACGAAGAGGGGGTGTCATTTCAAGTCGTCGGGTTATCGGGTAAGAAAATAGGATTCTCGCTAAAGTCTGATAGTTCGAATAGATTCGGTCATTTTTTTTCGTACACACACACACAGGTCGTGTTGTTGCTGTGTCGTTTGAGGCCACAGTTCGTATTTAGCCATACGAGAAAGTCCGCGCCACCTTTGATGGGCATGGTCGGACTTGCTATTGCGCTTCCACCGCCGAGTGTGCACGAAATTCGTCTCGAGACCGACATGTTTGTCACGCGGATCAACTTCGACTTTCGGATAGCGCACTGCGAACCAAAGTGAGTACCACTCTTGCATGATCTATTGGGATTTGATTTTTGATAAACCCCCTCTGTTTTCTTCTGAAATAAGTGTAGCTAACGATGAGAACAATTTTGCTCGATCGGGAATATTTCATATATTTTGATATTTTTGTGGTAAATATATTAATATTTTTATTCTGATGAATATTAATTAGAGATGCTCCCATATAAAACTCTTCCAGTGTACCATATTGTTTCACGATTACCATGATTTTCAGAGTTAATTCTAAGAGAAAATGCGGATCTCTTTCTTTCTCTCTTATTTCTTTTAAATAAAAATTTATATAAAATATTAAAATAATAAAATATATAATAAATATTCCCGATTTAGCGATATTTTTCTCACCTGCACTTATTTAAGAACAACAAAGGGGTTTATTACTTGGTATCGCAAAAGAAAATTTGTATACCTTCTGCACAATTAAGTTTCAATGAAAATTAATGGTTCCTTAAAATAGAAAAATAGTGAGAGAGAAAAGAAAGAGACTGAAACAAATAAAACTGTAAATAATGAAGCCTTATTAGCCTTTGTAACTCGTGTCCTCAGGGTTTCCGAATTGTTGGACTACACGGCCGACGAGTTAACGGGGAAGAATCTCTACACCCTGTGTCACGGCGAGGACGCGCATCGTCTGCGAAAGTCTCACATAGATCGTGAGTATATAATACAGCCATCATGAATGATATATCCGCCCGTTATCAATCTCGCTCGTAATAAAGTCGCTGAGTACCGTTTGCACGATCGCGTAAAATCACACGAGAGGGAGGTCTTTATTCGCGCCCATCCCTGTAATGCTTTCTGTGTAATGTTCGAAAGAATGCATCGCGCGCGTTTGCGTGAGTTCCGAACAATTTGTCCTAGAAAATGAAAATTGCATCCACCAACGAATCTCAATTATCATCTGCCCGATTATAAATCACAATCATATTGAAATATCGTAATGATGATTGGATAACTTTTCGGTTCTTTTTTTCCCAAGATGTACGAGGATGTGCCTCTTAGTGGCAATTTTTCTTCCTACTGATTAGGCTGAAATAAAATTAACTAATTATACTGGAATGAAAATTTTGAAAGAGAAGGAAAATGAGACTCAATAAATAATAAATAATAAATGAAGCGAAATATCAAGATTTTAAATGAGAGACAGCTAAAAAGGAAAGAAACGATAGTTGCAAGATCTTCGACGCAAAATAAGCTGCAAAATTTGCAAGAAATAAACGAATCGGACAAAGCGTATTGTAACAAAAACACACAAAGGATCGAAAATAACATAAATTAAAATTCCGTCGCGCGCAAAAATCGAGAAGTCTCTTTGACTGTGACAAACGTAGAAAAAAATGTCAGAGCGTTAAATAAATTTAATAAAGTTTAACTTGTTTTTGATATCGTAATGAAACACAGCTTTTTTTCTCCAGCAACGTAAGAGTAAAAATTCGATTCTATTTTTTTGCTGCGCAGTCCGTACCCGGAAAACGATTAACGAGACTAAAGTCGTAACAACGTGTTATTCATACACATACGTTTTTCAACAAAACAAGGTCGATAGATCTGCCACGCAGAATTTCTTGCTCCTATTGTTCTAGGAAATTACTTCGGTGAAAGAGAGCGCGATGGGTGTCAAAGCTGTCCGGGAAGAGAGAAAAGCACGAAAAGTATTAATACGTTGGTCTTTTCGACTCCGCGCGACCACTTGCAGATTTAGTAAGTACGTATCTGTTTGTATTTCAACGTTTCAGAGATCAGAGAATTCATGTTTCTAATTCATCATTATTCCGGTCTCTCGGTAAACAATCATCGCGCGACTTTTCTAAAATATCATATATCTCGTTAATTAATTTTTGGTCTCGTGACGTGACACGTGATAATGAGTTGTTGAGATCTTTTTTGACAGGATTATCGGATTTTTCTTCGCGAAAATGTGTATCCTAACGTGGCATTGTCATTGCGATTCTTTGAACAGCGACAAGAGTATATATTTCTCGAAACGAACGCATTGTCAAAGACAATTATACGACGAATTGTGGATAATCTCAGCTTGCGTCCCAATCCAGCTAAACAAGAAAAATACCTTTTCGTAGCGACAAACGAATTTATGTCTTGCGAGGTGAAGGCTTCTAAGAGCATTATACAGAGGTGAAATCGAACATACACCCCGAATAAACGAACGATCAATCGGTATAATCGCAATAAATGTTTATATATCATCGTACAAACGGTATAGCTTCGACAATTGATTTTATATAAATATTTTCGTAAAAATATACAGAAAAGCAGTGTTGTGCTTAAATAATTTTAAAATTAGTTAGATAAAGATGATATGAAAATATGTAAATTTATCTTGGATAATATGAAGATGATTTTGTTTTAAATATATATCTTGATAAAAGGTAAAATTATATATAGCGATTCATCTAGATAATTTCCAGATAATATTATTTTGAAGACCGCTTATGTAAATGCAGTTATAAAAAAAGTGTAAATTATAAAAGGGATATAAAAATATATTCATATTTTTATTTATAAGTTTTATCGATGACTTGAAACCAAATTATCAGAACATTATTCTAGATAATTTAATAAAGATAACACTTTTTTCAGCTAAGATGCAAGTACAGATAATACATATTTGTATTATCTATATAAAAATATGACGTGAAAATTTTATCTAGATGATCATCTATATAATATTATGTAGATAACAGCAAACACTGCAGAGAAGCTTAGAAAAACAAGAGAATTTATACCCTATTATGTAACCACATGGCTTTGTCAATATATATTTCAGCATGATAGATCGCGTGAAACCTTTAGAAAACATTGAGCTAATGATTGATTTTAGTGATCCATAAAGGGCAAGTACTAACGCATTACTATCGATTGATGAACAAGAGCGGTGGATACACGTGGTTGCAGACGTGCGCCACCGTAGTGTGTAATTCGAAAAATGCCGAGGAGCAAAATATCATTTGCGTCAATTATGTCATAAGGTGAGTTGCTCAGATTCCAGCCAATTAGAGAAACAACGAACTCTCTCTCTCTCTCTTTCTCACTTCGATGAAATTTCATCGCGTTCCTTTCCCTGATTCAGCGGCCGAGAATACGAAAACTTAATTATGGACTGCTGTCAGCTGGAGGACGGCGTAACCGGGGTCAAGAGAGAAGACACGGCCGGGAACGACCCGGAGAACGGATCGCCGGACGCCGACAGAGGAGGTACAAAACGTTCTTTGACTTAGCGAAAAGTTATCGGTTCCATCCGATCGCCTCAGAAAGTTCTCATCTTGAAGCGATATTCGTTGCGACTTTCGATTTCAGAGGGTCGTAGTCGAGGCGGCCCTACGAATCAGCATCAGGAGCAGTCGCATCGATCGCCGCCCGAGGAACGAGAGGAGAGCCGGGCGTCCGAGAGCGAGAAACGCGGTAGCCGGCATCACGACAGTATAGGCCAGTTGCAACAGCAGCAGCAGGAATCGTCGCAGACGGCGGTCGGGAACATCAGCACGCTGGTGGTGAGACTGCGCGGACACAAGCGGAAAATCCAGGACGACGACAGCAGCTCCAACGAAGAGGAGGAAGACGAGGAGGAGACGACGGCGGTCAAGGAGTCCACCAGCGAGAGGGTGACTCGCACCCTCAGCCCCAGCGCGACGTCCACGCACTCGATCTCGACGACCGAGCAGACCCTCTGCTCGACCAGCCCGAAGTCCCGTCGCACCGACAGCGGCAGGATGGACAACGGCGCCGAGAACACTTCGGGGACCTCGGTGAAGGATCTGGAGCAGGCTATGTCGAAGCATCTGCCGAGTAGTTCGTTGAACAAATCGAATTCCCCGGCGACTCTTCATCATCAACCCACGGACTTCAGTACGGACGCGTTGCTGAAGCAGCAGCAGCAACGTAGCACGATACAGTGGATCGGCGCGCATCATCACCTGGGTCACCTGAGTCCGCAGCAATCCGCGGCGGCTGCTGCGCCCTTACCGGCTTCTGCTCTTCTTAGACAGCTCTACGCGGCCAATCGGGAGAGCGTGATACGCGCTAACGTGCACGGGATCACGTCGAGCGGTGGTACGCGGACACCCGCGTCGACCGGGATCTATTATCCCGGTGAGACAGCCCCTAACGGACCGCTGCCCACTCCGCCAGGTTCCGAAGGTTCCAGTACGTACGGCGAGCACCAATTCGTGCTCGCCGCGCACAATCAAAAGGGAACCAACGGCACCAGCTGCGCCGACGCGTTCACCAGTCTGGTTTCGTCGTATACGTCCGCCACCGCGGCTGGTTACCCGGTGGACTATCATTCGGCGATGACACCGCCGTCGTCGGTCTCGCCAAGGGACAAGCAGCAGCAACAGCAGCAGCAGCAGCAACAACAACAGCAACAGCAGCAGCTGCATTCCGTGAACGTGATCAACAGCTACGAGAGCTCGTCGGCGTACACGGATCCAGTTCTCCGTCATCAGTACGAACCGGCTCAGCCGTTACCCTTGAAACCCCAGGTATACTCGGCCACTGTTCATCCGAGTGCCTTAGACGCCGCAGCGGCATACGCCTCGGCGGGTCTGACGGAGCAGCCGCAGTTCTATCATCATCCAGCTGGTAGCGCCGGCTTCCACATCTATCATCCGGGCAACAAGTCTACGGCAAACGGCTGGTACACCTCGGCGTCCTAGTGGCCCCCCTCGTAGATTCCACCGCCCGTACGCGGAACGCGTGTACTTAAGCGACTGTAATTAAACCCAAAGTCCTCTCCCTCAGTGCATATCAGTGATACGCTATCTCGTCGCTGTCGCGATCGTCGGCGAGCGATCCTCGTTTCGTTGTTACGGGATCGGGAGGAGGGCTCAAACCCCTATCGCCGATTCTTGCTCCTGATCCCGCGCCGCGCGTTCCGATCAGCGTCGACCGCGCTGTAACAATCGCTCTCTTCTCCATTATGTGTAGAACGATTTATTGTAATATAATGAATAAATTATTATATATATGTTGACTTCTCTCGGAGGTATCTGCGTAAAACACATAAAGCATGGAGCCAACCGAAACTCATGCGTGTTCACCGTGCGTGTTCGAAGTGATTTGACGCGACGCTCAAGGAGATCGCAATATATCTAAGAGATTCGCGATTTATTATATACGTGATGTACAGGGTGTTTCATTTTAAACGATGCACACGAATATCCTCGTTACTATTGATAATATTGAAAAATGTTTTTTAAATAAATATAAAAAGTAATTCCATTAGAAAAGAAAAAATAGCTTTCTTCATCACTTCCATTTATAGAAAAAAAAAATTATTATCATATCCCCTCAAAACTATTCAATTTTTATCTGAAACATATTCAATAGCACCAATAGTTTAAGTTTAAAAGATATTCGCGTTTGTATCATTTAAAATACAACTGAAACAACCTGTGTATCGTTAGACAACGAGAAAATAACGTCGTCTTTTCGCATCGCGTTAGATATTATTAATCGGAGCGCATTTATATCGCCGCTTGACTGCGGTATAATTGAAAAATGTTTACTTGTATAACATTTCTTTGCGCGAATGTGATTTCCTTCATCGAAAGCGAATCGGTACAAAATCCTTACACGCTCTAACATTCATTTAATTTTTAGTGAAAGAGAAACGCTGACAAAATTTATCTCGGTATAATAGTGAGGCGTGTTTGAGGAACACAGCACGACGTATGTACTTGAGAGAAATCGCTATCTCTATCGATTTGCGCGGACGTCCGTTTTCAAATCAATTGTACATTGAATTTGTTACTTAAATTTTGTTTCATGTAGTACAATCGTTCTGTCCCAAAGAAATTTGTTGTTGCAAACATCTTGTTTGTTTTTAGATTTCAATTTACAATTTGTGAGAAAGTTACGAACGACTTTTTCGGACTTTATATTCTATGTACGAATTGTTGTGTAGCTATTACAACAATTTGCAATTTAATTATATCCAGTTTTGACGATCGTGTGGGATAGAAAATGACAAGTCAGACGCAAGACTGACACATACGTGAGTGAGTAAAACATGATATTTATATATGGTTGCGTTATTATTATGACGTTGGAAATACACAACAGAGCAATTTGGAACACGAGTGATATTAAAAATAGACACTTTTTATTAAAATACGTACTGAGATTCTTTACTTATTAAGAGACATTTGTATGTATATTTATAGAAAGATTGCTCTAGCAATATTACCTTCTCTAGGTATAGATTAGACGAAAATGTTAGATATCGAAGGGACACGTATCGCGTGAACGCGAGATAAGAGTCAACATTGCGCTCTGGAGGTAGCGAATTCTTTTACGAAGGTTATTGTATTTTAATGTTTAACATTTCGACCAGTTGTTTTTGACAAGTACACGTGTAAATACAGCTTACGTGCCTAAAAGTTCACTCGCCCAGCATTATTTTACTCGATTTTCATTCCGTGAACTTTCGCCATTTAGAATTTCGTACGAAATATATTCGTAAAATTACACGCGAAAGGTTTTTTACAGCACAATATACAGGTGGCACAACAATTTATAATTATATGTTTTACATTCTACTTGGATGCAGCAGCACTTAACGAGGCGAATCTGGATGTGCATCTGCCATGAGTAAGTAATTAATTTGCTTAATGTGGGTAAGTAATATCGAAGCCGAATATTTATCATTGAAGAATCTCGTTTAGGATTTAAAAATAGATCTTTAAAAAACGCAAAGAATATTGAACGTCGTAAAGATGATTTATTTTAATCGATTTTGTTCTCTCTTTTAGGCTCATATAAAAAATTATGTCATTAAGATTGTCATAGTTTTTTTTTCAAGCCTGAGTATCATATTAGCGATATGCTCATACAGAAATGCAACTTTGTTGGGTTCGTGCCTGTTTAATCGTTGTACAAGAGATATCGATTTAATAGCAAGAAATAACACGATTATGTTGTTCGTATAAAAATGACTTATGTACACTTTCATTGTGTATTACATTAGCAATGCTTAGTATACAATTACTATTATTATTATAATTATTATATTATCATTATTGTTTTTGTTTTTATTATTTACTATTACAATTACTATCTCCTTAGCGCTATGTTAATATTAAATTACTACAGTGAATTTTTGCAGATCTATATATATATAATAAAAGTAAAACATCTGTAAAATATAATTATCTAAACGAATGAAAATATAAAATAAACCTAAAAAAAAAAAGTGTAAAATGCACTTTGGACGGTAGACATTACAACTAATACTGTGAATTGTTATAAAAAAAAAGAAAGAACAAAAAAATATATATAAATGTAAGTAATCTACCTTTGTAGAATAGAGACAGCTTTGTACATGTAGAATCTATTTATGTTACATACAACTCTTTTTTATGCCCGATCATAAAAACGTATATAAATTAGAATGTGTAAGATACACACACTCTCCAATGAAATTATATATTATATTTAATTAATTTTTTCTCTTTTTCTCATTGGCACGTAACGCAAGAAAATCATTTCTTATCTGTAATCTTTGAAAGTTAATTGATGAGATTTCGGCAGTCATATTATATTATAAAGAGTTACGAAAAATGCGTAAAGAAATAATATGGAATGATAATCTTATATGAACGTCGCATAATGAGACAAAATCAACAAGGCTGATCAAAATTCAGATTTAATTAATTAAAGGTTAATTTTAATATAAGTCATGTTTTTTCTATTACTATATATATACAAAATAGTCCAAAAGTACAACAAAAATTGTTTTAATTACTAGAAAAATTATATATTGGAGATAGCAAATTTTTTTATGTTGGTTGAATCTCTTTATAGAACACAAATGATGAGTGCTACAGAGGGACATCGACACATCAAGTATAAATCTTTGAAAAATACTTCAAGTAGAAATAACAATAAAGTATAAATACACACATTACGATTAATATATAATTCATCAAAATTATGATTGAATTTAATAAAACTGTTATGAATCTTGCGAAAAGAATTCAAATATTTTTCAAAGTTGACCAGTTCTTTTTTGATTTCTATCTCGCTATGATACGCGCATTGTCTCGATACAAAATTATAAAACGTAGAGATAACAGTTGAACGGAGCAAAAGACTACCCTTGTAAGAAGGATTTATGTATAATATTTTAGATTAAGTTAATGTATACTCCTCTCTAGCACTTACATATTTAACGTGTGATGTATTTCAGATGAACCATTCCTTCTTCTTCTGCACTTGATGACCAGTGGCTGAATTTACAACCGCTGAATCCGGATCCAGGGCTATCTCAGCACCCTTGTCCTCTTGTGTCAAGTATTCGCCTTTATGCCTAGACATATATCTACCTATGAGGATTGCCATAATCACGAGCGCAATCAGGATAACCGCTAGCACGCTCCCTAAAATGGCTGTGTCAGTCTCATTGTACGCAGCTCTCACTTTTTCCTCGTCTACTTGCGGTGGCGGCCGCGTCTCGATGGCATCTGGCGGATGCGTGATCGGTTCGACTCCGCAGAAATCTTCGGTCAATGGACTGCCGAGCGAGCGTACATTAGGAGGCCCGTTCTCTTGGAAGAGTAGCTTCAATGGATATATATCGTCGAATTCGACTCTCGATATACAACCCGCGAATCCCTCCGTCATAGACTCGTTCTTGCCGATGTACATGTATTGGATATTATTGAATTGCGCATCCGCAGAATTCTTTATGTTAAAAGTGAACTCCTTCGGCTCGTAATTGTCGACTTGCATTATCAGAGTCGAGCCTGAATTCTTCCGGCCGATTCTGATGTCGTGATACTGTCCCAAGCCGAAATGTTTAAACGGGAATATAACTTCTTGCCGCTCGAAACCAAAGTCGAATATCACGCGTAAATGTCCGCTGTTTGAGACCATTATAGTCATATATTCTCCCGAGATGTTGGAGAAGAGGCCAAGTAAAAATCCTTTTGGATTTGTCGTAGTGAAACCAACGCGTATTTTCTCAGCGATGGTGGAACGCCAGCTGCCCATAAAGTCGTACTTTATCATCGAACTGGGTCGCATGTTTACACCAATTTCTGAAAACAAACAGGCACAACCAAGATTAAGAAATCGTCTAACGTAGATCTCTCGTATTCAATATCTTCTGTACTTACCATCCGCACAAATGGGTCCTTTAAACGCGGTCCATCGACAGTCGCACCAATATCCATCATACTTTTCGTGGCACGTGCCATTATTAAGGCAAGGACTACTCTCACATCTGCCCGTACAACCTTCCGTAACACCATATAATCCGCGCCGGGCATAACTTCTCAAATCTTGCAATTGACCATTGAGTAGCAGCGCTCTTATGCAACCGACAAATCCGTCTCTGTAATCGGTCGCGGCACCCACTACGAGGTCCGAGGTGAGATGAAGTGCTCGCACAGGACCCGGTGGTTCTCGCACTTCGTTCTTCAGTGCTCCGTCGATGACAATTCGGGCTTCCTTGCGATTTCTTTCCACCGACACGGAATGCCATTGATCATCGGCCAATTTGTAAGATGTTTGTACGCTCACAGTGAGCGGTCCACCGCCTGCCACGTACTGAAAATGTATCTGGTTTCCACTGTTTATGGAAATCTTAATGTAATCAGTGGGTCCTCTGCTGTGAATTATTACAGCGTCTTCGATAGTGGTTTTAATTCAAAGTAAATATCGCCGCTATGCCCAATATCAAATGTCGGTAGATTGATGGTAGCATCCACGATGCGAAATGTGACAACATTCTTAAATAAGTCTGCAATAGAAGATGATGTAGATGATACAAGTTTCATTTGTACCATTAAAAATTAATTTAATAAAAATTTTATTGATATCCGTATATTATTGTATTTTATATATATATATATATATATATGTTGATAAACTTACCGTCGCCCTCGCAAATAAGTGGGCCTAATGTATAACGACCCTCCTTTTCGTCGAGCGGTGTACCCGTGTCGCCGAAACGTAATTGTTTAACGGGAAGATATTCTTTCTCCGTAATATCGCCACCGTCTTCCAACCATCCGTCCAATCCAGAATCACAGTTGCACCATTTGGTAGGATCCGCACAGTTTCCAAGTATACCACACTCGCACTTTCGCGACCCAGGCAACGCACCACCCCAATAATCCATCTTTTGATTACTCCGACTCACCCACCACGAGTTCGGCCTAAAGTAATCACCCGTAGAAACTGAAAATGTAATTCCAAAAGTTAATACAAATATAAATGGAGGTACAATAAACAAGATATTTAAAAAAAAAAATATATATATATATATATATATATATATATATATATATATTGTAAGTACCTGGAGAGTTAAATAGCTTGGAATGTTTGCATGCATAATTTATCCTCTGTCTGCAATTTATAGATCGATTTAATAAAGCCTCTATCTGATCGAGATCAGCATCGTAATTAATGTCCTGAATAAAACTGCCAGGTTCCTCGAATCCATCGACGGGAGTTAAATGTTCGTTACTGTGACGTAAAACTGTCATTACGCGCCCATCGGTGAAAAATTCGCAAGCGACAGGAAATGGCTTCAGGGGTCCGCTGCCGTCCACATCAATTTTAATTTCTGCACGTTGATTTACCGAATTTATATTCTTATACGCCTCGCATGATAAGGGATTTAATGCTGTGTGTAAAATTGTAATGTCAAATTTAGTAGACAAAGATATCCTAAACATTACATGTTCAGCTTATTGAAATGAATCGAATACTTACAGGTGTGACAAACAGCGCCCGCGTATCCAGTATTAGCACAATCACAGAAGAATTCGTCAGAATTTTGACGACAAACACCAGAGTGCTTGCAAGGATTCGGATTACAACGATCTGACATTTGACAAGTGTCGAAGACGACCTCGTTTCTACAACAATACTCTTCTTCCTTCCAGTCGGTCGGTAATTTATAATTCCCATCGATACTTATCATTCTCATACAACCTACGAAACCATGATTGCTCCCTTCACCCATCATACCGCCAACCAAATAAAACGCTCCAGTCAACATATCGAGGAGACGCTCCGTTTTCATTGGTCGTCCATCGACATTCAAGATGAGAGAATTTCTGGCAATTGTCAAAATTACTTGATGCCACTTTCCATCGTTGAATTTTTCGTAAAAGTTATCTAGAGTCGCAGACGGATTATCCTTTGTCTTTATATCGACCTTCAATTTACCTTCTTCCAGATATAACTACAAAGGAAATAATTTAATTAATTACATTTATTAATAGAACTTTGTTTTAGGATTAATGAAGCTGAAGACAACCTTGACGAAGCCCGGAGTTGTAAACTGATGATAAAGAATTATTCCTCGCTCTTCGTAAGTTCGAAATGCAAGAGAAGCATTCATAGACGGTATACCCTCGTAACCCTTCAGTCTAGCGAAAGATCCAGGAGTTAAAAACGTGACGGGTATCACCGGAGGTTCCGGACAGGTATAGAGTGTATTGATCTTATAGTATCTCAGATTCTCATCTATGATTTCTGTCTCCTTCAGGTCGCGAATTATATTCGTCGCGTTTAAATAAAAGTTTTCTATACAACCAGTGAAATTCTGATTCACCACCAAACCGTCTTGCTTGTTAGGCACACCACCAATATAAAGCTAAAAAAGAATAGTTCATTCAATTAAATTCAATTGTAAAATCTAATGTAAATATTAGAAAAATTTTACACTAGCTAAAAAATACTCACTTCTCTATTTAAATCCAGTCGGTGAAACTGTCCTTTTATTCTACCCTTGATCAGTACTCTATCGACAGAGAAGGAAATATTTTTTCTATTGCGCGAGATTGAGACATCATGCCACATATTGTCGTCCAGAAGACTGCCAACTGACAGACTCGTCATAATACCGGATCCCAGATCGATATTGAGCAACATTCTATTGTCCCGTAATTGCAAAGCTATATAATCACCTTGTGTACCGCGAGAGTACATTAATACTCCATCGGCATTATTTGTTTTAAAGCGAAAACGTATAAAATGCCTATCGGTTTCGATAGGCTCTCTTAATAGATCCAGACGTACGAGGGATGATCCATTAAAAGATACAACGTCAGACACTGAAATGATAGATAATTTAGAAATTTAATGTCGTTTTTAAATACCTTTCACATATTAAAAAAAAAATATATATATATGTAATATATATGTATATAATTATTATTTCATACCATAGTCACATCCGTAGAGTTCAACTCTCAGGGATATCCTGTCCCGCCATCGTGTTGGATTTATTCTTATCCATTGAGCGATTATTGGTACTTCGAATTTATTAAGTTTTATTCTGTCTCCATCTACATTACCTTTAAACATCTGTAGAGAGAAAAAAAATTAAATTTTAAATGAAATGCTACTCTACTATTACTACTACTTTACTACAATATTCCCAATTTTGTTCTTTTGATGCCAATTAATAATTAATGTCATGACAATAATGCAGAATATAATTAAATTGCATGCATGCTATAAATTAAAAGTAGATCTTAAATAAGAAGACTGTACAAAGAACTGTTAATTCTTAAATGTACACGTTATTCAGAAACACCATTAGTTTCCAGATCAGTTTAAAATTCATATATATTAAAGGAGTTATCAAATTTGACGGCCCCTTAATTTGCATATATACATATGTGCGCAAACATTGATCAAGCAAAATAATGATTTATTTTGAATAATTTTCATTTCTCCAATCTTTAATAAATGCAATAAGTATTATCTCCTTCTCCCTTCTCTCTGGTTAATTAATATTAATTGCACAAACATGTACGTTAGTATAACTAGACTGTTAGTGATTAAAAAGACGCGAAAAAGTGGATACATATTAACCCCAAGAGCTGTAGATGCCATTATGATTAGATAAAATTCTCGAGAAACAAAACATTTTTTGATTTTCTTTAGATTTTACTTTTTTAACAATATTCTTCACGATTATCATAATGACACTTTATGATACTTATATATCTTAAATTCTTAAATCCCAATAGCAATTAGAACAGAAGATTCCAAACAGTATCGAACAAGATCCAAAACATGAAAGGTTTTTACACAGCAAAACATTTCGTTAATGCAATATTTTACAATATTTCTACGACAAGAGCAATAATGAAGAAATTTTATAATACGTTTGTTATCAGACTAAATAGAAGAATAAAAAGAAATTAAATTTATTGTATATTTGTTTAAAAATAGCATAATAAATATTTCTAGAGAAGTTTTTAAATATACTAAAAATAAAAAAATAACTTCAAAAATATATAAACAAATATTAATATTAAATTTTACACATTTGCACAATTATTTTTCATTTATACAACTGAAAGATTATTATAAACTACATTTCTCTATATAAATAAATGTAAATAAAATTTAGGCTCCATCCTTGAAGTTAATACCTCATCTACACCATCCTGGCTTTCATAACTGGCCCAAGCTTGACCATCATCAGAATATTGGATAATATATTCTGTCACGTATTCATTAGTATGAGCCCGCCCTCGCGTAGCAATGCTGCGTATCTCATATCTGTCCCCCAGCTCCATAGTAAGATGTTGATCGTAACTGCTAAGTACTGGTGACCACGCGGAATCTCCTGTAAAGCCCAGCTCCATGTCCATGTGTAAGAGGAGAAAAGTGGAAGCGAAGCAAGCAAATGGATATAGGATATAGTCAAAGGATCATCAATTTAGTTCATCTCATCAGTGTGTAACTTGTGCTAGTTAATTTGTTTCAACTGTTGTAAAAACTATCTTCTATCACTAAGTAAACTTTTGCACTCAATTATTAAGAATTTTAATTAGTAATTAAGAATTTCTTTTCACAATATTATATCTCACTTTGCACTCAAATGTTATGTATGTGATGAAAAAAAATAATAAAATAACTATAGTAATATTACAGAACAAATAATTGGTGCAAAGCGTTCTGGTGTGTGTAAGTTCTATATAAAGCACATCAAAAGATACTTACCAGTAAGAAACCTGGTTATATATCTTTTATTCGTGATATGAAGAGTTTTTTTTAACATAATATATAAAACTCTTACATATTTTTTTGTTCTATACATATATTCGTATAGATTATTACAATATATTTGCCTACATAAGCGTGCATAAGCGAACCTTGTGTTGTTAGCATTTTCGCGCACATTGATTAATTACGCCATGCCTCGTTAGATGCAAAGTGAAGATTAGAAAAATTAAAAAATACGACAGCGAGAACGAGAGCTTTACCTTTGCGTGGCCGTCTTCTTCCTTGTAATCCACATAATCAAGACCATTGGTGCCATAACTAATACGATATTCCATCACGTATTCCTTCTGCAGTAATCGTCCCTGAGTCGCCACGCCTGTGACGTTCATCACTTGGCCCAGGTCAATTATTAAATACTGACCGAAATCGGAACTGCCAGCCGTCCATGCGTTTCCGCCTACACCATAACATTGTGCATGCATGCAACTCAAAGTAAAACTTAGGGGAGAGCACGCTTACAAGTAAGGGGACAGAATGTATAGCGAAATAATTAGAATTCATTTTAACAGTACCTCGCTTTTATACTCAGAGATTAATTTATATGATTGTATGTTAAAGCTACATTGCAAATATTCAAAACTTTTTTCAACTACAAAGATGTAGAACATTTTTTGTACGTATAAAATAATTTTTCACAAAATTTTAAGTAACAACTCTCGAGAAAAAAGATGGATTCAATTTTTAAGATGAGAAATTTATTTTCTAGTTACTTTCTAGGCTTAAATTAGAATTTTTTACATTTAAATTGTATAGAATTCTTAAATCTTTATACCAAGTGAAAGATTATTTTTCTCTAATCTTATTTATACATATATATACAAAGAAACATTAATATATTTTCTTGTAATTTAGCTGTATTATAATGTAAATAAAAAAAGAGTTAATAAAATGTTCAAAGTTTATAAGAAGGTAAATAAAAAAAGTAAGAAAATATAATTTAACCCTTTATTATTTTGTAATTAAACTGTACAAAATATATTATCCATCTTTTAATTAATATATTAAGAAATATTATCCTTTATAATGCAATATTATCCTATGAATAATCAATAAAACTATGGTTGTTCAGATTTAGCAAAATATTGAGCCATATACTGTGGATCTAATGGAAAGAGTGGAACTGCGTGTGCTATAAGTTTATCATAATTCATTATTTCAAATGTGGTATTATGTGACTGTAATAAATTATCATTCTCTTGCAAAGCTACGGCAACACAGTGTTGTGAATCGAGTAAAGTTTCTTCAAACAACCAATTTTGTTTGACTCCATCGATATGCAAGATTGTGTCGGTTGTGACTGAATCTTGACTTAGCTCCGAATTAGTTCGAAAGTCGATACTCCTTAGATCAATAACAATCCCCACACAAGTGCTTTAACATAACTCTCCTTTAATGCCCAGTGCCTACAAAACATAGATATTGTTCCGCTTCAGATTTTTCTGGGGCAGAACCTCTGATCTCTTTCCACTCTGCTGACGAGAAATTGCTGTTCATTATACGAAAAAATTCGGAGAGACTTTTGCCTCCTTTATATTCTAACGACATAATGTCTACGCCTAATTTGATATCCCTAATTTCGCCCGCTAAAACCGTATAGGAACCTTGATGAGAAACATTGAAACTTACAGTGAAATTGTCTTTTAATATAGGCTTATTGTGTTCATTTCTGACGAAAACAATTTTGTCATACGGAATATCCGTATACTCATTTACAAATTTTCTCATTAATAATTTACCTACAAGGGAGGCTCTAACATCTTTACGAAATACGAACCTTCCTAGCCTAGTCTTTTCATCATTTTGTACACAAGAAATCGCATATTCAAATTCTCGTTCACTCGGGTTCCACTCTTTCCAATTAAATGCCCACCGAATGGCTGACATTCTAAAAATATTGATACTACGCATGAACAATATAAAATTATTTAATCACAGTTTGCACTTTTTGCTTGTTTTATGATTACACAATTAATACGTTCTTAAATTATCTCTGATTATAAAAAGCAAGGTCTTGCAAGATAGCTCGTTTGAGATACTCTTCATAGACTACTTTCTAGAATCCACCTGAAGCAAATATAAATTTATTACTGTGTTTGTTATTTGTAATTCAAGAGATTGTATCATCTATAAGTATTTCTGTTTGTAAAGTGCTAATGTAATAAAGATAGAGGCGAGTATAAAATGATTGAATAATGTATCATAGATGGCTGTATCGCTTAATTCTCATAATTGAGCCTAACTGTCATGGTAGGCAGCGTTCATCGACACTAATTAGACTCCTCAATTTGTACCAGAATTCATCGCAAAATATCATATAATATTAGCAGAATCATTTATAACTATTATTAATGCAAACAGAAGCAAATATGTAGTGCACAATATAGATAACAATAGATTTTATAGGAATAGAGAGCAAGCAAACAAACTACTACTAATATAATAACTATACGCTATATATGAACAGTTGTACAATAATTCACATCTATAATAATCAATAACTGTGAAGATGGATGTGGAAATTAAAACACTTGAATATCTTTTCTCACCATTTAACCTGGCATTCGTTGGACCTCTTTCGGATAAGGAAGTGGTTGCTGTTAATTGAGCTCTGTCCAAAAGAGGAATGTAGCATTCGTCGTCATCTAAGGAACAATCATAATTTTGCTAAAGTTTGTCATATCTTTTTATACAGAAATATTTTATACTAAAATATATAACATACAGAAACACGTAAAACTTTGGGGATCACTTTTACACACAGACTAAACAAAATAAGAGATGTGTATAATGCGATGCTTCCAAAATTGGACCTTATAAAATATTTCTTACTACATCAAATACATATCAACTATTGACTCTACATACATATATCATTATATTAACATATTGTACGACATATATAATTATATGTATTAAAAAAGCTGTTTTTTTTTTTAATAATAGTAGATATACGAATGGATGGTAATTAAAAAAAGTTGCAAATTGTGTCACGAAATAAAATAACGATAGGCTTGGCAAATGAAAGGGATATAAGGGCGATTGTGTAACACAACGTGTGTGCATCTTTATTCGTATGCGTATTTGCACGCCATGTTACATCGAGATGGGCTGGGTCGGCAGCCAGGAAGTCGCGCTGTAGCGGTTACACACACATGCTATACGTAATAATGTGATACTTACAGGCGTACGAGGTTGCCACCACGACGAGCGCGTACACGAAGCACCTGAGAGCGGTCATCGTACCATCGCCTTGCACTGGGAAACGTCTCTAGTCTCGAAAAAATCCTTCGGATTGATGCGTCACCTCGGTGACTCGATCGCCCAAGTGGATTCGGCGAAAAGTGACGAGATGCCAGAGTCGTCCACCCAAGACTTCGACTTCGTTCGAGATTCCTTATTCACTCGTCGATTCACCGTATGCGTTGAGCGAAAAAATAGAAAACTCGTATTTTATTTGATTCCGATGCAATTCGGCAAACAACCACAACAGTCCGCCGATGACGCGAATCAACTCATCGAGTGACGTGATCGAGTGAATGCCGCCGCGCCTCGAACCTTTCCGATGTATCGAATTACTCATTCGACGCCGAGTTCGGACTGTTTAGTGATCGCCGCGAATACCAGATGTCACCTGCGTCCAGTTTGCTTTGCGCTCTCTTCGCTCTCGGAGCTTCGAATCTTGACGGTTCACGCCGAGGCAAATAGATTGCCTCATATCGGGGTAATTAACTTTATTTACATAATTATTATTATTATATACATATATTTATATGATTGATTGCTGTACTTATTGTATATATATATATATATATGTATATATGTATATAACCAAAAAAATTTTGTAGCCTTTTTGTCCGCAACAACAATCGCGTTTTACATATTCGAGATCTCGATCTTGATCTCGATATATCGATTTTAGTTATTGAATTGTTTGTTGAAAAACTTTTCCTAATAATATGTAATTAAAATAATTGAAGAAAGAAATTTTAATAGAAATCAATATATAATAATTAAATCAATAATTGAATAAGTAAAACAGTATTTTAATATATGTGCTAAATTAAAGTATTTTAATAAATAAAAAATATGAACTGTGTCAAAGATGAATTGATATTCATTCACTATCATACATATATAATATGTATGTACATACACTCACAATAATATATAATGCAGAAATAACACATACACACGCACCAATGACAAATCTTTTCAAAGAAGATATATGTAATATCACATATGCTTAATTATTTCAGACAACTTGTCATTTTCCTTAATTGTTCATCTCTTTTACAGAAATATATACGATCCAATACGTATAATATCTCATCTTTCATGTGAACACGTGATGGATGTGGAAGCGGAAGTGACGACAGCAGCATCAGCAGCGGATTTGGGAGACGATACGTTCGATTCGCTTGCAATTCCTGCGTTATTTCGATCTTGAGTATTGTCTAAGGAAGCGATTACGATCGAATACGATGGAGGATCTTCGTACTTGTCTTCGCTGGATGACGCTCGAGGAGATGTTTGTGTAGTTATTACAGACGCATAGGACGGTGGTAAATCTGCAGGCAGGTGAGTCGAATATGTTGATTCTACCTGTAAAAAATGGAGATGATAGGAATTTGTTGGAATTTTACACGTTTGTAAAATTTGCATACAATGTACAAAGAAAGATACGAAGATATATACCTCGAAGAATGATAATTAAATTAATAATAAGAATAATAAATTAATATATTAAATATTACATTTATATTAAATTATATATATTATAATATATATATACATATAATATAAATATAATATAAATAAATATATATTAAATAATAAATAATAATTAATAATATTAAAATAATAATAATAAAAATAATTAAATTAATATAAAATGTGGCATAGAATAAAATACCTCTCTGCGATTAGCGGCCGTGATACCCGACACAGTCCGAATTGCAGCTCTTCTTTGTTGCTCGATTAAAATTCTCGCATGAGTCCTCTTGACACTGTAAGCGGTGTATCCGCAGACTAATAAAATAGCAGCGTCAATATCGCCAAAACAATCCACATATATTCCCATTGCAATAATATCGATGCTACCATTGCTGTTGTCACCCACGCGACCAGAAGAGTAGCTAGTGTTCGACCGGAACAATCCGCGTCCTGAAGCATTTTTCACATATTTTTTTTAAGTGAAATAGAGTTTTTGCATCCTCCTAAGAGGAAACGCGTAATTGTGTGAAATGTCTATTTCTGTTTCTGTTACTTATATATCGATCTATCTTAATAACTGATAATCGCGGCTTAACAAAGCCATTGCAATTCATCATTCTTATTTGCTCGATAACACATACAGGAAAGAATTTGCTGATAATTTTATTTTATCGATTAGAAATATATCGTATTGTACATGTGTCTTATTTTGTCGTTTATATATAAGCGTGTCATTAAATTATTAGCAGAGAAGACAGATATACATACCAAGAGGACCAGAAAGAACATCTTGAATATGATTTTGGAAATAAGCAATCTTCGTTGTAATATCGTGATTAATCAATCGGTTTATCTCGACGATATGCTTATCTATGATAATAAAAAATGATTTAACTGATACATAATAAAATGCCACTTTCCATATTTCGTTTATGTATCTTCGTAAATATATTTTTAACAAATCAGTTATCTCAGAGCGAGATATGTTAATTGACATTGCAATCACATTTTTTTAACGGCGGCTTCTTGCACGAGTCATTCACATTATTTTATGCCACTATATGTTGCGTAATAAATCCAAGATGTATTCGAGCTTATAATAAAGGCATCCAAATCCATGTCAACCCATTGTTCACTCGGTTCTGTGATTTCAATTCGTTCGGATGTTTAAAATTAAAAAAAAGATACGTATACAAAAAAATTAATTTTTGAAACGTCAAATTCATGCAGATTGCATATATGCACTTTTAGCAATCTATTTGTATTTTAATTAGATATGGCGTTAGAGTAAAAATGACACCAAGTTCTGAGGATCGAAATAGAGAAGATAAGAGCGATTCGAGTAACTTTCGCTCTTTTCATGCAAAAATAAACACTTGTCACTTGTGTAAGAACCCTAATTGTCACTCTCAACAAGATAATCGTGAAATCACACGGAAAGATATTTGAATACTGAATTTTTTATTACGAAAACCATGTCCAAATGAGAGAAATTATTTCGATAGTTCGTATAGTAGCTCTGTTGGTCTCTGTGACGTTAACATCTGGCGAACAGTATGACTTTTCGCGACGACGAAAAAGATTTTACGACAGCTACGCGATAAACGAATAAAACCCCCCTACTGTCGCTCAATGCATTTATCACCTGCCAATGACGCGCGTCGCTTTGGCGCAGATAAGGTTGATGATATCGCACGATTAACTCTTAAAATTAGAAAAGATAGTCTCTCGAAGAAATATTAAATTGATCATGTTATGAAACGTATCGCAATTAAATCGTGCGTTTCGACAAGTAGTCGTATCGATTTAAACGTTCCTTTTATAATAAACAGATAAAATGTTTAATTTGTGCTATATATTTTTTACACTCATGCATGATATATTCTACACATCTCTATTGTTGCGACGTCTGTGTTTAATGTTGAAAAAAATTAAAAACTTCGAAAACTATTGTTTGTGCTCATATCAGCATTATAACGCAGCTTTCTTATCTTATATAAATCCGTATGTATGAGATATGTAAATACCTCTAATAAACAACGAAACTTGGAGTTGTGCGTTAAAAACGAGAAAACGAACGAGAATGTTGTGCTTTTATTCAACGCTTCATCCATTTTCGACATGTTTTCTGTGTTAAAAAAAGTACATTTGATTTTTTTTTCATATACAATATACGTGGCATTGAACGCGTATATTCTATAACAGATTAATTCTACGAAATATACAAAAAAATTTTTTCAACGCTCAGTTATATCACAATTGTTAGTCGTATTAAAAAGAATTAAAAGTAATGTCAATCAGGGTCCAAATAGATTATCGACACTCGATAGAAACTTGCGTTAAATATTCTCGCCGGCGATCTTATCATAATCGTTAATTATACTTCACTCGTACACAAAAGATATAATTATTATCATTTGGACCGCGATTAAGATCTTTTTTTTTTCGAAATCATATTTTTCTCCTTTTTTCAGTCTATTATTTTTATGCGTTCAACTCCTTAAATATAATATCATAAAAGTATAATCCACATCTCTGTCATGGATTTGTTTGACATATATTAGCATGGAACAAATAAACGATATCGCGCTAGTTTCTTATCTCTAGATGAGAAGACAATGAAGAAGCTAATTAATAATAAGTAATTCTAAGCGAAAGTTGTTTACAAATTTCCTAGACATGCCAAGTATACATCCTGGACCGCTATAACGTGCTAAATTGGTAGAGAAAAAAAAGAGAGAAAGAAAAAAAAGAAGAAAGAAAGAGTCATTTGAGCAAAATGTATCGAGAGAATCAACTGATTTCCCGACAAGAATTTCTAGACATACAAGACGTCGAATAGAAGGAACAGGATCGAATTGATGGCATTGTCGTTGTGAGCCTTTGTCTAAGGTAATAATCGGGGATTGAAACGTCCCATGTGTAGTATTATACCGGAAGGATTGTGTCGAACGAAATATAAGAAGGGCCTGTCGAGCTTCAATCTTGGTCTCTCTGACAATCCGGAAGGCTGTCTTTTCTGCCGGTAGAACCGATCCATATGCGATTGATCCGCGTAGAACAAATCCACGTGGTCCTCTTGCGAAGATAAAATACCTCCGTATCTCGACGCGTCCTCTTCAGCGTTGCTGCCGAGATTGTCGGTGTCTTCCATTTGTCGTTTGATATTTCTTCTTAACGGGCTCGCGGGATACGTTTCTACGTGATGCCGACCACTGAGAATATTTTCATCGCCGCAGGTGCTGAATAGATTCATCTGTAACAATCATTTTTATATTATAATTTATATCAGATGAAGGATTAGATGTATAAATGAGAACTGTTGTATGTCGCGAGTAGATATCACTGTTCAATGAAAAAAATTAACCAGAACGAGTCATTTCTTATAGCTTTTTGGATACTGAATTTGAATATGGTTTCTAAATTATTCCAGCATGTTACAATTTTGAGAAATTTTTAATTAAAGTTGCAAGAAAGGATTTTTTTCACGAACTTTGTTATATTATAGCTACGATATATAACGTGCTAGAGAAGTTTTATTACAATAAAAATAAAGTGTATTGTTGTTAGGACTTTCAACCCTCAAAAGGAATTTTTGATGTCGGTTATGCTCAATAAAATGCTGTGATTTAAATCGTTGACGATTTACCAAATAAATTTCAATTATATGTTTATTTAATTAAAAAAATTTTTTTAGGTCACTATACGAATCCAGCGTCAAAATTGTCGAATTCGAAATAGTAGACTCAATATAGATTTATATAAAAAAATCATTTTTTAAATTTTGATATCCCCCATATATTCAGTACCATTTTGAGTTTGACATTAAATTCGTATTCAATGACCTAAAAAATCCTTAAGAGCTATTTAGTAAATCGTCAATGACCTAATTGTGTTACAGTTAATTTTCGCAACACAGCTCGCATATTTAACCATGGATATCTTATATTAACCATAAATTTCTCTTGAGGGTTAAAATTCCTAACAACATACTTAATTTTGATCGCAATAAAACTTCTTTGACACGTCACATATTGTAGTTATAATATGACTTTAATTAAAAATTCCTCAAAATTGTGACGTGATGGAATAATTTGAAAACTAGATTTGTATTCAACATCCAAAAAACTATAAGAAACATAATCTCGTTTGTGTTTGAAGAAAAATATTTTTTGTTGAATATTTGTATATATATTTACCTGCAACACATCGGCCAAATAGAGACGATGACCCACGCCATTGATTCCTTTGAAGTCGGCGTTGCCGGAGAAGAGCTCGTCGAGACCCATTCTCTTCAAGGCCGCGGTCGCGTTAATGACAGATCTATGGCTGAATTTAGGCACTTGTAGCTCCAAGCCGCTACGCGGGATTAGGACCTTAAGGAGCTTGTTCCAGGCTCCGTCGCGGAAGGCGCTTCTAACGATACGCTGCTCGAGGCGATCCAGGGTGTCACCAGGTGCGGTGTGACCTTGTTGACCTGGCAACACGAAGATCGTCGAAACCAATTTGTCGCTTCCGCCAAGGGCGACCGCGGTAGCGTCGATGCTGGGCTCGTAGCCGGCTAAGACACCTGATCGCCAAGTGGTAGCCGGAACCGGCACAAGTTTTCTCTGTCTGACAGCTGGCGAGACCGCGAAGTACAATTCGCCGTCCCTGCCGATGGAACTGGTCAGAGTACTGTTGCAATCAGTCTGAAACACATTAGCGGAAAGCGCCGCCAAAGGTGACCTGAGTGGTACCGTGTTGGTCTTGACGAAGTCCTTGATTCTACCACCTGTCTGTTTCCTGACCAACAGATTCGTCCTCCTGCGAACGAGATCGCTGATGGTGGCGAAGTTCACCTCGGCTACGAGACCCTCGTAAAATTGTTGAGCCTGTTCCTTGTAGAAAGGCATGAGCTTCCGGACTTTCATCTTGTCAGCGAAGAGCTCGCGAACGAAGGCGGCGTTTGCGATACCCTGACTACGGGCTAAGCTCACCGTGTCGGTTATATTCTGGAACACCAAGTGCGGATTGAAGGTAGCCACGTCGTCCAAGCCGAGCACCTCGTTCATCTGATCTGAAGTCGGCCCACGCGCGCCTAGGAAGATCATCGCCAGCAGGCTGGTCATACCGAATGGTGACAAGGCCAGCGACCTCGCGGTACTCAGACCTTTATTGGTGGCTACCCAGAAATTGAAGGCCAGCTCGTTGCACAGTCGGGCGAAATTGACGATATCGGAGCTCGTGTGTCTTATAGTAACATCCAATCCGCTTGCACTCTGCGACGCGTCCCAAAGTGGTATCATAGATTGAGTCGAAGTGTGTTGATCCTGCTGATCCGGCTGATGGGTCACCGCCGTTTCGGCTGCCGGTGAACGATTTTCGACACTCTCGTCCTCCGAGTTGGACGGCGACTGAGTCTGGACTTGATTTATTGGTTTCCTCGGCGGTTTCGACGGTGTCATAATCGGCGAGGTTTGTTGCGATATAAGTGTCCACTTATCCTCCGTGTTCACGTCCGCTTCGGACTTCGTGAGATCAGACTTCTCCGATGGTTTATGATCGACAGTAGGCTTTGACGTTTGACGGACTGAAGGTGGAGTCGATAGCGGAAAACGTATTACTTCCGGCTTCGAAGGGTTCTCAGAATGTTTCGAAGACGTGGATTTATTATCCGTGTTATTTAAATTAATCTGCGAAGTGTTCTTCATTGATGAAATATTAGCGTTGACTGTCGACGTGGTCTGTGTCACATTTTTATTATTCTGATTTGATGTGTTCTTGGCAGAGTTCAAATTGTCCGCATTAATCAGACTTGGTTGAGAAAGTTCTTCCTTGTTCTCATTTACATTCCCCGATAATTTCTGCGTCACATTTTCGATGATAGGACGATCGGTACTTGCATATTCTTGAATCGACGGAGAAGACAAGGAATTAGTATTATTTTGATTTATGTTATTTTTATTTTTATAATCAGTTGTATTATTAACATGATTTTGCGAAAACGCAGAATTTACAGGACTTTTATCTGACATGGGAACGTTAGACGTAACATTTGAAATTGTGACATTGCTAATGTACTCGTGTGAGCTGTCAAACTCGGAATTGGAATCGTTAGCAGGAATTTCAACAGCTGACGGAGTATTTGTGAAAGATCCATTTTTTTCTATTTTTGAACTACTCTTCGAAGCATCTGCCAAATTATTCGCGTTAACCGAATCAATTAATTCAACTTTTACAGGTAATCGCGGTAATTCGGGACTTACGTCCGTCCTTATAGCAGGCGCTTCTGTCATTTTTACTTTTTCCTTATTTTCTATTTTCTTTTTATTAGTTGTATTGATATTTGTCGATTGCTCGGGATTTGCCGTGACAATTTCTGCAGCAATAGTGCTCTGTCTAATATTATTCTTTAATTCGTCGTTAATATTCGTGAATTTGTTTAATGAAGATAAAGATATGGTCGTAGGATAATCGAAACTCGACTCATTATTGTTTATCAATTTAATCGGTTCCAACGTATCATTTGACTCTCTTGTCTGCATAATTATTTCGGGTTTCGTGACGTTTCCAGCCGGATTTGTCGATATTTTTTGCGTTGACGTTTGAATAATATTTTTCTCTCCCTGATACTCATTTACATTAAATCCTACAGTTTCTTCCTGCAGCTTAGTAATACTTTCGGTGGATTCTGCAAACTTTGTCGCGTCACTCGACGTATTTTTCGCTATCTGGCTCTCTTCGTAGGACGATCTTTCTGACGTTGCAAATCCGGCGATAAGACTACTCGCTAAATCACTAGCTACAAAGTTCGTCGTATCACTCGGTAAACCGATCGGCTCGATCGCAGGAGTGCTGGGCGGAACCAACGCGAGATTCAATACTTGATCGATAGCGGACACTGGATTACTCAAGTTTAAGTTTGCCAGAACATTATCGAGATATTCGCTGATCGGATTCAAAGACTCGGCTGTCGATTGCGTCTTAGCTGCATCAGTCGAAGTGACAGGTGAAATTTCCTCTTGAGACAATTCTGTAGTTTGATCGATGACTTGTTTCTCCAAAGTCGGTACATTAGTAGCGGTGGTGATTTCGAGAGTCGCGAGAGTTTTGGTCTGATTTTCCGGCAAGATGTCGTGAATCTTTTCCAGCTGGATCTTCACTGGAGAAGAAGATGTTGATTTTGTATTAGTCAATTCAAGAGTCGATCCAGCTGGCGTCGTGATAAAAATATCATTAATCGTCATTCTGTTATTCGTCGCTTCGCTCTCAATCGCCGATGTCGTCATCTTGATCCTAGTGTTCGCATCACTGATCGATTCTCTGTTCATTGCATTGACGGGTCGTTGAGTGATAGAGTAGTCGATAAGTCTAGAAGTACTATCCTGCGGTGGAATTTCTGTGCTAACTTCTACGTAGGTTTGCGTACTGAAACGTTCGACAGCTTTTTCGATTGCGTCATGAGACGTATCTGGATTCGCAAGCTCACCCGAATCGTTGCGTCTCTGATCGTAATTAATATTCATGATCGACATTTCCGGCGGCCCCTCGTCCGACAAAGATAATATAGCGGGTTTTACTTCCGAAACCTGATTCATTACATTCGAAAAGGAATCGCTCAATTGCGTGGATAGCGGTTCCATCGGTGCCAAAGATTGGATCTTGGTTAGAGATTGGGAATCGTGATAATTTTCCGTGTACGTTGACGTAACCGGGCCTAATGATTCTTTCGTAACGATCGAGGAGCCTTCACCGCGATGACGATCCGTGGTATGTAGCGAAGTCGGAACAGTCGCGGCCTCGATTGTCGAAGAGGTGGCGAACGTGGATGGTGAATGCAATGCGATTTTGTTAGTCGCAGCCACCTCGGATTTTACAGGCACGGACGCGTGAGAAAGCGGTTCCGAGGTGGCGGTATAAGCTGGTGGGATTATCTTATTATCATCATTGTGCGTCCCGTTAATTTGGGATTCTTTCGTAATCGCGGGTACGAATGAAAAATCTTCCGATTGTTTCGTATTGTTCTTATCCTGGATAAGAACGTAACTCATATTCGAGAGAGAAGAGATCTTGTCAGCTGCGTTTGTCACTTCGACAGGTTCGCGTGTTACAGCCTGCTTTGTATCGACGATAGAAGGATTCGTCGATGTACCCGGAACAATCGTCGAATAGACGGTTGGGACTTTGATTTCCTGATTTGCGGGACTTGCTTGATTATCCGGATTCATAGACGTCTGCTTCGTGACATGTATAGAATGCGTATCTAAGCTCGTTAGTTGCGAGAATGTCGTAGCTTCGGGTACTTCCGACAGCATTAACTCAACGAACTGCTCCGTTTGACTCGGTCCTTCGGTCTTCTGAGTGGTAGACGGTTGAGAGAAACTCGTGGCACCGATGTCGGCTGTGTACGAATCGGTCTGGCCTGCCTTATTATGTGTACTTTCAACCGGAATCACACTTAGCATTTGGAAGATTGGGCTTTCGGTGATGGCAGAATGCAAGGTAGAGAATTTTTGTTCCGTCAAAGTGATGACTGGTACTGGAATCATTGGTTTCTCCGTGATTTCCGACATCTGATGTTGCGAATAATGGGCAGGATGTAGTTTCTCGTTATGTTTCTCGTGCTGCATATTATTCGTAAAACCAGCGTACGCATTTGTCTGAACGTCCGGCGTCGTCGGCTTTTTCGTCCCCGGATTTTTCAGACCAGTTCCGATATTCGTCGCGCTCGACGACGCAGTTTCTGTCTTATTTTCTGTCGTAAGCTTATGCAACATTTGATTAGATTCACTGCCGGGAGAAATCGCATCTGCCTCGCCGGACAGAATGGAAGGGAGAATGTTGCTCCATTCGACGTTTGCGTGTTCTGGAATCTTCGGTATCAAACCCGTTAAGATCGGTGGCTTGTCGAGTGCGCTCTTCAACACATTCTGTACCTTCTGTACTACATCCATGACCTAAAATACGACGTGAAATATGTTAAATCCGTAAACGAAAACATGACAGCTCCGTTAGCTCCTAACTAGTTGTGTTTTTTTTATTTTTGTCTCTCATTTATATTCAAATGACAACTAATTTTAACAAGAATCTATAAACTCGATATTATACGTTTTCGTCGAATATTAAGTTTCCACGAAAATAATTTTAACTATATATTTAGATAAATTTAATACTTTATTAAATATATGTCTTATCATATTAAAAGATTGAATTATTTGTTTTTATTTTTTATTAAAATACTTTATTTTAAGTAAAATAAAATATGTACGTATGTATATATGTGTTGCGCTATTATTTTGATCTATTTTTCATTTACAGATAGAGGAGAGACAAAAGACGAGAGACAAGAGACGGTGAATCGACCTTTTTTCCGCCAGTCAGTACATCATCGGCTTTTTGAGGTTCTTGTCTATCCACCGCGACGTGATCCGCGCCACCTGCAGCGATGAGACCTTGAATTTCCTGAGCGGTCATCTGCCGCGTAATCATATCACCCTTGTCGTTGTAAGTATAAAACTGAAACTTGTCGGGCCGCAAAAGTCCAGCCGGGGAAGCGACCAGTTTGTGGCTGGATTGCGTGTCGTTTTTGCCATTCGGAGAATGCACACGTTTGTTGTAATCCTGGCGGATCATTGTTGAAGTAGCTATGCTGTAAAGGCACGAAAATTCGTCCAGAATATTATCGTAACTTTTTATCGTTGCTTTTACATATTCAATTAATCTCTAATCGATATAAAAATCCTATTATTATCTAAAAAGAATTTTTATGAACTGAATTGTAGATTAATGTATACTCGCATCTTGTATTTTTCATCTCTGAAAATTGTTTATCTCTTAATGAACTTGCTTCGAAATTTAAATGAGCACTGATAAAGAGTTATGATAGACAAATATCAGCATAGATTTTTCCACGAATTGATAAGAACAAAAAGTTCAATGCGCGCATAATTTTTCGTAATTAGTCTGTTCATTAAGAACACCGAAGCTGAATCTGGCAGCTCGGGAACTAAACCGCGACGCTTTTAATAAGAACCGACCGTGTTTTTCATTCTTCTCCTTTTCCGCATTCTCTGCCTTGTCTTTCCCATGCGAGACGCGATTTTTATCTACGTATGCCTCGTTCATATTATCTTACGTTGTCTTTATGTCATCCATTCGTATGAATTTTCTGAGAAAACTCAGAATTTAATTATAATTCTACACATATACGCTTCCATACATTCTATTGAATTATTATCCTTAAATCTATGAATATATACACGGAATTTGCAATTTATATAAAGGCCATAGGAAGGTTTCTCGTGAAATACTGACCTAGGATCAAATGTATTCACAGATACGTGCGAACGTTCATCATGAGCCGGTAAAGACGCACTTAATTTCAGGTTCGTCAAAGATACAATTAGTGCTGGCAAAAGCCAGCGTAATCGTTGCAGCAACATGATATATAATATTCGATTTTCTGAAAATGAAAAAAAATCCGAGATTGTGAAGACATAATTGAAATCACTCTTATTATTAACTTTCTTTTTTTATTTACGATTTGTGCAAGAATATTTATTAAAATTTATCAAAGAAATTTCAATAGAGAATATATATATATATACATATATAATTTTCTCTTAGAATTTACCGTGAAAATCATGGGATAATATGGTATTGTAAGAATTTCATAAGAGTTTCTTTGATTAATATTTACCATAATAAAAAATGTTAATTAAAAAAATAATGTGTAGTAAATATTAATCAGAGAAACTCTAATAAAATTCTTTCAATATCATATATTGTCCTACGATTACCATGATGTTCAGATTAAATTTTAAGAGAAAATGCTCTTTGTACATATAATTAAAGAATATAATTTTCAACACATTTAGAGAAATAAATGGAGAAATAAATATTTATATGATACGGGATACAGATAAACCGCATAAAAACCATGACATAACAACATGCGAAGAAAAAGAAGCAAAGGGAAAGAGAGATAGGTCATTGAACCTTTTTTAAATTCTTGCTGGTTATATTATCGATCTTGACTTCATTAGCTCTATACATTGCATATAACATGCAATTAGCGTTGTATGTTTTTGCCTCTTAAGAAATCTTATATATATATTCATAAGAAAATTTCATCGCGAATATTTTTTTCTCTTTCCTTTGCCTTATTGTAAATTCATAATTATAGATTGCTTGAAAAAATAACTTATAGCTTCTCGTAAACACACTCACACTTTGAAAACGAAGACAGACTCCTTGAAAATGTCATTTAATCCCGTCGAGAGCTAATTACCATCAATAATCCCGATGCCAATAACCCGCGATAGCGTTCTTGAAAACTTGACACTGAACACACCAGTTGTGACGTGACACAATCACGCGTAATAATAATTGGCAAAAAGAAACTGCTGGGCAACAGTTTTGACGAAGTGGATCCCGCACGGTGCTCGATTCTTCAACGCGAGACGCGATAAAGTCTATCCCTTTTGCTCTCTCTCTTCTCTCGCGTCCGTCCTGCGTTCCTCTTTCTCTCTTTCTCTCTCTTCCTCCGTGGCTTCCCTTCTTCGTTAAGGGATCAAGGACGTTTCGCAGTTGAAACTATTTTGCGGTCGACCTTGTTGGTCAGACACTGGCCGGTGTAGCGACCTCGGTGAAGATTACGGAGCGATGTTCCGCGAACTCCTCCCTTTTCTTTCTGCGTGCAGGTCCTTTCTTCAGTGCGTGTACCTCCCTCTCGTATATACTCAGCACTCGCTTGACACTCCGGGTTCTTCTTCCTATGCCACTTGTTCGCTTCTGCCGTCTTATACCCTGGATAAACACGTACTGCAAGGTAGGATCCTTGGCTGGGACGAGCGCAGTGGAACAAGAGGCAGAAGAAATAAAGGAGGGGAGACGCTCCTGAAGGGTAAGACAGAGAAAGGACTCGCCTCCTCTTCTCGCCTCTCGCGATAGTCGTTCGGATGGAGTGGATTACGCGGAAACAGGTGACCAAGCGTACGTGCGCATTCCCTCCGAACAGGTTGCCTTTGATTTCGAGTACGAATTGCATCGAGATTACGTCAAAATCTTGCGACAAAAATTGTCCAAACAAGGCAATGTGCATCGATTTAGCTTATTGTTGGTTTTAATTTAAAAAAAAAATGATGGAGTAGATGATGAGTTTGATGACAAACGTTAAGGAGTCGGACTTGAGTTCGGCTTGACGTAGCGCATCGCGGAAAGCCGCTATACGAATTGATGATCTCGGGAGATCTGTCGGGAGAGACATAGCGAAACGAGGTAGCTAGCTCATATTTTTTCGAAACGACAAACGCAACGTAAGCCAAGTCGACGATTCACAGCGACGATTAACGGTACATCGACCGAATGAGTCTCATACATGACGTACTAAATTGTGAAAGAACCAGTAATGGGCCGTGTGAATGGACACCGCAAAAATGCGGCTTTCGGGTGGGGAAAAGGAGGAGGGGAATTTAAAAGAGATTTTATCTGGCTAAATTTATTCCTCCTTTCTCCCTTTCTTCTCTCTCAACGAACTTGACCAGCGTCATCCACCCTTCTCGATACCACTTGACGTAATTCATTCATAAACGAATCGATCGTCCAAGGCTCGACGTAGATTATGTGGGTTCCCCTAATAGCGATTCTCTTCCAAGAAGGACAATTTTATTGATCTACTAAAACTTCCGTTCGCCAGAACTAGGCTATCGTGTCACGTCTCGAGCGGCACGAGAGCAAGAAGAAGGAAGAAGAGGGAGGCGAACCAAAAAACGATAGATAGATTTGGGTTTGACAGTTGATCACGCGAGAGAAGATGGACGGGCTTGCGCGCTTGGCGAAAAACCCGTTTCTCGCTTCTCGCGCTAGCTACGTCTGGTTAAGTTTTCTGTGAACGTCGAACATGGACGGGTTAATAAACAGCCGTCCCACTTGCACGACTGTTCATCCGTAACCCACTGTTTACCAAGACAACGGTACTGCGCCGCACCGCGCCGGATTAAGGCTTATCCAACGGTTACCTATCGACAAATTCGACATCGGGATTGGGAGGAGTAGCACAGAAAAAAGGGGGACGCGAGCAGAGGAGAGAGAGAACGAGAAGCGCTGGCAACTCCACAAATCCCCGACCTATTTTTCTCGCCAAGTAGATTTCTCGTACGATCAATTCGCGAATCGATCAAACACATTTTTTTGGATCTATTCTAAAGATTTTTATTCTTCAACGGAGAAACTCGAATTGATTTGAAATAAATAGAGAAAAGATCGCGCGTGATTATTTTTCTTATAGGAAAAGCTGAAGACCGGTGGGTTACGATTTACAGAGACATCGATGCGCGATAGAACATTAAAGGTGATAATCTTGGAGTAACTTTTTTTAAGAAATATGGATCATCGCAAAAAGTTGCTCGTTGTTGCTCCAAGACACAACTTGAAACTTTCGGTAACAACTAGCAACTTTTTTAAGACACAGAACATCAAGAAAAAATTGCTTGTTGTTGTTTCAGTGAGAATATAACTTTAGAATTTGCTCTTAGCAGTGGTATCGACCTTTACTCGAGTTCAGGGATTAATTTGAGCTTTTTACGAGAAGCAATAATTTGCTCTTCGACTACTACTATAATTTCAAGCACCATTTCTCTCTTCGACTTTACTCAGTACTTAGAGTACGATAACGCTCGGGTGGAAAGGAGAGAAAAAATACAAGTTCGCCCCCCGGTGTACGTACCTACTTATGAGAAATTCTCAGGTGCGTGAGAGATTCTCCAGAGAGGTGTCACGCTCGGCTGAGCTAACACGACATTCCAGATTACGTAGCTGGAATCGTTGCTCCGAAGGGAGCATCGTCCGGAAACGACTGGCGTAATCGTCCCCTCCTTTTCACTCGAGTCTAACGTAGCGAATCTAATGTTATAATAAAAGTATCAATTAATAACTTACTACATACGCATAAATTCTACGATCCTGTTTATACCTGTTTATATTTAATCTAATGCGAGGGCGTATAATAATAGTATCAATTAATAACTTACTACATACGCATAAATTCTACGATCCTGTTTTACAGAAAGAATTATGCGTGGGAAAAATATTTTGCGCGTAGTATTTTCTCATCTCACTTCTTACATAGGAAAATCTTATAATGAATTAGTTACAGAATAAGACTCGGTGCATTATAAGATTTTGACTCGTAAACGAAAATCGATCGCAGAACATATCATTTTTAAATTATGACTCTAACAATTTCATAGTATTACTATGGTGACCATCCATTCTTATTTATTTTAGAGGACAGTCCTTTATTTTTCAAGTAGCTGTTTTTTAGATTTATTCATTTTTTTAACTCAATTTTGTTTTTTATTTTTTTTATTTAGCGCTTCATTATCTAATGTTAATGTCATATAGTATTAACGTGAGAATTATATAAAAACAACGGTATCTCTTATTCGGAATCTTTTAAGAAACCAAGGGTTTGTTTCTCAACATATAGTCGAATCAGTTTCAAACTATAAAAATAATAACGTAGACTTCTGATAGTCACAGAATTATTTTTTTGCTCGTCGATCTCTATTTTGGTCGCAAGAACTGATTTGGAAACATGTTGAAACAAAACCCTAAAATTTTCAAATTTGTCCTTTATTTTTTTTAGAAAATATGGTTACCGCAAGTAATCGCTTAAAGTTCCTGTAACAAAAAATATAGAAACAGCGCATTGATAATTGGCATATCGATTTATTGGTGCATTATAAATTGTGTTAAAGACAAGTCCGGCCAATAATACACATTTCAATAGGCATGTGCTTGCGTTTGCTATTCAAAGCTGAAGAGTATACCTCGGACGAGCGCCAGTTAGCTTATTCGCACTAGTATGAGAACGCGTGAAACTTGGGGAATATGTTTCTCGACACATATACAGTGGAGAATGTACCACTTTCTGACACATAACAGTAGTATTTGCGGCATACACACGATGGTCTTTCTCTCTCTTTCTCATAGAAATACACGAGAGGCATATAACGGTCTCCTCACCGTTGTCCCATCGTGTGTTACGAATACGTGCGTATCCGAATCACGCGCCTCTCCTAAAAATCTGATTTAGTTACGCGTGCGGGATATAAAAAGCCGCATGCTACCAGGCCCTATTATACCATTTCGCATTTTATTCACGAATTCGAGACGCGTGCCTGCCTGGTTTTTGCACGCCGTTCGTGCGTCCAGACGGCTTATAATTAACCGACCAAGAATATGCCAGGAATACTAGGCAACGGGGACATTCTGTAAGGATGAAACCTAGTCTCGGTTCATGTTTCCGGAAGGAGAAGTTGACTCTTCTCGTATAAAAATTTATTCGTAGTAGTTAACAATAAAAGAATAGACATAAAGTATAATGACAATGAGAGAAGGGATGAAGAAGCAAATTAAGATAATATTTACAACTATAATATTCGCTATTTTTTCATACATGTAGATACGAGATATATCAGATACGATGAAGAAAAATGATAACAAAGAGGAAGATGAGATTGAAATGTTACGAGAGACTCGATTCATCAGTGGAAGCACTTATGAAGGGTCGTGGAATGCGATTGACAAGAGCGGCATCGGCAGATATGTCACACCTTACAGTTAATTGATCTTAATTAATTTCAAGAATTAATTCTTTTAAAAATAAAAAGTTTTACATTAGAAACAATAGTTCAAATTTTATAATTATACAGGGTCTCTGACATAAAGTGTCACACCGAAAATATACAAGATCTTGTTATTTGGAGGCAATTTTTCCTCAACAAAAATATTGAGGCATCAATATAATTTTCGAGTTATAAGCGATTGAAAATAAAGGGTTTTTCGTAAACTACCCAGATAGCACAAGCTATTGAAAAAGAATTCATTTGTATGCCACCAATTTCGAGTCCTTTTTCAAATACATATAGAATTCATTTTACAAAATGAATTCTATATGTATTTGAAAAAGGACTCGAAATTGGTGACATACAAATGAATTCTTTTCGAATAGCTATGCTATCCGGGTAAGCATTGCGGAAATAAAATATTAACAAAATCACATTCTCCAATTAATTTCAAGTAGAGTTTACTTTAATAAAATTTTAATTTAAGGTTTAGTTATAAAGATACATGATGGTAAAAATTGGGAACATGCAAAAAATGATGGCCTCCCTCGACAGTTTTGCCGAGGAAAAATTCACCTCCAAATAACGAGATCTATACTTGTATATCTTTGGTGTGACACTTTATATGTTAGACATCCTGTATATAGTATTAAATGAACTGAGAAGAACTAAGAGCAGTCATTAATTAAAAATTAATTAAAAATTAATAATTATTAATTAATGACCAATCATCAACTAGATTATTTCCTATATAATATAGAGCTTGTAGAGGATTTTACAATCATTTTACAATGCATCAACATCAATTAGTTGCCAGTCTTATTATTTATCTTTCAGAAGTTGTATTAGAGGGAGAATATCGGAATGGCATGCTTCATGGTTGCGGAAGTATGTATTGGCCACGTGGACAAGTGATGGATGGTATCTGGAATCGTGGAAAAATAGACCGACAAAAGCGTTATACGTTCGCGGATGGTTTATCATATCGAGAAGCTGAATGGGATTATTGTACATTTCCGGACAGGCGGTTGGCAATCAAACTTTAAACAGAAAGTCTTATATAAATTACTACATTATCTCTAACATTATAAAAATATTTTAGATTTTATAATTGTATAGTAAACGGACTGAGACCAGCCGGGAAAGTATTGAAAACTAATGACCAACCGACTCAGATTATTCCTCCGTTCTGCTACGACACCGGTGCCGGAATATTCGATCCAGACAAGAACTGTGTAATATCATATCATAATTGTAAAAAAGTAAAAAAATATGCTGCCCAACAATAATAATAAATCAAAAAATGCTACTTCTATATCCTATTCTCGCGAAGTAAATATGGTATAATAGATTTAAAAAATTGTAAAGGTACTCAAGATTCCGACAACTGCAGAGATTAAGTGGATAAAGAAAAATTGCCGAAGAAGCTGGTCGGAACCGACCGGTCATCAAGAATGGTTACGTGAATATTGGCAATCGGGAGCGGCGGATTTTGCAACGTTACCGCACATCTCGTCGGAGGATGAAACGGAAAATTGGTGGCAAAGGTGTTTGATATAATGCAATCTTTTAGTTACAATTATATATATGTAATTTATAAAATTATTTGCTAAAATCATTATCTCATCTCCTGCTCTATATTAATTTCATATATCAAGACTGACGAAATTTGCCAGACATGCGACCACAGACGTGAAGTGGATAAAACACAATTGCGTGAGAGAAAGTCAATTATTAAAACGTTAAATAATACGGAGGAGAAATGTATAGATATATTAAAACTTAAAGTAATTAAAAATTAATTATAAAATATAACATAAAATTTTATAAAATTTATATAGGCGATAACACACTTATGTATATATTCTTCACATACGAAAATTATAAAATTGATAATCGCTAGCCAACAACGAGTTCTTTCTTTTCAGTCACAATTATAGGTGCATCTGTTCTTCGATGCACGTTAAATAATACAGATAGTTTCAATGGTACACACGAGTCGACTGTGCAAGCCATTATGTTCAAAGTAACGCGCAATTGAGTTTGCGCTTCATCTGGAGGAAGCTTCATCGATATAGGAGTTGAAAGTCCACCCGTCAAAGAGTTTGCTGTCCATGTATTGACAGGTAAGGACACATGCCATTCTTGTGGCGCATCTACATTTAACTTCAAATTATTTGAAAATACAATATTAAATAGAATATTTAATTCTCCACCATTCGTGTTAATCGACGTATCGAAAGTAAATGTATTATCAATATTTTTATTCGAATCATGTTCGAATGTAATAGCCATCTGAAAGATAAAATTAATATATATGTATGTATGAGTATATATAAAATATTTAAAAGAAAGCTTATATATACTTACAGTTGAAATTTTTTCGTTTTTCAAGTCAATAATCTTGAGAGCATGATTATTAGTATCTGTTACATAAAGAATATTACCATCTGGACTGACAGCAAGGCCACTTGGTTCGTTGAACTGAAAAAAATTATTTAAAAATTATTGCACTAAAAGGTTTGCAAATAACTTTTAAAATTATCTTCCTAAAAATATAACGAGACTTACGGAAAATGTGCGATCAGGTTTCCCCGCACCAAATAAAGTTTTACAATATCCTGTTGCAGTATCTACAGTTTTAATTTTGTGATTATAGGTATCGGCTATATAAATTCGTTTATTCACATAATCCCATGCTACCCCCAATGGATGTTGAAGTTTAGCCGAGTATTCTTTTCCGTCTACGTCTCCGAAAGAATGTAAATTCTACAATATAAATTAAATAAGCACATTATCATCTCATAATTTATATATCGCTATCAATTAAATAAAAACTGACATATTTTTTGCTCATATACAAATCGTCAAACAAAAATATTTAATATAAAACAAACCGCAGGATTTTTGTCTCCTCCACAAACAGCAGAGACCCGACCATTATCTAAATGCAATCGTCTGATAGCACTGCTTTCGCTATCTGCCAAAAATGCAGTTTTATATTCTTGAACGACTGCGATACCGGAAGGTTGTGCTAGCCCAGCAGCATGAGGATAACTATTGTTACGATTTTCCTCCCGGCCACTTCCGACAATAGCAACGCATGTGCCTGCTGTGTATTTCCTAAAATATAAAAAAATAATAAATATTAAATATTTTCTTAAAAATGGTAAATGTTTAAAAATATTAAATATTAAAAAATTATAAATTAAATATTAAATATTTTCTTAATGAGAATTACTTGAGCAAAGGAGAAATATTCATTCATTTTATATATTTTACAAGAAAAAGAAACTAAAATTAAATACAAAAATATTTCTATTTTATAGCCGCCTATCTTGAATTTTGGGGTCTTTTAAATCTATGTTAATTGTTTCCTAGAGTTAAAAATATTACATAAATAATATCTCACTTTTCTTTCCACCAAATAGTGTCTTCCAAAAACAATGCCCAGATCTGATGAGTACCGCTATGGCGATTAATAAGACTGGCACTCTGCTATCTTTATATTCGTGATGATAGATTGCCACATCCCAAGGGGATGATAAAACTTGATTGGTACCGCATTTTCCACCTTGACGGTCGTGACCTTGTAAACCAGTACCAGCTATAGTAGATACTTTTTTTTCAGTCAGATTTATCTAAAAAGTGATTAATGTTCATAATGAAAATACAGAATTAATATTTTAAAATACGAGAATGAATGAGAACATTTTTCTCCTTACTTTTCTAATTGCATGGTTGTTGTTATCAGCAACATAGATTGCGTTATTAAGTACACAAACCCCTTGGGGTGAATTAAATCTGGTATTTTTGAAATTGCCATCTTTAAAACCCTGATCATATCCACCTATAATGTGCTCCACTTTCCCATGTTCAGTTGCGATGACAATTCTATTATTGCCACTATCTGATATGACGAGTTTTATTCCTTGCTCAGATGAAAGAATTGCTAATTTTCCAGGAAACAATAAGCCATTTTTAGAAGATGGTAAAAGATGATATGCCGGCTTCAGTGGAAGACTATGGTTCGACATTTGATTTAAGGATTTGAAATATGCTATCATTACTTTTGCATATAAGAGTATTTCATTTTTATGATCTTCACCAACAAATACAGCCAACGGCTGACCGCTAGGTCCTGAAATAGATTTTTAATTATATAGCGATAATAAAATTCATACATATAATATTTAAATCTAATATACAAAAAGACAAAAATGTGTGTAAAGTTACCTAACATGACAAGGCTAGGCCAACATGTAATTCCCATATTGTTCCACATCCTTAATGTCACATCATTTACCACAGGATGTTCGATATTATATCTCTGTACAGCAGATAAGACATTCTTTGAGTTACGTTCATTTGAAAACTTTGCACTGTGAATTCCAATCTGAAAAGTTATCAGTTGTTATGTGACTGTTATAATCTAAGTATATGTTCATAATTTTTCCTGCGTTAAATAATATTTACCACAACAAGACCATCTTCCATAGAGATTTTCTTTTCAACCTCTTCTAATTCAGCTAAAACATGCATGCAATTGATGCAACAATAAGTAAAAAAATCCAACAGCACAATTTTTCCCTTCAAATGCTGCGCCAATGATAATCCTTCCGACACGTTAAACCACTCCAAGCCTGTAATGTGTAAAAACATAAAGACATATGAAAATACATAATTATATATATTATATATATTAGTATGAATATAGAATATAAAAATTTCACTTTTATCACTATTAGTTCACTTTGCTGTTCATAGAAAATTAGCAGTAATTATATAGTTATAAAATTTACAGATGACAAAAAAATCACCTTTCGGAAAATCCTGAATTTCCACTCCAGTATTTTCATATCGCTTGATATGTTTTAGAATTAATTTCTCTCTGTCCTTCTGTTCCGCGAAGTCATCTAGATGAGAGCGCATTTGAATGCAAACTTGCGTCAATTCCTCGACTACTTCCTGCGCGTTCATTTTATTATTTACGAGTCCACACATAAATGCACACGAAAAGTAATCAAGAATTAAATAAAATACTCCAAACAATTACGAGCATTCATCACAGTCTCTCTCGCGGAAGTATTTGACGTATTCCGTACAAGAGCTATATATATAGGACGATACTGAATGACATCATATGATCGTATTTACTTTATTAAAATCGGAATGGAAGGAATCAGCTGGAAGAGAAAGGGAGAGGATAAAGTAAGATTATAATGATCTTTATCATTGTCATCGAAATTCGATGGATGCGAAATAAATGATATATATTAATGATTTATACAGATTTCAAAGTGGAATTAATTTAATGCAACAATTATATGTTTAACGGGACCCGAATTCATGCTCTTCCGCATGTGGACGTAAATAAACATTCGGCTCGCGTGGTAGGTTCTGCCAAAGTGTCTGACACAAGTTTCATCAAACGACGAAGATGTCCGGCCCAAAACCAGAGGAGTTAGATTGGGTGAAAATACGAGAAGATTTGGACAGCGATTTTATAGGCGAGACGATATTGGAAAAAGCGAAACGCAAAACACGAGAGAATCCACTTGTTCCTATAGGTGAAGTAACCTCTAACCAGATTTGATCCGGTTAATTTCTCCTCTTATAATCAGAAATATAAAAAACAATATATATATATATATATATATATATTCTTTGTTTATTAAATAAATATATATTTATTTCTACAAAGAGCATTGCATTATTCTTTGAAAATTGTTTAGGTTATTTTTGTGAAATATTTACAGAGTGTAATAGGAAATTGCTAATCAGCTATCATTTTTTAATGCATGCAGTTATTGAGAAAACAAAAATTGTGTTGGAAAGAAGAAAGTCTGCTGTTTTTAACAGATATAAATAAAATGTTTGTAAACAGCTGACCAGTTTCAGCAATTTCTTATAAAACACTATATATTGGAGAACAGTTATCAAAGATTTACATAAACTATAAAAATGTTTTAGAGTAGATTTATATTTCTCTAGGAGTTCTTGCAACAACAGCAGCACTGACTGTTGGACTTATCAGCTTTACTAGAGGAAAAACACAGATGCAACAATATATGATGCGTGCACGTGTTGGCGCTCAGGCATTTACCATCATTTGTATAGTTGCTGGATTTATTTTGATACCCAGATCAAAATAAGATATTATGTAACATTAATTTATATGAATGCGAATTAATATTTGCTATAGTATATAAAATACTTTTATGTCACATTAGATTACATTAGATGCAATATGTATTTGAGTAAATATTATATTGTTTTTCTTAAATTATATTTGTGTAAATTAGTACATACAGTATGGATTGAGAAAAAACATTCACAGTACCATCTGTAAATACAAAAATATATTTTTAATTGCAATTATTAAACCAAAATTATAAATATTATTATAGTATTTTTTTAACAAAGTATCCACAATTATCATATTTATAATATATAAAAAAATATTTTATTAAATTTTCTTGTAATCTTTTCTTTTAAAATTGCATGTATAAATCAAAATGCATAATGAGGATTTTCAAAAATAAACGCATAGATGGTTGTATAAATGTTATTATTTATTTTATCATTATTATATTATAAATTCTATATATCACACATATAGATGTATGTGTATTCTTGTGTTACAGCCATACTAAATATTGCAATGCTCTTATTTTTTAAATAAACTCAAAAGCATTATGCTAGGGCTGCTTTTATACTTTTTTCAGTAATAAAGCTTTATCTTATAAAAGTAGAAAAGAAAAAGTGAGAACCCATTTAAAAATCGAAATTTTTTGTACTCTTTTACATCCAACAAGTTTTTTATACATATCAAATTATTAATTGATATGTATTACATATCACTTTCCAAATTTTTCTTATATACTGCTATATATGTATTTTGCTACATATGTATTTTAAATTGAGAAAGATGTCACATCCAATCAAACAGTATGTATATATTTAGATTTATCTTTTATAATAATTAAAAAATTGTAAGATATTTAAATATATCATCAATACCAGATTATAGAAAAGTCTGATATATAGAAAAATATATATGAAAAACTTTTGTATATTCATCTTTTTATGCAATTAATCTGGACTTGTCGGACATGTTGATTCTTCAGAAAGAATCGTGCACGTAAAATCGTTACATATTCTTATTAGAAGAAGTTAAGTGAGATTTTAATGTAATGGCACTTTGTTTAAACGCACCGCTGATACTCAATGAACGGGAACGTAGGCTTGTCAAACTGTTTGTGGAACTACAACTGCTTAGACTAGTACTAGGTGTGAGATCAAAAATTGTTTGTACAGTAGGTCTTGCGGATGTATAATCCGATGGGATTGATTCTGTAATGAAAGAAACACTAGTTAACAAAAAGTGTGTTCATATTTTTTTTTAGAGAAATATCTTATTTATCAAATTTTGTAAATTAATGCATATAATAATTATGCACGTTTACCAATTAAAGGTGTCTCGTCGTATAAAGAGCCCTGCCTTTTATTGCTGATAAAAGAATTTCTTGTACTTTCAATGCTAGACACCCTTTGAACAACTTCCGCAGCGTGTTTCCATCTCAAGTGGTCATTAATGTGTGTTGATAAGAGCATCAGCCATTTTTGAGCTTCCTCCTTTGATTCAAATTTAATGGACAATAGTTTGTTCACACTATTGCCAGAATTATTTATCAAAAGTTCTTTAGTAGAAACTTTAGACAATCGAATGGATGTTCTCTACAAATATAAATGAAACAATTAGATGAAACATTAAAGTGACTATAGAAAAGTATATATATGATGCAAAGTTACCAACTAACTTTATTAATTGGTATGACATGCTCCGGATTTTGACCTTCTTCTGCATGTTTTTTCGATTCCCATATTTTGATGCAAAAACCTTGCAAACGGGCCCAATAATTTTGATTGTCTAGCTTCACATTGCTGATGTTTATTTCCTTGTTGATACAATCTGGTTGTGCTGCCAATCGGCAACAAAAGTGACCGAAAAGTGGCAAAGAATGATATTTGTGTTCTGGAAAAAAAGAAACGTGATTTAAGTATTTCAAACATGCCGAACTTTTCATATTACTCACCGATATTATTAACAACAAGATCATGCGTGTGAATGTTATCGTCCGTGTCATCTAGGGTCAGTTTTGCACGAGCTACTAAATCAAAGTGCGGTCCACTGAAAAGAGACAGTGTCCATCAATATATATTTATTATGAAATATATTTAAAAAAGAAAAGAACTTACGATTTGGTAGAACTAAATTCGTCACGAAGAGAGGCGGCGAGTTTTTTGCCAACAGTTTTCGAGATTGACGAGTGAATCGTTTTTTTAATTCTTCTTGGAGTGCTAGCGATGCTTAAATCCTCTTGCAAAACGTGGCTGTAGATTTCTAAGACTAATTCAAATTCAGCAGGCACATTGTTACTGAAATCAAAGATTATAAATATATAAATGCAAGATTATTACATACTTTGAGTAGCCTGATTACAAATACTTTTTCACTTATACTTGTCAAATTAATAAATTCTAATGTAAGGACAAGGAAAATGTCAGAGTTATTAAAACTTACAATATTAGAACGTCGGGGAAACTGATATCCGTATGAGCCCTGTCGATGGGACATAATAAGGATGTGTCGTGGATTTCCGTGCCTAATCGCGCTAAGCAAAATACAGCGAATCGACGATGATCTCCGCGATTTTTGAAGTGATCGGAATCTCTCCACATTAATGGTATTCTAAGATCCGAAATCGATAGTCTCCCCAAACTTCCAGGAATACTAGAAAGAGTTAAATATAATTATTATCATTGTATTATGCTGATTGGATTTATTTTTTTTCACGATTATTCTTTCTGTTATTTTTCTACAAAGAAAAAAAACGAACCATGGCTTTTTAATAGATTCGCGCCGACGACTTTGCAATTCCGCCATATAAACCGACATTCTCTCGTTCGATGTAAGCAATGCTTTGGCGGCTTCTAAGCTCTGAGCACGATGTTTTGCGGCTGCCAAAAGTCTCGCCGACCCTTCTCTCATCTTGATTTCCACCTCGATCTTCTGCTCGAGATCATGCTCCTGAAACACATAATTCGTAGCATTTTATTAAATAATTCGAATTTAGTCTATCGAGTGTTTGCAAAAAAAAAATGAATATTTTAAAAGTTTTATCTAATTTTATTTAAAAAAATCTTAATACGAAGTAAAAAAATTCCTTGGGACGTGAAGTCGTACATAGTTTCGGAATCTCATCATACAGGTGTCTGCAGGTGTTGAATGTACAAGCGTAAACAAAAAAAAACGGAAAGAACGACCGATAGTTACGATCGAAAAAAGTCAAAGTGTCAGCAATAAAACGACTGTCTGGCTAACACGTGGCAATCACACGTTCATAATATCGGATTACATACCTAACGAAACGTCTTACATATTTTTGCAAACGAATCATTTTACTCATTTTACGGGTCTTCCGAGATATCCATATAGAACACCGATTCGCAAAGCCGTATCGATTTAAGAACTTTGCGCAATTCAACGATTATAAATATGACGACTATCCGTCCTTTATTTTAGAGGCCAATCCTTTAATTGTCTTTTAAATTTATTCATTTTTTTTTAAATTCAATTTTGTCTTGAAAATTTTGTCCTTTATATTATAATTTTGTCTATTATTTTTTATTTAAAAGAAGTATTTCACAGCACATAGTCGAATTAATTTTAAATTATGAAAAATACATTTCTGATAAAATTTTTCACTCGTCAATTTCCACTTTGCTCATTAACTAAGCCCTAAAACTTTCAGGTTTGTCTTTTGGCTTTTCTCAAAAAATATAGTCACTGTAATTATAAACTTTATATACTATTGCACATTTAAATATAATGAAGAAGCGGCAGTATAACAACCTGAGGGAGCGTCGTCTTTTCATTCGTCGCTTTTTGAAGTCTCGACATGTATAAAAAACCCACTATTTTATCGTCCACGTGAACCGCACGTGCGATATACGAACGAATAGATGAATGAAAATTCCACTTTACGAGGCAAGAAACAAACTTCGCGAAAGCGTAAATAAATCGGCGCGATTCTCGCAACGCTGGTAGTAGAATCGGACTGAAATAACAACTCTTCGGGGAAGTGGCTGAATGCACTGAGGGGATGACGTTCACCTCGACAAATTGGCTCCTCCTTGCGCTTCTCCTTCCACCCTCGGGGAACCGAATGCTAACAACACAAAGTATCGATCCGTGGCTAGTTTCGTTTTATAGTCGGCCTGCACGAAATCACGCAGGGGTCTCATGAAGGTCCTGAAGGAAAAATCATACGCGTCGTTGAAAAATATTCTCTAACTTTCTTTCACATTTCCCTCTTGTAAAATATAAAATTCATTTCTCTCTTGAGAATTTTTTTTATAACGTGCGTATGAATTTTTCCGATATTTTTCCGAATGAATTATATGAACATTTTTTTATACACTGAAAAAATTGTTAACTTGACTAAACCTTTCAACTATAAATATTATTTTAATTGAACATATAAAAATATTTAAATTAAATATAACTAAAATATAATTAAATATAATATGAAATCCAATAAAACTTATATTTGGACTTGAATATTTATATTTGACTAATATATGTTCAATTAATAAAATAGTAATTTAGTTGAAAGGTTTAGTCAAATTAACAAATATTTTTTTTCAGTGTATATATACGGCGACCAGATTTTCTAATTGTAAGAGAAAGTGAAGAGGACAAACCTGAAAATTCTAGGGCTTTGTTTCAACATGTTTCGAAATCAAAGTAGAAATCGACGAGTAAAAATTAAAAAAAAATTCTGTGACCCTATCAGAATACAAAGTTCTTTACAGTTTGAAACTGATTCAACTATGTTGAAACAAATCCTCGGTTTCGTAAATAGATTTCGGAAACGATAAAAAGTTTTCGTACAAATTCTTATGATACTATTAGACATTAAAATGCTAAATAAATAATAAAGGACAAAATTGAATTTTTAAAAATAAATAAATCTATAAAGGACGGCTATTTGAAATAAAGGGCTGTCCTCTAAAATAAAGGATGGATGATCACCGTAAATATATATATGACATGCTTTCCGATATTTTCGAAGGAATCACATACAAGAATTTTTCATCAATTATAAAACAAATCCTTGATTTCGCAAGTAGACTCTAGATAAGAGATTTCGTTGTTTTCGTATATGAATTCTCATATTAATACTATGACATTAGTCATTAAAACATTAAATAAGTAATGAAGGACAAAATTGAGTTTAGGAAAATAAATAAATCTAAAGGACAATTATTTGAATAAATAAAGGACGGATGGTCACCGTATATACACGATACATAAGATGCGTAGGAATTTTCCTGATATCTCCGAATGAATCGTACAATCCGAAAATAACGCACACATCAGTAAAATCAATAATGAAGATGATTCATTGCGCGCATCGAGAGATTTCGTATTCCGTTGATGTTAGCGTGACACATCCTTTTACCTCCATCACCCCGAGGTGTGCGCATCGCACCGTATTCTATCAAGAATATATCATAAGGTCACGGCGTTTATTCCTCTGCCGAGTTAGTCTCGAATAGGAATTTTGCAACGACGCAAGGGTAACCGCGGCCACATTTAATCCCTGACCTCGGTGCTGTAACGAGTCTTGATGAAACTCGTGATGCGCGCTGTATGACAAACGAGTTTACGTTTAAGTACAGTGTAATAAATTCGCTACTCTTTTACATCCCTGTGTATGTACATGGGCGTCCATAGAGAGAGGAAGAGAGGAATATTCGCCCCATCCTAGGAATGATTAAAAAAAGTTAAGCATTTGCTCTTCTTTTGAGTAAACATTGGAATTTATTTGCAAATTTAATAAAAAAAGAATAAAAATAAATTTTTAAAAATTAAGAAAAAACAGAAAAGAATTTAATCATGCTCCCCCTCCTGGAAAAAACCATGCCTGTATATATACATATGCAATCTTGATTTTTTAAATACTTTACAATTATATGTTTTGAGTAAACAAGAATTTATTTGCAAAATCAATATAAAAATAATTTTTAAAATATTTTAATTATGCTCCCTCTCCTGGAAAAAATCCTGCGGACGTTCATGCCTGTACATACATACATATATATATATATATATATATATATATATATACAATCTTAATTTTTTAAAATACTTTACAATGGTATGTGTAAACGTTAAAAAGTTTTGTTTTGCTAACAATAAGACATTTCTCCGGTTTGCTTTATCTTGTTCCTTCGATCCCGTTGTCCTTCATCTCTCTATATATCCTCCTCGATTTACTTTCTCTCGCTGCCAACGCTTTCCCGACACACGGCTTGTCTGCCGAAAATAGTCGCCAGAAATCCAATACCCGGTTGTGCCTCTAATAGTTGTCGCGACACGCATCCTTTTCCTGTCTCACGTAAATCTCTTTAAGACGCACGACACTCTATGTGCCCTATGATCGCGACAAATATAGATGGTCGCGGAAAATCGATTAAAATTAAATTGCTATATTGAAGATCATTAAAATAATATAATTGCATACGAGTAATAAATGTGAATAAATATTAATACTTTATATTCCGCTTGATTTGTTGTAGAACCTTCATCGTTATTAAGAAAATATAGCGCATCTCGCTTAAGATTATCGGGTAAAATCTTATATATACTAGATGATATTTCAAAAATGAGATTTGACATTGCCATTTGTATTCTCGACCGAGAAAGACGCGATATCACACACGACGTCTAAAAATACAGACAACTTGTGAGGAAACTGTCGGCTTCTGTGAAACTCTCTACGCAGCATCGCATCGCGCGTATACAGGGTGTTTCTGAAACTATATCAGAGATTTTAGAGTGCATTCTAGCATCAAAATAAGAAAAAAGTTCTTATAAACGTGGGTTCAAAAATTAAAATTTGCAGCCCCCAATATCTCCCTCTCAAAATCGGATCAAATTGTCAAAACATATAAAAATGAAGTATTCACTACTAATTATTACGTTGTGCAAAATTTCAACAATCTGTAAAGTTTCCGATAGCTATAATACATCTTTCACATTTTTAATACATTTTTATATTTTTTTATAAACTTTTTTTCTTATTTTGACCCCTACAGAATACGTCTTTAAAATCTCTGACATAGTTTTAGAAACATCCTGTATGAAATTTCGACTCTTTTTCGCGCAAATTTAAATCTCCTAATCGTGGCTTGTTAAAGAAGATCCATCAGTAATATCGAGCAAAAAATGACCCTTTACCAGCACTTTCAGAAATTCTTATTTTACATCTCTCGTCGAATAAAAGACAAAACGAATCGGCGAATCTTTTGGAAACTCCGTCGCGAAATAATAAATCCTACCTTCGAATTTCGTGCAATTTGTCGAACGTAATACAGATCCAAATCTTGAAAGACGTCATTCTTTCCCTGAAGGGTCGAGGTCCTCGATTGCATGCGGGTATCCTCGGCAATTACGTTGCATCCCTCGTCTCTCGATTTATTCGTATTACGCGGACTCAGTATCGTCAAATGCGGGAAACAGGAGTCCATTTTTCTTTTCTTCTTCTTCGGTGCTATTCGGTATTAACTCGCATAATCAAGTGTCGAGATTGCTCCAATTTCAATAACTTGCGTGCGAGATCGATCTCGAAGACGCATATCGTTTCGAACGAACAGTCATGGATCACAAAAGTCTCTCTGAAACTGCATTTCCAGTTCCTTAAGGTGTACGTAGAATATACCGCACGTGTTAACGAGCGAACAGTCGGTTTGCTAATTTTTATTTGCAAATGAATACACGTGGGCTGGTTTTTTTCCTCGAAGCCTTGACCGAAGCTCTTAAACAGGAGCGAGAGAAGGTTGTCCTCTGCTTCTCTCTCGCGAAAAAAAATCGAAGTCAAGGTAGACGGAGAAGAGGTTCCCTTCCAAATTTCTTCACCCACTTCTCTATCGTTCAGTACATATATGTATATCCTTCCTGACCTCTAAGTTTTGCGTAAAACAATGAAAAAAAAAAAAATGTTGTCACATTTTATTCCGAGTACTCTCTCTTAATCATACACCGATTGCGAGAGAGATAGAGAATAATCGCCAACAAGATTCGACCGTCCTACGTTTTTCCGTCAGTTGTACAAAATAACTGGCGACGATACAAGCCGCCTCCGCGCGATACAAGCGAGCGAGTGATGTCGTTTCGCTTTTCGTTTCTCCAACAACAAGTGCTCCGACCCGTTTCCCTTGTTCGCCTCCTCCCCGAATTTATTCTCTTCTCCACTTCCGGTAATAGTCGACGCCCAATCGTTGATCATGATTCACCGTCGAATAGAGAGAAAAAAACGACGTTCCCTCGACGTTCTACGCGTTTGCTGATCGTCCACTGGTCTTCGGGCGACGAGACATCTTCCACGTGAAGAGCTTCGGACGCGGAGGAGACAATTATTATCTCGGATAATTCCGGGGGGCGGTTTGATACGGGACCGGAAGTAGCTCGACTAGGTCGGACTAGATATGGTGTACCCCGATGAAAAATTTCCCAGGGAAAAAAATTGATCGGAACCACAAGAGGGTAGGTGAGAGAGAGACTCCGCGTCCCCAAGAGTACCCGACTAATACTGAATGACGCTCGACCATTCGACTGTGTAAGCATCAACAGGACGCGGTGCTACGCACCGCACGCGGTAAATCAGCATAGGGATAAGAAGGGGGGCAGGGGAAGGGGGCGGGGGAGGAAGGGGGAGGGACCACCGGCGTCAACCGACAATAGATTGAATAAGAGAGCGGAGCGAGCATATATGAGGAATATCGCCCACGTCAAACGGCATCCGCCGACTTTTACGCTTAACTGTGTGCATTAGAGTAATTATCGCGTAATTATCTACGAAATAGCTCCGGCGTATGTGCTTTTTGCTCCCTCGAAAGTGTTATAAATGCATCGAATATCTAGTGTTCTTCTATACATTTGTTTCATTACATATATGCAGCGATGAATATTAAATATCGTTGATTATTTCGTTGTATTGTTGTATAATATATGTATCGAATATTATAATATACATTATATATGTATATTAAGAAAAATATTGAAAATATATATTGGAATTGATTAATCTTAACATCATTATATATATACTTCCCTTGATATCTTTTTGCTCCCTCGAAAGTGTTATAAATGCATCGAATATCTAGTGCTTTCCTATACATTTGTTTCATTAAATATATGCAGCGATGAATATTAAATATCGTTGATTGTTATTTCGTTGTATTGTTGTATAATATATGTATCGAATATTATAATATACATTATATATGTATATTAAGAAAAAATATTGAAAATATATACTGGAATTATTTAATCTTAACATCATTATATATACTTCCCTTGATATCTGTGCATATCTGTATATTTTTTTCATAATTCTATTTAAATGTATTATATTTCCCGTAATTATTATATAATATAAAGAAGATAAAATGTGTATTATGTGTTCTACAAAACATAAACATGCTTTTAGTAAAATCTATAAGCAAATTCATCAATATTATGATATATATATATGTGTATATATATTAAGAAAAATATTGTGAAAATATATGTTGGAATTAGTTAATCTTAACATCATATTTCTCTTGATATCTGTGCATCTCTGTATATTTTCTCATAATTTCTATTCAAATAAATTATATTTCTCATAATTATTATATAATATAAATAAGGTAAAATAATAGATAAATTATAATAATTTTAATAAGATACATTATTATATAATATAAAGAAGATAAAAAATGTGTATTACATGTTCTACGAAACATAAATATGTTTTTAGTGAAATCTAAAGTAGAATTCATTAATATTTCATTAATATTTCTTGTGCTAGATGAAACACAGATCTATTCCTTGATTTTACAAACAACCAACTGTCTCTATAATTCAATCTATTAATATATATAAAAAATATTTTCTTAAAAGATATATATCTGCACACTTATCCACAAAACAAAAGAAACTGTACAATAGTATATGTAATAATTACACGTTCTTTATCTTTTGTGTTTACATGAAAACATTATATATTTATGCGAGCACAATATAATTATAATTTTATAATTATATACTATAATCATAACATTAACGATGCTCTTATAAATATATGTTTTCATTTAGACCAAAGAGAAAGAACTTGTAGTTATATTATGTACTGTTATACACTTTTATATCTGGTGCATACAGATTATAATTTTATAATTGTACGCTAACATCATTTATCCAGATGTGCAAGCATTCACATTTGATAAATTGCCAAGCGTAACCTATTTATATAATAATCACATGTTGTATTTTGTGTCTAAATGAAAACATCATATATTTATGAGAGCAACGTTATAATTATAGCATGCAATTATAAATTTTATAACTACACATTAGCATGATTTTTCCAGATGTACAAGCATTCCCACATTTGATAAAATTTGCCAAGCATAACCTATTTTTGATCATCATGTTCACATGTTCCCCCAATAGATATGCAAATGGAATAAAATAAATTCAAGTCAACATTTATTAATCTCTGCCGTATAACAAGCTAAGAACAAATCCTAATTGACGAGAAATGCAAAATATCTTTAAAAGCAAAATCAACGAGGCGCATCAGCGATCGCAAAATCAGAGAAATTCATTAATTTAAACTCACCAGGTAGCTTCTCGCATTTCTTATGCTTTCTCGCCTACGAACTCGCGTTTGATAGTCATTCAAGCAGGACAAATAATTATTCTCCTTGTAAGCAACATTATTTAACGACTTGCGTGACGTTTGAATGCTTTTCCTCCGCGGCGCCATTTTGTCATTTAAATTTTTTATGGCGAATGTGTATCGTTAGGCTCAACTTACGGTGAATTTTCATGTGAACTGAAATTAAAATATCAAGAATTATATATTTAAAAATGAGTTTACTTAATAATTATATTAAAATACAATTTTAGTTATTTTCTTTATATTTTAAAAAAAATAAAATATGAATTAAAATGTAAATCTCGTTGCAGTAAATCGTTGTATATTAGCTTAAAGAAATCAAAAGAGGAGGCAACAGGTGTGTATTATACATGTATAAATTTACTAGTGTTTTATGTAAACGATGAATGAAAATATTTAGATATAAATGCACAATTGTTTGAAAAATTTATTACAACCCAAGGATGTGTAAATTAAAATTGCTCGAGAATGAAATTCTTAAAAACATGTATTTAAATGATACAATATACCCCATTTTGAATCAATGATTGATTCAATTTACTGGGTTTCACATTTCAAATTATTTAATTATTACTATTCGAAAATGCATGTATATAATATTGCCAATTAGGAGTTAGGCAGTTTCTCAATTGATAAATTGATAATATATTTTTTAAGCAAGACAGAGATAGCTATATTATACATAATAATGCAAAATCTCAAATTTCGTCACAAGTGTGAATATGATTAAACTAAGAAAGAAGCTGTTTATTTCTTCTCTTTATCCTTTTCCTTCTCTTTCTCTTTGTCTTTATTTTGTTGTAACGATCCAACAGCTTGGCGAACAGCTTCGGATTGTGGATCCACACCTGGCAAGTTCTCCAAAACCGATTGTAGAAAAGCAGGATCTGACATGACAGCTGCATAATCTTCTTCTACATCCATTGCTTCTTCTTTTTGCGACTCTAATTCTTCTATATAATGATAATAGAAGTGAGTGAGTTTGAAATGACTATTAACACATTGATTTATCCATCAAAGACTTACGCTGATCTTGCATAGACATTTGCATAGCGAAAGCAATTTGTTCCTCTTCTGTCATATTGGTGAAATCTGGTACGTTGCCTCTGCATGGAGCAGTGTCATCAGTAGTGGCAGTTGAATCTTCTGACCCTTCAAGAGACATAGCGAGGGCACGTTTTAGCATAGCCTCTTCATTGGGTGCTTCTTTTATGGTTTCCGGTTGATTATTCGTGGCAGTCTCATTTGCTTGTGCTCGACGTGCCTCGTCTTCTTGTCGCTGTCGTTGTTCCTCCATAGAAACACGTAATGCCTAAGAAAGATAAATTATAATTGATAAAATCATCATTATTCTTATAGAAAATATTTATAAGAAATTGTTTCAGATACTGACCAACGCAAGTTCGGGATCCTCGTTTGGATCGACACCAAATTCAAATGCAGCGCTACCCATACCAGCTGCACCCATTCCATCTTCACCCTGAATTATAGGAGAAGAAATCAGGGCGTCTGATAGATGTGGTCCTGGTGGAACAGTGACGAGATGACTTCCAGTACCATCTTTACCATTCAATGCATTCACGAAAGCTGTCAGTATTTCGTTATTGATACTCTCCTCCCCGAAACTTATAACATCAACATTCACTTTTTCCTTTTTCAAACGTTTGGCTAGTTTTACTAATTCCTTCTCGTCAATGTCTATTGGACTTCCAATAAATGCAACGATACGCATTTTATGGTTTTTGCCTTGCCGGTGCTTCAATGCTAACTATAAATTTTACAATCATTTGTGCTTGACAGATACATTTGTAAAATCAAACCAAATAACTTGTACATACATGGGCAATCCTAATTCCTGTAATGAGACACAATTTTCCACTTGGTTGAACCTGATGAAGCTTAGACAATATTCTGCCGACATCACTCGTGAGTGTTACTAGTACTTCAACGCTAAAAAAGATAAAGAAATTTACATTTAACTTATGATAAACTTTTAAGATATCATTTCATGTGCAGCACGCTGCCACAGCAGTTTGTTGCTATTGGTGAAGTTTAATTGAACGAACAACAAAGACAGCAAATCAGAAGAACACGCAACTAGTTGATTCAAATTATTATATTAGTTAAATAATGGATTTTAAGAATAAAATAGATTATTATAAGAATATAAAAGCAAAAACCGTAATTTTAACTTTAAAAAATAAGAAAACAAAAAATATACTCTAATAAATTTTGATCACACACTGATTTGCTGCTGCAGCATGCTGCGTATGAAAAGGCACCTTTACGTCCACCTTTACTTGACAATATATCTGACTCGTACTTGGCAAGAGTTATGAGACCCACGTTGTTTTCAGGATTCGAACGAGTCTTGGAATGACACACCAAGTTAACAGCATCTTGCTGCGCTTGTAACCGAGTGGGTACGAAATCCCCATTTCGCATATAATCACTGTTGTCAACGCTGCACACATATAAATTGACATTAGTCGGCTTAAAATCATTCAACCATCATTTCAGGGCAGATATTTCACAGACTCATATGTAAGATTGTCAACGTCATTGTCATCACGCTAACCTCAACATTTCAATATAGTTAACTTTTCTACACATGTATAGAATCGAATCGATGCTAAAACATTCCATTTGTAAAGTAAACAAATTTATCCAAGTCAATTTGGCCATAAATCGCCAAAGGGCAATGGAAAAAATTAAATCGAAATTAAAAGGAAAACCTTACCATATAATCGTACTTTCCAGCACCATGTTGGATGGATTGACTGTTGGTTGGTCGACTCGACGCGAGACGGCGCGGCGATTTAATCCAATTTTTATCAACTCACGTTTCACGTTGTGCGCCTGCGTGATTTGTACGAAATTTAAAGAGCAACACTCGTCAGCGATCCTTCTTTCTTTTTTTTCAAGATTATTTATTATTTAAAAATAATAGTTTTTAAATATAATATATACAAATCATCATCATCATCATCTTATTTATATATATATATATACATATAAAGGTAACAATAATAATTAATAATATAACCTATATGATGTATAATTTATATATAATATATATTGAATGTGAATTAATTTGTAGGAATCGAGAAGATGGATGATTTCTTATTATTTAAAAAGAATAATTTAAAACAATAATATATATAAATCATTTTGTATTGTATATAAAAAAGGTAACAATGATTTTACATTTGACTTTTAACATAGAGTAGTGCATGATAACTTTTTCGAGATTATTTATTATTTTAAAATAACAGTTTAAAAATATAATATACAAATTATCATCATCTTGTATTATATATAAAAAAGATAACAATATATAATAATTATAACCTACATGGAATGTGATTTAATATCGTGTAGGATTCGAAAAGATGGGTGTAATGGATGATCTTTTATATTATTTAAAAAGAATATATAGTTTTAAAACAAATATAATATATATATATATAAATCATCTTGTATATAAAAAGGTAACAATGATTAATCTACGTGGACTTGATCGCAGAATTGGAGAAGATGGGTGACACGAGAGTGGGTGACGGAGGTGGCGAGCTGTCATCGTCGTTCAGGGCGAGGGTCGAGTATCTCGGTGCCTCGCTCGAGAAGACGGCCTGCTCGTAGCTGGGTGGCAGATCTTCGCGCACAGCGGCCGACAACGCGTGCAGCTTCCTCGCTTGTCTCTTCTCGTCCAGGATACGTAGGATGATCACGATTGGCCCCACCAGCAACATGATCGCCCCGATCGAGACCATGGCGACTGCGGTGACCGCACCGCCGTTGTGAGAAAATTTCCTGCTGCTGCCTCTCCGAGGGATATTATTATTATTGTTGTTGTTATTATTATTATTTGAGACTCGATCGTTATTTTCGCGGGTAAATAATTTCGTGGACGCGTCCTCATTCACGGAATTAAGATTTTTCTCCTCCTTCGATTCGGAACTGGATTCTAAACTCGTGGCGTTTTTTTCATCCTCATAAAGATTTTTCCAGATTCTGTTACTGAAGATATGTTCCCTGTCGCGAACTATCCTCGAGATTCTGTTCGGCGCGTTTTTACTTTCCGGATGACGATTCACTTCCGTTAAATTATTTTCTACACTACGCAAATTTTTATCCTTTTCATCCGAAACGATCTCCAACTCGTTTCTCAAAGCTTGACTAATTACATTTAATTTAGGATATTTTCTGTCATTATTATTTAAAGACGATTCTGGATCTATTTGAATTATAATCTTCCCATTCCGATGATCGGTCAGTGGTTGCTGGGCGGAAATTATGGCGAGATCCGAATATTCATTTCCGGTACGTTTTATAGAGAACGTGGTGGATTCGATAGACAAACCGATCGATGAATTTGTCTATGAACAAAAATATATTTTAGATAATTTTATTTATATGTATGCGATTAATATAATCACGAGTTTTAATAATTACCTTAATGTGGTTTGTTTTTTCCAGCATTCTTCTCTGCAAGGTACTAACACCTTTTTGAAGAAGGACGATACCGACGGCATTCCAGATGATCAGATGCAATATAATGATTATTCGTGAGGCCCATCTGTTTGTTCTCAAAGTGAGGGACATTACGGCAACATATCACATTGGCGATTATTCGGAAGTCAAGGCGTGATATACACCTTTTAAACACCTGCTGCTCCTTCCTCCATGGAAGTAACTAAGCGACATTTTCGTCATTATACATTCACCGATCAGATCTCATTGTAGGTGAGTGACATATATAAGTGAAACTATGAAAACACTGAAAGGATACAGCAAGATCTAACACAATTTCAATATTTATATATATATATATATACATATTAAAATTAAATACATTAATTAGATACACATTATTCTACAGCAATATAAAGATTTAATAAAATGTCATTCTTGTATGTTAAATAATCGCTACAAATTGTAATCTATAAATTATTTTAAAAAATGCGTCTTATACATGTATAATAATAGTATACTTTTAAGATATGCAAATTATAAGAATAATGCGCTTATAGATATACATTTTGCGCAAAATAGTTGTATATTTTATTCTTAGATAAAATGCTTTATATTCGATATTTAACATTAATTATTAATTTTAATTTCGAATGTGCAAAAGTGATATAGTAGAACTTTTATTATCCGAACTAATCACGGAGAACAAAATGTTTGATTGATTTTTTTCTCAAACGATTGTGTTTCAAAGCGATAAGAAAGTTTCTAGTTATCATATAATAGATATATTAAGAATTATATAATATATATATATATATATATATATTTTTTTTTCTGCGAATGCGCAAATATGCAGATTATATATTAACTTGTATTCCTTGTTCTATTTTCTCAGTTTTTATAAGCTATTAGTTTACATATATGTTAATATATAATTATTTTAATAGACACTTTTTATACTTGTACATTATCTAAGACCTACTTAATGATACATATATATATATATATAGATATATACAAACTCTTACTTGTGCAATTTGTGACATATGTTTATTATTGTTTCCTGATAATAGTCGGACGTTCATTTGATAAAACGATGTTCGGATAACGAAGATTCTACAGTATTTATTTTGTGCAATACGCGTAGCTAATTATTCCAGGTATATTTTGCGGTGGCACTAATAATTTATACGTATAAAAATACATTAGGTAATGTATTTGAGTCATACACTATATACACGGTGGCGAATTCGATGAAATGTTTTGAGAAGAAAAGAAACATGAGAATTTTTTTTATACAACTTTTTACTATGTATCAATTCACGGTTTATGCGCGGCATAAAACAGCCGTCCTAAGCGACAGCGCGATTACGACTTATTTGCCCAGTTATACGCGACGGGTCGCAGAGAGCAATAGCGAATGACTCATTTCCACTACCTTGCACCGTCCCGTTATCCCGCAACGCTTCATACATACGAAACATGACGACCCTGAAAAACCGATGTGTCTCCACGCGTATACTAAGCGCGGACATATCGCGGTAATAAAACATTATATTACTCGGCACATTGTGCGCGTTTGAAAATTGCAAATCCGAAGTAATGTGCAGCTATTTCTTTAAAGATACAGAATGCACTTTATCTCGACTTCTCTATCGTGTTAAATTTGCGTAAACAAAATTATTCGCTGTTCTTCAAATGTATAATGAATATATATATATATATATGTATGTATGTATGTATATATAACTGCGTTACATTTTTTTTCATAGAATATATATGTGTATATATATAATATATATGTGTATATATATAATATATATGTGTATATATATATATATATATATATATATATATATATATATATATATATATATTGTGCATTAATTACAGCAGCGGGCAAATACAAAAATAAATAATATATATATTATATTATTCTAATTTTTAATATTAAAATTTAATTTTTTAAGGCATTTCTAATATATGGACGGAATGAGGAGGGACGCTTTTAAAATTCAAACCAGCGATCATAAACAGACAGTGGTACCATCTATCGTTCTAACGTATATACAGTTGGTACAAAAAAAAAAGTGCATCTCAAAGGATACGTGTGTAGATGCTATAGATTATCGTGGACTAGAAATCCTATAGGGTCCTATAGGTCGTGGGTGAAAATAGAAGAGAGGGAAAAAAGGTAAGGACACATCTCATAATTTAAAATGGATTTCGGTCCACTTGCATTTCATTCACTCGCTCAACTGGATGTGCCTGATCATGCCAAAGGGAAGGAAGGCTGCCATATTGAACACGTGTCCGACCTGTAGTCTCCACAATCTTCTACATGGTGCTAATTTCGTGCCAATGTCGGAGGATGGCTTTAAACTTGTGACTTATCGACGTCGAAAACATCGCAAAAATACAGCACAGAAAAATTTGCGCAGAGACGCGACTCCAGAAAACGCTGAAAAGTACGAGCTGCACGAGGTGGTGGAGTTCTTGGCCATTCGGTAAGCCACGTTGCCCAGTTTCACGAAAGAGGTTAACCAGGGTTCTATCTAAGAATCTTTTCAGTTGCATCATTTCAGAGTTTATTTCTCCTCTTTCAATGTTGAGTAAGAGAGATAAATAAGGAATTACTGCAGCTAGTTCAGCTGAAAAAAAAAAAAAAAAAAAACAAACCTTTAATCTCTCGAACTCCCTTAATCCGGAGAGTTAATCTCAAATCGTAACACGTTTCACGGTGATTTTTCAGCATTTTACACAACGCTTACGAGCTCAGAGCGACGCCGTTAATGAAACATGTTCGTGAACAGCTGAAGACGGCCTTAATCATTCTAAATTCTAACGATATTTCCGAAATAGTCTGCTACGGGTTAGGACGATTCACGAAGTCTAAGTCGTCGAGATATCAATTGGCGTTTTTACTGTGCCTGAAGGCGCGATACAGCGACGCTTGCGTGCACGTGTACGATCCAGCGTTTTCCTCCAAGGAAAAGGAAATCTTACGCTATCTGAGTCTGAAAATTATAGAGAAGAATGAGGAGGGCAAGCGTATCCTCCACCAAGATAGAACTACTCTCGTGTTCATGCCGCATTGCCCGCGGGAATTGATGAATAATTATCTCTATGCGAACTGGGGAGAAGGATTAAGCAATTGTATTCTGCTCGGTAATAGTATCTCAAATTTAAAAGAGGATTGCTGGAACAAGGATACACTGAGACGCTCGAATTACGTATACCGCATTCAGCCTTATATTTTAGAAATTAAATTTGATTTCCTCACGCATGAGTACGAGTACGTTTTCAACGACCAAAGCATTCATATATTTCCTAAAGAGAATTTTCTACAAGTTCCGCCGAATTTCTGGAATTGTAGGGAGGAACCGCAATATTTAAAGAACGATGAGACTGAACTTATTCGACGGTGTTAATTGTTAATAAAAAAATACCTAATAACATTCAACGCATTAATTTTTTGTGATCTTCATACAGCGATTTGTAACGTGACACATAGACCTTTTCGATCGTTGCAAGATTAATAGTTTTGTTCACCTTTAGAATACAGCGACAAAATGAATAATAATATCCAAATTGTTCGTTCTCTCGCGCGAGAATTACGCCGAATTTCGCAAAATAAGAGTACAAAAGAAAATGCAATGTTACAGTATATCTTTGAACAAGCTCATGCCCATAAAGAGACGTCTCAAGTTTTATGTAAAGCAAGGGAAGAATTGAAGAATTTAGCGGAAACGTATCTTTGTTATTTGAAATCTCAACAGGCATGTAAAGATATTCATAAACAATACGCTGGTAAAGGTGAACGTAGTATAAGAGAAACTGCAGATCTCGTAGGGTTTAAATTGCCTCATGACCCAAAATAATGTAAATAGAAATAGAAATATTTAAAATATTACTCAAAAAAAATGACTAAATTAATAAATATTTATTTGAATACTCCCAAATGAATCATTTATTTGAAATAAATAAATATTTTATTTGTTGTGAAAAAGATTTTCTTACATTAAACAAATATTTTTTTATATTAAATCAATATTAGACTAGGCAGTATTGAAATAAATATACTTATTTGAATACAATAAATTTTTTTTCAGCATATGAAATATATAAATAAAAATATAAAATGTGTTAATAAGAAATATATAATATATAAAAATATATATATTATATTATATTTTTCTTTATAGTCTTTACTTACATGTAAATATGTTTTTATTGTATTTCTGTAAAGATAATCTAAATAACAATTTTAATTAAAGATTATCGTATTAACTCAGAATTTTTTTTTATGCAGCACATTTCTCAATACATTCTCTTATTTCCAAAAAAATACAACTCATTTCTCTGTACACTTTTCTTATTTAAAAAATATATAAAATTGTATGTACAATTGCAATAAATAATTTTTTTAATTTTAATGTTTAACAATTATAGGTTGTGTACATTAGAGCACTGGGTGCTTTTTATGATGTATTATTTTCGATGCTAAGAGATTGACTTATAATATAAAAATAGAAAAATATACTCTTAAAATGGTACATGTATACTATCTTGAAAATGATATTCATGATGCAATTTATACATCACAATTTTAAAAAGATTTATACTGATTATTATCATTTAGGAATATTGCTTACGTATACATTTTGCAATCGTCGACAGTTGCATGTTACTTGTGCCTTCGTAAATGGTTCCAATTTTGAATCTCTAAAGTACTTCTCTTGTGGAAAATCTGTAGTAAATCCAACTCCTCCCATAAAATCAATGCATTTTGCCGTAACACGTAGAGCAGTTTCTGTGTGACATTATATAGTATATTATTCTTTGGTTCACGCTTAAATTTATGAAAAAGAATTTGACAAATTGCGTACCAGATGCGACTAATTTAGCCATTGCCGCTTCCTTCATAACGTCTTTTTTAGCATCCACTAATCTAGCCGCGTTATAAACGAGTAACCTGGCGCATTCCAGATCGGTTACAACTTGAGCTATTTGATGTTGCATCGACTAAACAGATTTTATATCGGAAACAGATTATCTCTCAGACGATTCAACATAAAATGATAAACAGATTCTTATATTATACCTGGAATGAGAAAACATCATGTCCAAATTGTTTTCGTTCCAACGTATAGGGGATAGTCGCGTCTAAGCATCCTTGTGCAATCCCTATCATTTGTGCTCCGATTCCGACTCGACCCTCGTTAAGGAATCCAGCCGCATATTTGTATCCATGACCAAACTCACCCAAAATGTTACTTTCAGGTACCTAAAAAATATTGAATTGATATTAATTGTAATAATTTATTTTATGTATATTATTTGTATTTATATTGCTAAAAGCAACACACATATGCAAAAAGCTTTATTTTTTATTTCTGGTACGTACTCTAACATTGTCAAAATTAATCATACAAGTTCCACTTGCTTTAATGCCTAATTTGTCTTCCGGTTTGTTAACTGTCAAACCAGGCGTGTCACGATCCACGAAGAAAGTTGTGATGCCGCGGTATCCCTGTTTAATTAAAAGAATATTACATTAATTGATTTTCTAAGCTTTTAAATATTTTTCTTATTTTTTTTCTATAGAGTACGTAAGGATCTACTCACTGCGGAAGGGTTCGCATTAGCAAAAACCAAAAACACTCCCGCAATGTCGGAATTCGAAATCCACATTTTTGTTCCATTTATGATGTAATCAGAACCATTTTTTTTGCTTCAGTCTTGAGAGAAAAAGCGTCTGATCCCGAACCAGGTTCCGTTAAACAAAAACTGCCAGCCTATAAAAAGGAATCTTTTATAATTGTTTCATTCCACTAGACTGACTAAATCCATATACACATAAGAGAGAATAAAATTTTTCGGAACATAAACACGTATATGTACGTCGATTGTGCATAACAACTTACGTAATTTTGTGCTAATTTTGGTAAATAAGTTTTCTTTTGATCCTCGGATGCAACTTTAATTATTAATGAGTTCACAAGTGTATTATGTATATCGACAAGTGCAGCCACAGATCCATCGACTTTTGCAACTTCTTCAACGCTTAAAATGGTACTCATAAAATTACAGCCTGCTCCGCCTAAATCTGTCGGAATTTCGAGACCCATTAACTGCAAATGAAAAATATTAAAATATAAAACATTTTTCTTTTTATTAATATACTAATCTACTAATATATTTTTTATTATATTTAATATAATTAATAGACTTTGATATACTAGAATATTAAAAAGTGCATTACATATGCAAAATATATAATGATTGAAAAGTTTGATATTATATATAAGTATAGTAAAAAAAATTATGATATATAGTTTTATTATTAGATATTTTATGAAATTCTATGGAATTAATCTTTTCTTTTAATGAGAGAGAACAATGAATATTAAAAATTTTCAAGATTGGCTTTGTTCAATGTATTATTAATATGTTGTGAAACAAATGTAATTAACATGTGTATGTTGTAAAAAATATTTATATACTTATTATCACGAAATCTTTGTCTCTTATCACGAGCTGCGTAAAGAGAGAAAAAGACAAGATATATTTCCTCATTACAAACTGCGTAAAGAGAAGATATTTTTATCGCCTTATACATATATATGGATACTGTGTACAAAAAATATTTTTACATACGTATGCAGGCGATAAAAATTTTATCTTTATGCGGTTTGTAATAAAAAAATATACCTTCTTTCTTTATCTTTTCCAATTTGTTAATTTCGAGCATTAAACACCATTTTTACGCGATTAATGGATCAAACATATATATAAAAAAGACGTTCGATATTATCATATTTATGCAATAAATCTCGTAATCGCGACCAGATAAACACAATATTTTGATTCGAAGTTTGAATATTTTTTCTTATTACTTGCAGCTAAAAATAAAAATTAATAAATTCTGGTAAAAATATATTTAATATATATTTTTATATACATATAACGTGTACTAGTTTTTGTCGATCAAATTGTACCAGTATGTTTTATAAGTAAAAATAAAGAAAAAAGGTATTCAAATGTTTTATTAAAACATCATAAATTATATAAAATAAATGCACGAGAGAAAAAGATAGACTCTTTCGTTTCAAAATATCAGTACAGTTATCAATGCAAGATTGATGTGGTTGGGAAATTTAATTTTTTAATTAATTTGACTGTAAAATTTTTTGCTTATATAACACAGTGAATATTATTTCTGTTTATTGATAAGTTAAAAAATTATGTCTTGCTTAAATGCTTCTAATACATAAAGCGACAAGAAACCGGTTGTGTTTACAAGTGGCTTGAGCACTTTCAATGACATTTAACATATTCAAACTGTTTGTCCCTTTATCTTTTCATCACCTTCATCTTTTATATTCACCGCATTAAGTACTAATTCTGTTTTTTACTTAAATACAGATAAATAACACGACGTATTTTACTTTGCCTTTATGTATTTAAATCTAAAAAGATAAAAGTTCTTTTTTTTAAATTGATTAAATGTATAAGTAAACTGAGAAATGTATAAGTAATATTATTATGACATATAATCTCTCTCTATAAATATACTAACACATGGAAACATACAAAAATATTTAAAAATCATTTGTGTGTTCTTCATAAATGTGATTATAAATTAACTAAATATAATTTAAAGGATTCGATGAATATTATATTTCTCTGTTTGATTATAACTGACACAATTAATCGATAAAAGAATTTTCTTTACATATATATATATAGACACATTTGATTTAAAAGCTTAATTCGATCTAAAATAATTCAAATAATTGTTTCGAAAGAGGACTTACGCCGTTTTCAAACAGTATTTTCAAAACGTTATCATCTATTTTCCCCTCTTTGTCCATTTTTTTAACATGTGGAGCAATTTCCTCTTTAGCCAGTTTAGCGACTGAAAAATATGTGATATTTATTAATTTATTTTGATAATAATTATGAATATTATTTTGCAATGTAGACTTTCGCAATAGATTTTTTCCAACTAACTTGTTTATCACTTTATAGTACAATATGATAATAAAATATTAGTCATTCTCACCAGTTTCTTTCATCATGAGTTCATCATCTGTAAAATGCGTCAAAGGGGCTGGGCAATGATCGAGTCTTGACGTACACAAATGTATTCCTCGTGTTTGCGTCAATTTTTTTGGTATCTTTAAAAAAATAGATATATATTTATTTATTTATTTTTCTAGCATACATACGACACATATTTATTATTAAAAAATATATATTTCTATTTTTTTGTACTGAAAAATGTACCGATAAACATTGTGTGCGTGCAGAAAATTGGTGGTCCGTCAGTCATCGTAATCTGTCGTCGTAATCAGTTATTTAATCTTAGGAGTAGAACGTGGCATTGCACACTGCACAGTCATTCAATTATGTATTAAATATTTTTCAGTAAAATAGTAAACATAAAATTGATAGTATGCAAAAAACTAAAAAGATTACGACTAATAAAATTATAATCAGTTATTTGACTTAGAAGTAAAATGTGGCATTGCATAAAAGTTTATAGTTATATACTAAATATGCTCAACAAACTAAAAATCGAAAAACTCTCTCGACATGTGCATTGAAAATGCACTTGCAAAATCGATAAAAAAACCGATAAAAATATTATTTTATTATAAGTTTTTTGTGTAATTAAAATTTCAACAAATTATTTTATTAGAAATATATAACATATATTATTACATATTTTTTTATATTAAAAAATATCTGCTATAAATCTTTTTAAGAACAATATAAGTGTATGCATATTCTAATATAGTACATATAACACACAAGATAAAAAAGACAAATTAACAAAATTAGATACAATTAGATTAACTCCTATTGAAAAGCTTTTCTTGTGCATGAGTAAATTGTATTGTTATTGTGTTTTGTCGAAAATATGACGTAACTGACTTAATTGATATATTAGTCGCTCGATAAAAAATAAAACAACTAACAAAAGTATTAAATCATATAAAATCCAATAAAATAGATAAGGAAATTCTGTAATACAGATAAATCAAATATGCGCGATAATGTGTTATCTCTTCCTAATTTAGATAAAATATTCGATGTTTTTTTGTATATCATAAAATCATACAATATATTATTAAAAAAATATATTATTAAAAAAATATTAAATAACCGCAATGGTATACTTATACATGTGTATAATATATAAAGTATTTTGCAAAAAGAAAAGTTTAATCGAATTTGTGTTTCAAGCTAATAACTAGTTCAATCGAATTTATAAATTATTCAAAGGTACAACACATATGGAAACGAATATTTTGTTATTGTATTTCAAATTGTGAAATTGTTTTGGATTGAATAATTAAAAAATCTGTTTAACGCTGTTGTAACAAATGAGATATAATATATGATTAAAGAAATATTTTATAACAATGATACTTATATATAATATATAAAGTATTTTGCAAAAAGAAAAATTTAATCGAATTTGTGTTTCGAGCTAATATATATAACTAATTCAATCGAATTTATAAATTATGTACAAGAGACACATATGGAAACAAATATTTTGTTGTTGTGTTTCAAATTGGAATTGTTTTGGATTCGACAATTGAAAACATTGAGATATGATTTACAAGAAACAATTTACAAAAAGTTATATATATATATATATATATATATTATATGTATTATATATACAAATAAATATAAAAATTTAACAAATGTAACAAGAAGAAGAAGAAGAAAAAGGGATTATTGCTCACGTACTTCGCGGAAGATTGATCTAAGTATAGAGGCGTTCATGCTTGGATGTGTCCCCTTTGGATTGTTTGTGTGGAGATAATAAGCTCGACGATGCTGGCGGTCCGCAGGCTAAGCTAGTACTGACTAGGATCATTTGGTGCGGATCGGCTTTTTGTCGCGTTTCGTGCCGGTCGAGCGAAGCCGATCTAGATTGTACGTCCTTTCGCGTTCGTACAAAACAGGTTGTTGCGTAATGAAGAACTAAGAAGTTAATCACGCCAGGCCCCCAGCTCCGATACACTGTCAGTTTACTTGAGGTATGTATCTGCTCCGTCATTCTCTCTCTCTGCTTTATTATATATACGCCTACAAAGATTGATTTATATCGATATACGTGTTTGCGTCTTGTTAGTCTCTTATCGCCAAGTGCGATTTTTAAAAGGCCTATATCTGTATTACTCAACGGAAAGAGAAAGACTTTTCTAATTTGCATCAGTCGGGGGTAGAATTTTTCTTTCGCTTGATAAACTTCCTATTTTTGTGGAACATTACGAAACTGTTGTCGCAATGATTGCTTTATCTGTCAACAATAGCTTCACATAGTTTTTCCTTGTAAAGGTTTCTTATCTGACAGTTTAGATGATATATATATATATATATTGCTATGTACAGATATATATCAAATGTAGATTAATCGTCAATTGAAAATTAATCGATAAATAATTTTAGAAGCATTTAAATGATTTTTATTAAGCAGTTTTTATATCTAATCTACTAAAAAATGTTGTCGAATTAATTTGTACATATCTTTTATGTGCGTATCTTCTTTAATTGATTTTCCTAAAAATAGAATTATCGTATGATACAGACAACAAATGACGTCCCATTATATACTAATTGTAACCGATATCTATCGATTAAGGGCAATTAAATTACCTCAAAAGTAAAGAAAGATAAAAATATACCTGCGTTTTCGTGCCTTATTTCTAAGAAATATATATATATATAATTATTTAAGTATTTTATTATATAGTATTATATATATAATACAGATTTAAAAAATTATTGTGATCCATATATTTATAACATATATATTACATTTAGTAGTTAAATATAGGCACATGTAAAAAAATAAATTTTTATAAGGATATGAAATCCTTTTTTTTACGAATTTTGTTTAAATAATATTTTTTTTAATTATTTTGATATGCAGTACTCACCTTAAAAACCTTTTAATTATACAGTCTGCATGTGTTATATATAATATATATTTTTATATTATGAATATCTTACATTATAAATATTTTTATAAAATCATAAAAATAATTGATTTTTATAGTAAAGTAGATTGTGTGTGTAATAATTGAGTCTATACGTATATATACATACATTATTTCACATAACCATATATCTCAGTTGAAACGTTCCTCAAATATCGATTCTTCTACAATTCTATATCGATTATAAAAAAATCGATTTAAATCGATCATTCTTGACAATCGACCCTAGCATTCGAATTATAAAGAAAAATGTTCAAGAAAAGATTTTGATATTTATTAATTTTTTTTTATTTATAAAACAAGATAAATCGAAAGGAAAAGGATAATAAAATATGATCCCCAAATCCAAGAGAAATATTCATATATCGAATTTTAGAGAAAAAAAAAAAAAAATCTACGTTGGCAATCCTGTCACCGAGAGTGCGGACAATCGCCGCTAGGTGGCGCCAGCCGCGAGGCTCACTGACGCTTCCTCCTCGAGCGATCATCTAGCGTTCCATTATTCGTTCATGGACCATTCGCGGGATATACGCGCGGCGTTTTACCTGGAAAACTGTCGAGTTGACCAGTCACCGTAGTGAGTTCTCGAGTGTCGCGACGTGGTCGCGATCGATCCCCGCGTATACATACATACCTACATACACATCGTGTGCGAGAAGAGGACGAAGATTCGGGATCTCAACTATGCGAGTTTTCGCGGATCTCTGGAAGTGAAAAAAAAAAAAAAAAGGACATCATCATCATCATCATCATCATCACCATCATCATCATCATCATCGGGAACAAAGTAGCAGACTCCATGAATGAGCGAGCAACAATAGTGAAGAGACGCGTATAATATTCCAGTCGGACGGAAAGTGTCGGGAGTCTCACTACGCCGGTGGAAGAAGAGGCGCGGCGGACGCGTCCAGGCGCCCGGAACGTCGCGTCGTCGGGCGGCAGCGGGCAGAAACACGGAGGCGGCGGCGGGCGAAGAGGCGGGGGCGGAGGCGGGGAAGCTGTTCATCGAACGGAACAGCCGCGCGCGCGGTGCGATACGGACGGCCGAGCTGTTGTACGGTTCGTGAAACGGGCACGAGCATATCTCGGTAAAGAGAGGAGGTGGAAGAAGAAGAAGAAGAAGAGGAAGCGGCTGCTGGCGATTCCTTTAGGTAAGTACATATAATACATATATACATATATATATATATATAAAAGTTGCTGTTATTTATCCCCCCCTCCTCCCCCGGAGACGGAGACATTTTGAGATCCAATTTTTTTTTCTCGTCAACGAGCGACTTTCCCTCGTCGTTCGCGATGATGAATGACGTAGAGGGTGTGTCGTCTCTGGACTACTACGATGCGACTCTCCGGGTGCCACGCGACTACTCCGACTCTTCCCTCGTCGCTTAGGACGTAGAGGGACGCCACGGCGACGCCCGACGACGAGGCCTCTCGTGTCTCCTCCTCGTCGTCGCGAGGTTCGCGATGAAATCCTTTGAAATTCGCTTCTTCCCTCCCTCCAAAATGTCGCCATTTGCCCGTCTCTCTTGTCACTCTTTTCTCTGTAGTCTCTATATTTCGAAATATATATATGTATATATATATATATATATATATATATACTTTGACGCTCGGCTTAATAAGGACGTTCCGCTCGACTAATTATACGTGCACTCGATGTGCGATCATCGTTGAAGAATTTGTTCGGAGTCGACAGGTTTCGCTGTGTATATTGTAATACGTGTGTCGGAAATGTGCATCTCGTTCTTGTCAGTAATAAATTTTCAATGGAACCCGTCCAGATGCCAACGGAGACAGTTGTCGCGGATAGAGACGCACCGGCGATTTGTCTTCGTGTCTTTCGATAATAGTTGCGCGATAGCGAAACCTTTTCCACAAAGGTCAACGCAATGGCACATTCACGTTCATCAGGGCTTTTTTTATTGTTCCCCAGCTGTGCCGAGACACAATCGCGCAATTTCAATCCAACGAGTTGTCTGAATTAATGGACGATTGTAAAAGGTATTTTATAGGAATTGATGTATAAGCGATATATAATTGTTATATAATTGAGATATAGATATATATATATATTTCAGGTATAATTTAGTGAGAGTTCAATAGTCGACGATATAATAATATATAGCTTCTGTATACGGGGTGTTTCAGAATTGACGGAAATATTTTTCATTGCAGATTCCTGGGATCATTTGGAGACGATTTTTTTCTCGAAAATGTTCAGGCACCAATCATTATCGAGTTATAAGGGATTGAAAGTAAAGGCTTTTTTTTGCAAACTAAGCCTTGTGAAAATAAAATATTGAACTCACATTCTTCGGTTAATTTTAATTAATTTAATAGCTGACAAAAATAACATGATGGCAAAAATTGGGAACATGCAAAAAATGATGGGAAAATCGTCTCCAAATAATGATTCCACACAGAGAGAATTTTCTCTTAGAATTTACCCTGAAACTCATGATAATCATGGGACAATTTGTAAGAGTTTCTCCAATTAATATTTATTTAAACACAAAAAAAAATATTACTAAAAAATAGTATAAACTTAATCGAATATATTTGATATCTTATCGTGGTAGATATTAAATGTTTTTATCGCGGTGTAAATATTTTTAATCATCAGAAACTCATAAAATTGCTCCGTGGAGGAATCTGCCATTGTAAAAACTTCCGCCATTTCTGAAACACCCTGTATATAATCGCGAATCGATTCTCTTCGTCGTTTCTCTCCCTATCACTGTCACTTTCGTCGCTTATAATTGTCAGCGACTCTCTCTCTCTCTCTCTAGGACGCTCGTCCGCTACGACCGAGCGTAATCTGTGATTAGCCATGACGTCATTGCGTAAAGTGTTCGTCGCCCGACGATGATAGTCCGCGTCTATACGCGCGCTCGTTTCGGCGTATGATGTCAGTATCGAAGAAAAAGAAAAACGGGAAAAAAATGACATTTACAATACGATACAAATGTGCGCGATTTATCAGTACGTTAACTTCCGTTTTTTTCATTGAATGAACAGATTTATAATTATCAAGGCGTGATGTATATACATATATATATATACATATTATTATCGATGATGACTCATTCTGTTGCTCGCTCTTGTACAGGTACACTATATATTTCGCTCACGATATACCGTTCGCCCTATGTCAATAACCCGGAGATTCGGAAGAATTGAAGAGCGATCGATCGGATCTGAATTCCCAGACTGATTTAATTCACGATACGATATAAGAGGATTTGACGGGGGAGAGAAAGGATCCTTTTTAGGGACCCCGAAAATTCCAAAATTCTTCGAATTCTTAAACAAGTGCGGTCTATACAAGCACGTGCGCAGGTGCGATTTTCATATATAGCTATACGAGCTAAAAGTTGCGTAACAAGGGGACCTGATCATCGTCCTATCATACGGATCTCCGCGTTGGATGTTGCGCGTGCAGCATACACTATACAGTAAATAGCACTTAACATAGTTTGTTTCAAACTTTTCTCCTCTATATTTTTATCACGGTCTCTTTCACGTTCAATTAGGGTATCGTTATTAAATGTAAATGAAAGAAAAAATCGAACAGAGAAACAGCTTTCGAAGCAAGACGGTTCGCAAACTATTTGAGTCGATATAAAAAGTTCTATTTTTATTTTACATAATATTTATAATACATATAATATATCTATATTGATTAATATATATTACATTTATAATAAATATTTTAAATATTTATATTAACATAAATATTATATATTATTTATATTTATATATATATATATATAATAATAATAACATATTTTAAATATATATATTAAATATAAAATATATTAAAATTATATATATGAAGATATAAAATATATATGAAATAAATCTGCAAGATGCTTTCGCCATTTTCTCGTCGTTTGAAGATGAGAGACACGTGAGATATGTAAAAGTAAAGAAAAAAATTTCGCTAACAAAAGATGTATCCAACTCCGTCCCTGGCCTTTCTCTATTTTAAGACGAGGACTCGCGCGAACACTCTCTCGCGCCAGGAAACGCAGCGAATCTCCTCGTCCGTGTGCGATCGTCGCTTTCATTCAGTTCGTGGAACGGTCCATATTGTCTCCCGTTATCGTCGAGATAGATAAACGTCGAGGCGGCATATGCAAAAGGATGTTATCTGACGTGGAGTCGGGTACACATCATCGTTGCATTAAAAAAGTCTTCATTTCGCGTTATAGAAAAATTCTCAAAGATATGATTTCATACAATAGACGAATCGAAACTGGAACTCGATAATTATCTTAAGAACAATGATTTATGTTAGTCCATTAATTTTACGTCTGCTCGAAAAATCGAGTTGTGGTCGAGCATTCGTTGTCCTTAATTATGCTTCTTTGTTAACTTGTATATAGGTTCCTTTTCTTTCCATCTTCACTCTCTCTCTCTCTCTTTTTCTCTTTCTATTTTTTTCCTCTTGTTATTGGCCATTTCACCGATATCACGAACAATATTACGACGCTGTATCGCGTTGTATGTCAACGAGGCGAGCGCGCATATCAACGAGGGACTTAAACGAAGCCACTTATGCCAAATACCTAAACCCCTTAACGTTAATTACCGTCAATTCGCACCGAGCCACCATTGACAACCGGCTATACTATATATATAAATATTTTTGCTAGCGACGTTTCCGTATTTCTCGATTCGGCGATATATCGAAAGAGCATTACCACATATCTCTTCGGCTAATGCGAGAGAGCGAGTTATCCTCCTTGGCAAAGTTTCAAACGATAATACGCTGCGAATACTCACTCAGCGTTATTTTCGTATTAGGCACAAATTGTTTGCATCTCTATCTGTACACTGCAAAAAATATGTAAATACTAAATGTAAAATTACACGATAAATAATGAAAATGTATACGATTAATGTACACTGTAAAAAAATATGTAAATTATTGCATAAAAACATGTAAAATTATGTAAATATTAAGTAAGTGTAAAATTACACGATAAATATGGAAAGATATACAATTAATGTGCACTATGCATTTGTACACTAAAAATATGTAATTTATTACATAAAGATATGTAAAATTACACGATAAATAATGAAAATGTATATACATTTATTATTTACGTAATTTTACATATTTTTATGTAATATATATTTTTTACAGTGTACGGAAACGTAATGCACATTAGCTGTACAGGCGAAAATAATACATAATACGACGATGAGATAATCGATGAATATAAGTAATATTGTTGAGGTATCAGAAACTCGATTGCCTAACATTTAGCACTAATAATATAAATGTGACGCGATCATGAATTATTATCTCGACACATTTTTTATGTAAAATTTCACGAAACAAAAAATTCGTACGATAATGTATATACGGGCTCAATTGTATGCCAAGTTTTTTTTACGCGCTTGCGTGCTGCATACAATATAATCCTGCGGTTAACTAACTTCTTTTTTGTGCGTGTGTGCACAACGGAAGTACAGACGCATGACGCACGTTTTCCGGTGCGGTAATAATCGGAAGTCCAAGTGACAGATTAATCTTATTGAAAAACGACTTATTCATCGGTAGGTTTTTTGTTGACAATCATTAATAATGTTTATTTTAAAAGCCTGACGTTATATATAAAAAAAATAAATATAAATATAAAAAAATAATAAACATAGAAGTATAAAAAATAAATATACAATTGAAGGGTACATGTTTATTATAAGATGTTCGCGATATTTAATTAAAAGTGTGACGTTACGTGATAAAAAAGAGGAAAAATAAATACGATAAATATAAAAAATAAAAATAAATTGTTGAAAGGTACATTATTACGAGATGCTCGTGCGATTGCGATAGAATATTACTTATGCGAAGATTTAGCGTGGGATTCGGCCGGTGGCGAGGAAAATGCGGCGTGAAAAGGTGAAAAGCGGATGCCGTAGGATAAGGATTGTATGTAGTATATGTATACATATACGAGAGCATTGCGTGTCCGATGCACCGGTACTTGGCGTAAGGAAAGCCAAGCGGTGAACGACCGGTGACACAGATTCGAGCTAAGCAAGCGCGCTAAATGAGTAACACGGTCATTAAGAATTTCATTTTATGTATATAACGAGATGCACGATAAAGAAATTTTTTTTTTTATTTCGAAGAGCGAAAATCGGTAAAACAATATCATTCTCTCGTCCCCCGAAAGCTCGAGGCTAAATAAAAGGATGTCGCGTATACGCGGTTCGCTGCACGCACACGATTCCTGGTAAAAGGCCCCGCAACTTTATTGATCGCACACCTTGGTAAGGTGTCCATACCGCGTATCGGATTCGGCAGAAACGAGCAAAAATTTCGTTTTCGCGTTTGACAGATTGTTAAGCCATAGTTTCGTTATTTGGGTTTTTTCCCCTCATTTTTCATTGTTCTTTATTTTTTATAACAAATGTGTTGAGTTTTTTTTTATTATACATATACAATGCGATATATTTTTCTTTATTGCGACTTTTTTTAATTTTGATTGCATTATGTGAAATAATTAATATAAAAATATATGAAGCCAAAAGATTTTTGTCTAATTTATATTGGTAATGATATTTTTCAGTTGCCAGTACTTGTACGAGGCACGAAAATGGCAGATACAAGTCAACAACAAGCATTAAGCGAACCGCACACAAATGGTGTGATGGATGGTTTGACAGAAGATGAAAAGAGCAAGATGAGACCCGCTGATATTGATGCGGTAAGTTGTGTAAAAAATTTAGCATGACTCTTTAGTCAAATTTTGCGAAAATAAAATTCGAAAACAGACGAATTAATTAAGCACATACATACATATATAATATTCAATATACATAAGAGAATCTTATTTACAGGATATGAGAGAAATGGAGAGGAGAAAGAGGGTGGAGATGATGATGAACTCGCGAATTTTCCGAGAAGAGCTAGAACGTATAATCGAGACGCAGATGAAGGACGGCGCTGGACCCTCCGGTCTTTTGCAACAGATCTCCGATATGATGGGGGCACAGGGAGCCCGATTCAACGGCAATGTGTTCAAAAGTTAGTGCCAGATCGCTTCGAGTTATATCATTTGCCTTTCTTTTTTCGATTGTATATCATACATATATATTTATTTTAAAAATACAGATTCAAATTGCGTCTTACCTATCAACGACATTCGCGGCGTGGAGAGCATGGGATACGCTAAGGGCGAAAAGTTACTGCGGTGCAAATTGGCGGCGGTCTTCAGATTACTCGACCTGTATGGATGGACGCAAGGCGTAGGCGGACAAATCACCGCCCGTCTCAATCAGGATCAGGAGCACTTTTTAGTAAATCCTTATGGGCTACTTTATCACGAGGTCACCGCCTCGAGTCTGATAAAGGTGGATATGCAAGGCACGATTGTCGAGCAGGGGACGACGAACTTCGGCGTGCACATCACAAGTTTCCAATTGCACTCGACAATACACGCCGCGAGACCCGATATCAAGTGTATTATTCATATTACTACTCCGTCCGTTACCGCTGTGAGTATGCTTTGTCTCCCATTTCTTCATTCCCGATGATCCGTTTCTTTGTTGTATTATACCGCGATATTGATTTAATGTTAATGATTAAGGCTCCTCGCCGATCATGTTAGAATTGTCAGACGTCAGAAGCGAGAAAACACGCTAAAAAATTCTTAGGTGCCAAATAAAATGATATTTCGATGAAACATTATTTCAGATAACTTTAGCACACTTTTAAAATATTTTGAAAATCTATCTTTTCTCTTTTATAACAAATCAACCACTGTAAAAAGTCATGATATCAGATTGTGTCATATTTACAGCTGTTGATTGATTATAAAGAGAGAAGGATAGTTTTTGAGGTATTTTAAGACGTCACAATTCCAACATATTCAGTCAGGAATCAGGAGCCTTATATTTATTAGTTCTACAATAATGTGCTAACACGATATATATTGCATAGGTCTCTTCCTTGAAGTGTGGACTGTTACCGATTGGTCAAGAGAGCATAGTGATAGGCGAAGTGAGTACCCATCAATATATAGGAGGTTCCGTCGAACCGGAGGAACGGGAGAAGATTGCTAGAAACCTCGGGCCGATCAATAAGGTTATGCTTTTGACGAATCGCGGTGCCCTTTGCTGCGGAGAAACGGTAGAAGAGGCGTTCTTCAACGTCTACAACACCGTAGTTGCTTGTGAAACTCAACTGAAACTAATGCCCGCCGGTATAGACAACCTAAATCTTATCAGCGAGGAATCGAAGAAGGCTATATTCGAAGCTTCGCGAAAACCACCGATCCCACAGCAGAGTTCAGTAGTGGAGTCATCCGCTCTCGCGGAAAAGCTCGAAAAACGCTGGAGAATCGGCGGCGCTGAATTTGAAGCTCTTATGAGGATGCTCGATAATGCTGTAAGTTCAATCGCAAAAAGTAATTCGACATTATAAGAGTTCGATTATAATGTTTTCTTCGTGTTGTTTCAGGGATTCCGTACGGGCTACATATATAGAAATCCACTGGTAAAAGGAGAACCTCCAAAACCACGAAACGATGTTGAAGTTCCACCGGCCGTATCGTCCTTAGGATATCTATTGGAAGAGGAAGAATTGTATAAGCAAGGGTAAGTTTCTGCTTTTCTTTGATTCGGAGCAATACGTTGCTCCAATAATAGAGTCATTAGTGTGATTGATTGCGATTGATCCTCTTTTCTTTTGAGTAGATTATGGAAGGGTGGACGCAAAGGCACGGACAGATCCCGTTGGTTAAATTCGCCAAACGTTTATCAGAAAGTCGAGATTCTGGAAACTGGAACACCCGATCCTAAAAAGATCACCAAGGTAGAAGTCATTACTTTTGAGAATAAGAACGACTAATTATTTACTCACACTTTTGCGCGAACTCGCCTGATGCTAAATCTAATATATAGACATTTCTTATTTGGCAATATTAATATTGTAATCGCGTATTGTGGCTGCTAATTGAATTACGACTTGCGCAATAAAGGAGAGGGAGAGCTTTAAACGCGTCAAATACTAAATAATATAATATATCGATATATATATACATATATATATTAAATAATTATGACATAGGTATATATATGGAACCGTTCATAACATTTATTTCGTTTAATGTAATTTGAAAATAGAATATTGTCGAGTCTTTTTTTCGGTATGATACCAAAATTTCAGTTTGCCACTATATCTTAAACTTATTTTAATTAAACTTTCATATAATGAGGAGATTCTTAAAAATTAAATTAAAATTTTAGAATATTGACCTTTTTACAAGATATGTAATTTCTTTTTAAATATGTCTATATCAACATGTTATGTTTCTATTATTTCGGGACTCGCGTGAAATTCATACAGCAATATAACTCTATTATTAATATTTTTATTTTCTACATCAATCGATGATAATTTTATTTTACCGAACAATATTTTGGAGATATTTTTAGCGATGATTGAGAAAGATGATGCGCATAATCTATGGCCGTAAATAGATAATATAACCTCGTATCCAATGCGATATTATGCACTGATATTATCAGCACCGTTTTCAGTCAGTAGACCATAGATAATTGCATTTTATCATGTTAATTGCATAATTTAATTTGCTTTGACCTCATTTTAATTTAGTTTTTATCAATATATACGAGCAAGTATATACGTACATATATATATTATGTTAGTTATAATCATGGTTATTTTTGTTCTTTTCCATGAATTTGATGCATTCCAACTCGTGCCATTAGTCTATATCTAATTGCTAATACATTAAACATGATAATTTTTGTATTATATTAATCCCGACAAACATCTCATAAAGTAAATAATATATCAAACATTATAATGTTTGTTATAATATATTGAAATATTTCACTATAATGATTATATACCTCTTTTTAACTACAGATATAAATATAATTCTTGTTATCACAGAGCGATATTATATTTGGCAACCGCTTATTAATGCGATGATTAAAGTACAAATTTGAGGCAAAAATCACAATAATTTAAAATTTTATGTAGAGGCCACATGTATACATATATATATATGCATGTGCCTATGTGTGTGCACGCACGTGATTCATGTGTATAAACATTGGTCAAATTCTTAACATAAAATTAACAGAAGAAATAATATTTATTATTTAATTTTTAATTGCACAAAAAAAAAAAATTTCATTACACATGCGATATAAATTCATGATATTACAAATATAGATTAAAGCAAATTGTTATTGGTGCATTCCTTATCTAATATATTAAAATGAAATAATAAAAGAGATAGTTGTTAAAGCTTCGCATAAAAACAAATCTCAAATAATTTCTAATTTAATTGTTGATAGAAGACTGACAGTATAATCTTTTTTTTTCATTATACACTTGTTTGTGTTTTGACTTTGAAAGTTTTTCACTGACATATAACTAAGAAAGTAATTCATTTTTATAAATCAAAAAGCTTAGTGAAAAAAAGATTTAATAAAGGAAGAGACGTTCCTGTTAAATATAAAACGCGCAAGACGAAAGACTAAGGACGAGGGCGATTAACATTTTCGTAAACACAATTTATAAAATATTATCATGTTGAATTCCAGTCAATCGTTAGTATAAGTATATTTACGTATAAGATATTAACGACTGTTCTTCTGTAGCTTCTTGATGTTTAAATAAAGTTATATGTGCTGTTTAAAGAGGACGATTATATCAACTTTAATAAAACTTCAACTTTAATGGTGCTTTATACTAGCACTATTCATAGCTTATTGATGCTACGCTAATAAACTTGGAGCCTTTCATAATATATTGCAAAGTTATGTATATATTATGGCGCCTACATACAATATATCGATTGACGCTAAATTTATGATTTTGAATTTACGTATTCTATTTGCGTACAGAATTATTCTATAGCAAAAGTGTTCTTAGGATGTAAATGTTTCGTGCATTTATAAATAGAGACACGATAAAGTTTAATCCCATTTTACCTGAATATTGCATGAGGCGAGAATATAATAATTTCTTATCACGATATAACTATAGAATGTGTAAAAAAGCGTATAAAAGTGTTTCACGACTCTGTATGAATGTGTGCCTGATCTCGTCATCAAGATCTCCCTGGCCTGGTGACACTGATCCCACTGCATTTACAAAACCAGATCAAATGACCCTATGTGTTTCATGAATTTTGTTTGTTCTATTTCCTTGAAATGTCATATACGCGTATTAATTAAAATTATCATATTTCTGAGCTGTGCTGATTTTTATGCAGTATTATTTAATATTACATTGTTATATGTAATATTACATTGACTTGTATAATTTTTATACGATTTATCACAAATCATAAATAGTTGTGATGCAATATCATATTATTCAGAATTTATTTCCCAGTTTAAATTGTATTCTGGAATAATATATTAATGAGGAGACAAATATGCAGCAGGCACACATAGCATGCAGAGTCTTTACTTATGTTAACATTATTGCTTCTTATGATGGTTTGAAGGGGGTCGACTAATGTTCTGGTTTTGTGTGCAGTGGGTGTCTGATGGATCTCCTACCCATAGCAGCACACCAGTGAAGATAGACTGTGCTCTTCAGTTTGTACCGAAAAATACCAATCCAAAGGAGTTCAAACAAATACAACAGCAGGTAAGTGTTGCTAATTACATTAGCATAAATATTCTATTGTCTCTTTTCACTGTCTTCTTTACTTCCTTGTTATATCGGCGAATTTGCATAAATGGAAATGTATATGTTCGACACTTGCTTTTACCTCCCTGACAGATTAAAGATTATCGACGAGCAGAGAAAATATCGGCTGGTCCGCAATCCCACATACTGGAAGGTGTTTCATGGGAGGAAGCTAAAAAAATGCAGGTACATAAATTTAATAATTACCAAATTTTTCAATCGGTTTGAATTAATTCGAATAGATTTATTCTATTTAATGCATATAAAAATTATCAAGAAAAGCATCTTTGTTAAACAGTCTTTTTCTGATTCGAACTTAAATGTTTGTCAAAGTATAAATTTTACAATAGCATCTTTTTATGTTTAATTCCTGTAGAAAATATATATGTCATCCTTATAACTTGTATACTCGTTGTTTGTAAGGATGCGACAATTAGTGGTACTGGAGAACAAGTAGTTTTAGTAGGAGCCGCTAGTAAGGGTATTATACAACGTGGTTTTCAACACAATGCGATGGTCTACAAGACACCCTATGCCAAAAATCCCTTCGACGCCATCACGGATCAAGAATTGGATCAATACAAGAGAGAGGTCGAACGCAAACAGAAAGGAGATCCTTGTTAGTTTCATTCAATCGCCAATCCAATTTTTTTATTTGCATGCATTATATATATTTCTGTATCCTGTATATATATCCTGAGATCATACCGTGTGATCACTTAATGTTTACCAGACATTTATTGGAGCCATTAATATTACCTATTTTGTAAATAGACGATGAGTCACAATCAGAATCCGAGGCCTTGTCGTCCTTTAACATCAGTCGTGCGACGCATGAATCCAGCACTGCCAAGAGTCCTATTCAATCACCGGTTTCTGTTACTTCGGAAACGGAGGAGGAGAGTAGAGACGGTAAATTCATTGTATTTTTAATTCATTCACGAATTTCCATACATATACCATGGAATGTACCACATTTTATTACACTTTATACCTATGTATATATTTTTATTTTCTACGTTATTACAACGACTATACTCGCGTGTATGATCCTTTTCTACAGAACCCCGAGTATTGCGAATAGAAACGAAACAAGTGCCTGCGCCGAGTCAACCCGAAGTCGTGTTAAGTGATGGTAAGTCTTTCCCTTTCTTTTTTTTCGTTTCTATCTTGCTCCAAGTGAATGTTCTCCTATTCAGTTTGTGTAGTCAACAACGAGTGATTAGCGAAGTGGATAGAATTATGTGTGTTACGCGATACAAAGCATTTGCTTTGATTACATCTCGATTTTTGCATGGTCATAGCTTTCATTTGCACATGACGACTAATTTGCCACAAGCCATTAAAGCACGGCATGTTTGTACATACGTTATAATTGCATTACGAAGATCTATATAATTTTGCATGAATTAATTATTGTCGATGTGTTGTAATGGTAAACTCTCAGTGCGATCATTTACAAGATAAATACGTCGGTATATAGGTGACAATCATATAGGTACTATGTACGTATTGCATTATCGAATAATACAATTAATATTCGAAAATGACAAACGATTATTGAGATGCATTTTAATGATAAATATGCATGTGAACGTATTTATTTTTAATATGCAGTGAATGATGCTACTACAGAGTACCTTAATGAGATGCGCTACAGAACGATCGAAGGACAAAGTGGTTACAGAAGAGGTGAGTTTTATTCCATACGAGAGGAAACGAGGGAAGGAGCTTTAATCTGAAATATTTCTTTTTTTTCTAATATACTATTTACAGCGATGACTGAAGAAATCTTATCTGTACACGTGTAATTTTTATGAAATAGTAAGATGTGCGATTTTTGCGTAATTAATAGAAAATAACTAACATATTAAATAATAATAATAATAATATAATAAAAATAACTCTAGAAAAAGAGACAATTTATAATAGCGTTTATTCGAAATTTCGAGCTACAGTAGAAAACAAGATTATCTTCAGTCTAATCTCGTACATAGTTTTTTATACGATAAATTTAATCTCGTTCTATTACGTAAGATGCGTTTCATCCGGTATAGGCTACACCTTTTCCGGTATGAAATACGCTCCCTATTCGCAAACTATAACTACGTAAATTGCATATATATATATACATATATGCACATGTAAAATTAAGCAAATTTATTCGTTCTAATTATGTCGCTAGAGATACGTATGCAAAGTGTCGTCGAATTTACCATTCTTTTGCTTACGTATGAGTTTCAAAAGCCCTCTCGTCTCCTTCCGCCACTCGAAATGATCAATTGGTCATTAATGCTTGCACCAATAATCGTTCACGTTAAAGCATTTTCTTTTTAATCTTTTTATTTTTGTGTGTGAAACGCTACAAAAAATCCTTGAAACTTGCACGTGTTTCTACCTAATTTAAGGTGTGGTTTTTATTATTTGTTGGGCTTTTTTTCTAAACTATAACTAAATAAAAACTAACGCGAAAATAATAAGAAAAGAGCATAATCGATTTTTGTATAAAACTCGAGCTAATTATTCTCTCCACAATTTTTCTTAAATCTTTTCTCTCTTATGTGTAACGCAAATTATAAAATTACACATAGTAAAGCAAATGACGGTGAATAATAATTTTATTCAAGGTAGATAAATAGATATTTTTGCCTAATTAAAAGCACAAAAATGTAGGTGTAAAAAATACACAGAAAGAAAGTGAGTGTAGCGCTTCGAGATTATAGCTAAAACTAAGAATACCTATTTCGCGCGCAGCGTAAACGACGACGAAGACGACTTCGCGGATAAAATGTCCGAGTATCCGTGAACGTTCTCCGTTTCTCCAAAAACGAGACGGACCGATCGAGAAACCTACGTATGTTTGAGACATATTTTTGGGACGTAATTAATGCTTGCAGATTGCGAACTAGGCAGCAATTGCAGCAGCGAAGTGATCAACGAAGTGTACTGCCGTCGACGATTTTCCGAATCTCTTTACGACAGTCTTCATTTGGAGAGTGTCAGAGTCTCGACGATCGCTGAACGAAAGAAACCCTTTCTTATTACATATCCGAAGAACTTGTCCGGCCGGAGTATCAGGTCATCGAAGACGATCGTCCGGAGGGACGAGACTCTTGCAAAGTCGCACTACGAGGCGAGACGGAAGTTTTTCGAGGATCTCGAGTGTCGAAAGAGCTCACCAACGGAATCCAAGACAGAAGGAACGACGTGCGCGAATAGCGGAGAGAAAGTACTTGAGCAAAATTCCAATGTTGTAGAGAATTCTAGTCTAAGTGGAAAATTACCTGTTTATTCTGTAAAAGAGCACAACGCACATCTGCCAAGTCTGGAAACTGGAGGATGTGTAAAAAAAATAAATGACGACATTGTGGTGCATTCTACGAAATGGAAGAATATCGCGCGACTAAATTTCGTTGAAGTAATTAACATGAAGGAGACAGAACTGAGCTCTCCCATTATTAGTACGAATCATGATTGTCAACTCGAGGAGACGGTGAATCGCGAGAATGTAATGATGGTTAATAAGAAGGATGACTCTGTACAAATGGAAGAATCTTTTACAACTCGAGAAGGAGATAACGAGAAGTTGATCAACAACTGTTTATATTCGACAACTAACAAGGAACAACAGCAAGAAGTAGTAAGAAGAATGACGAAGATGAAAAGCTATAGTAAAATACAGTGCGACGAGAATAAAGAGGCATCGACGAAGAAAGGAATAAACGGTCACGCGACGGAGTTCAAGAAACAAAGAATTTGCACGTGGATCGAGAAATCCATACGCGAGAACAATTGGGCGAATAGCAAAGCGGAGACCGACGACACGTACGAATCTTATTGCGACGACATCACGAAAATCGTCGAGAGCATCGACGTAAATATGCGAGCTTCGTCGAAAACGGAGCTGGACGCGCTGCCTGAAACGGACACTTGCGTTAAGTACAATCTGGACTCGACGAATATGAGTCTCATTTACAGTCTGACTCCGCCAGCGGTTCAAGAGGAGAGCGGCAACGACGATACCTCGCAGGACCTGGCGGAACAATCGTCGGGCTGGCAATCCGACACAACGAGAAACGAGAACGATGACGCGTTGGACGATTACGTGTGGATAGAACCGACAACGACCAAGGAGTGTGTTGTAACAACGTCCACACAGAATCTACAAGATCCTAATAGAACGATGACGATATCGAGCAACGACAGCGAGTCAGTGTCTGGGAGACATTCGGCGAGCGGCTCCGACATCCTCGAGCTGCCGAGTCACACGATTCTCGAATTGGAGGACATCGACGGCGAGGTCTTCCACAATGGGATCAACGAGTCTGCTAACGAGATCATCGCCGGTCTTAACGCCGCTCCCCATGATGAAAAAATCCCATCGGAGGATGTCAACGGCGAAGTCTTTCACAATGGAATCATCAACGAGTCCACCAACGAGATCATCGCTGATTTTAATGTTGCTCCCCATGATGAGGAGGAGGAAACCTCATCGTCGCATGATGCTTTGCAAATTGCGCAGCACATCATCGCCGAGATCATCCAGTCCGTTTACATTCTGGTGTTCCTGGATTCTTCTATTTCCGATCTCAAGGTCGTGAAAGAACTCGTACGTCGGATTATCTACAATTGCTGTTACGAATATTCGCTCGCAGAATTTGCCAGTCGGACGTCCGACGTCTCGACGATAATCGAGGACAAGGATGTTGAGAATATTTGTCGGATGAAAGGCTTCTTGGAAAATTTGTCACCGGATTTCGCCGGTTATAATGATGAAACGTGTGAGAAGGAGGATCAAGAATCCTCCGCCATGATCGAATTTTGCACCTTAGCAAAAAGACCACCGATCGTTGAGAAGCCGAGTACTTTGGCGTTAAATTTCCGCATTATCAAAGTCTCACCGGAGAGTACAACTTGTCGAGTACTTGATGAAGATCCGACCGACAACGCGAACGAAATCGGTGATGGAATTTCCGATAAAACGAGGGACAGCGAGAACATAGCTGCGTCAAGGTCAGAGATGGAAACGTGGCCTTGCGATCGGTGCTGTTACTGTCAAGAAAGGGATGGGGAAGCGACGACGAGAGATAAATTGAATTGTCTAACTCCTATAAGCGAGGAATTGGACGAGACTCTGCACGATTCTATGACGTTCATTTTAGGAAAGTCTAACGAGTCATTGTGCGACCTGGAAGTTGGCTCTGTTGATGCTGCCGAGGAGGATGATATAGATACCACGAAGAAATCTATTTCTCTTGATGAAACCTACACAATCTCCGAAGTTAGTTCCGTCATTATCTCTGATAACGATGAGACGAACGATGTCCAAGAACGATGCGATATCTGGGACTCGTCTATAGATTGTATGTCGTATTCGTACGATACTAAGGAATTTATACGCTTGGAAAAGGCTGTTGCTGATAGTTCGCCGTTGAACACGTAGCTCCAACTCGTCTTTTAAATATTCTAATTTCGCGATTCTTTAATCAGATTAGACTAAACCATTGTTTTGCTCGATTTTTGGGAGAGAAGAGAAAGAATTTCAACGATTAATTCATCGATAACAGTATTTTAAATCGTGTGTTGGTACTTTAAATTAATCGATGAAGTAAAGGAGTGTTCAAGGAAAAGAGGGTTAACAAGGTTGATTTTTGGGCCAAAGCGCCGCACGTTTTTGATCGCATAATTATATAGTTGAGGTCGAGAGTTTCTAAAACTCTCATAATAAATGTAGCGAACTTAACTATTGAAACATTTTGAATGTATTTAAGATTTTTATTGTCAAAAAACGAAAGTAGATTAAGAAATCTTCTTTTTGTCCAAATACATTATTATTATATTTGCTAAAACTGTCGAGTTATTCATATAAATATAAAAATATTCGAGGTGCGTACTTTATTTTGTCCAGTACTGTATACAAATATGCAAATATGCAATCAAAAACGTGCAACGCTTTGGCCCAAAAATCGGCCTTATTGACCCTTCTCCTTTGAGTCGATTTCTCATCAGAAGTAAATTACTAGATCATTTTTTGCTCTTAGTGTTAATATTCAGATCTGAAAAGAGCATTTCTTATATAATATTGAATACTTTGTACAATCAATGTTGCACTTTGCATATACGTTTATTTAGCTTATTAACAAGTCTTCATGCGTTTTAATTTGAAATAAGATTTATTCTTTAAAAGCGGCACCAGTAAATGTGCAATTCTTAGATACTCAGTAGAAAATGAGGTATTATTCCAAAGTCTAATGTTAATGTTTCTTGTTCATTATTTCTTGTTTTGCAATTTTCTTTCACAGTTTATTTTTTATTTTTTTTTTATAATTTACGAGTCTATGCATAAGCAAAGCACATTTCTTATGCGATCGACTTTAAACATATCTGAATAAAAAAAGAAAATTTTTATAATTTCTACGTATTAATTGACTTTTATAAGAGTACTAATATCATTTATGTAATATTTCCTGAGGTTTTCAATTTTTCTTTTTTTTTTGCTTTTAGTTAAGTTGTGACTAAAAAAAGGGTTTCATGATTTAGTATGTTTATTGTAATATTCTGGTTATTTTCTTGATATTATTTACCCAATTTAATCGACGTTATATTATGTTACATACTTATGCTCTCTACTAACAATATTGTATCTAACAATAAGTTAACTTAAATTTCGAATGCTTGTATAATTGATACGGTAGCACAACAGTTTTGAAGCACGTTTGATGATATATATAAAAGTTTGCACATATAACACTTTATAATTTTTCTTTATCCATCTTTATTTGATCTGTATGTGTGTGCATTAATCCTCACCATTAACCTGCTACTATTTCGATGGTATCACACGCATCCTGCAAGCAACAAATGATCGATGCTATTTGCTTGGACACATTGATTTTCTGTAACGAATCCAAGAGTGAATAAGATTTGGCGAATCATCATTTCACGTAAGGTAAGGTACCTTTGTGTGTGCGTCTCTTTTTCTCTCGCTTCTCTTTATCTCAAAATGTGACAATAATACGTAATTTTCAGCTGCCTAAGTTCGGTGTGATTGATTGCAATTCCTCGGCTTAGAAATTATTTACAATAAGATGCGCATTGATTAGAGACCGACGGTTGCTTTACGAATTTAATTATTATCTTCTTACTAATAATTCTTTTTTATTTTTAGGGATGAGATTCTAACAATAAGTTTCATATAATCCTATATTTGTGTTCTAGGAGAGAATACCGTAAATGGCGATCATTCGGACGCTCATCACAGTACTTTCTCGCAAAGTAGCAAGGAGGTTTGTCGCACAATACTTTTAATATCAAAGTCACCGCACAATATTTATCATACATCATATGCGGGGAATCGGAAGTTTCGCGTATTCATTTTTTATACATTTTATTATACATATACAATTCTAATCTTGAGATGACGGAGGATAGATACAGACATTCTATATGGGATAAAAATTATTACATTTCTCTCAAATTACGGGAACTCCAAAAAAAAAACGAAAGAAATGAATTTGATTCGAACAAAGCGAATATGAATAATCTCCGCATATGTATATATATAATACATCAATCTGCTTTTTTCACACATATTTCATAAACATTTGGGAACGCTGTTTTCTAAAAGTAAAAAAAATGAATAAGATATTTCTCGCTCTATAATATTAATAACAATGATGAATTACAAGAATACACAGCGTATCCGATATTTGAGTAAATGATCGCTTCGTATATTAATTTTCATCGTACAGGCTGACCGCTTGTTCACAAGCATATCTAGTCAGTTTTTCTAGAGACTCTTTTACAAACTTTTCTATTATCCTATGATTTGCATGCGATCAGATTAAAATTGGCTAATAGAACGATTAGCGAGAAATTCGGCGCGCACTTATGCATGTGCATGCAGAAAGGTTTATGGTTACGGTTGGGACCTTCCGTGTTAAGGGTTCCATGTCGCAGGATGTGAGCGTTAGCGAGGAATCGCCAAAGAAGGAAAAGAAAAAGAAGAAGGGCCTTAGGACGCCTTCTTTCCTTAAAAAGAAGAAAGAAAAGAAGAAGTCAGTCGAGGCGTAGGTAGTCGTAGCTCAGGTATGTATAACTACTTGAGTCAAGTTCGATTTATTCTTCTCTTCTTATTCCCTGGATTTCGATCGATATCGAATACGCACACGAGGGATGATTTTTTAGATGATACGTCGTAAACAAGTCTATTTACGAATTTATCGAACACGTCATTTTTCTCTCGTAAGCGTTTGTATGCTTAAACTCTAGAGAGCATTTTTTACAATCTAATACGATCTTTGGATCGACCGAACGAGTTCAAAAGTTTCTATTGCTATATATTTTAATATAAATATTTAATATATATATATATTAATATACCTTTAATTAATATATATTATAATATAATTGATATATTTATTTTAATTTATATATTTAATAAATATTTTTTAATCGAGTACTTCTGAAAATTTTTGAATATTTTTTCTTCAATGAAAAAAATAATAAAAATGATTTTGGTAACTCGCTCGTTCGCTCGTTCAATCGATCATCTCAGTCGACACTTTTCTCTCGAGGACGATTAATTTATTGATCATAGAAGGTAGGAAGAAGCATCCCTTTGCCTTAGAATTTAGATGCGTTAAATTTCATTTTGCATTGGATGCAATAAAAATTAAAAATCATCTGCAGTTTCTTCAGAATTACATTCGCGCGCAAATATATCTAGAAAGAATAAGTTTCTATAACTATAATAATTAATGAACACACAACGGGAAGGAAAAACTCGAACGTTACTGACGCTGAGCTAATCTATATTTGCAGACACTGCCACAAGCAAAAGCTTATCGTAAATAATAAAACGAAAATACAAGTTTAAACTCAAGATCGAAGCGAGTTCGGTTTAAGATAAAGGACGAAATATTCGACGAGTAACGAAGCACAGACGAATGGCGAGGAAGAAACGAAGGGAAGGAGGATAAGCAAGAAAGGATATATATGCGAATATATAAATGCGAAAAAATAAAAAAAAAAAAAGAAAATCGAAGAGCGAATGAGCAACAATCACACAGCATCTTTCCAGGACTCAAGACTGCCATCGCATATTACGTCTACGATAAGGAAACTATATTGTACTGTTAATGTTTTTACGTTTTTAATTTGTTAAGCGTCGCGCGCTAATGTATTTAATCCGCTATTTAATTTCTGCCTCTCCTATCCCGTATTTTGTGTGTAACGCAATAAAGAGTTACATATATGCATACTTTGCGACGAAGACAGATAGATAGAGAGAGACGTCATTATTAATTGATTGCCGTCTTCGTCAATTTTATTATTCGCCGATATAGACGCGGTTGCTGTTTCGCCATCGTCCTCGTCGTCCTCTTCCTGCTCATCGTCGATGTCGTCGTTGTTGTCGTCGTCGTCGTCGTCGTTGCTGTCATCATCTTCATTATTATTATTATTATTATCATCATCATCATCACAAATTGTCATTATCATCGTTCTCATCATCATCGTCATCTTCGTTATCGTTATCATTCTCACTGTCATCATAGTCATCTTCGTCGTTGTGTCGACGTTGTTGCTATTATATGGTCTCATGATCGTTGCTAATTTGCTTCTATTCTCTATACTCTTTTTTTCTTCATCTCCCAAAATTTATCTCTCTATTCTTTCATTATAATCTTAGAATAGAGGAGGAAGGTATTTTAATCTTCTTTCGCAAAACACGAGGTATGTAATAGAGTTTACGGCGCTAAACTTTTAACGCGCGAATGTTAATTGAAAATGATATATGAAACATATATTTCAAACATATTTGCGGATTCCACTGGGCGATACGGTCAACGTTTATCATAATAACGAAAAAAATATATATATAGAGAGAGATGCATGCGAAAGGCTGTGTTCTAAAAATTTAATGTTGGCATGCGAGGGAATGTTATATACGGGGATATATATGGATCTCGCGTCCGCAAAGACGCAATTTTGTGTCTCTATTAAAAGCATCCCCGACAATAGATGACCTCTCCCGGATTGGTGTATTCGTCTTCGTGATGATCGATATCCTGTGCAAAGTAATTTGTGCCGTATTGATATTTCTGTTGATTACGCGATTGTTGCCGAAAATTCCTCTTCTTTTTTTACAACTATATAGATTGGTGCTCTGTGTATCAACATATAGCTGACAGTAAGCCAAAAGAGAGCCCCAATATTCGTCGGTTATATCGTGTGTATCAAGTTTAAAAAACGAAAATTCGATAAACTCATATATATATATATATATATATATATATATATATAATAAATAATATATATAACACAGTAAAATTAATAAAATCGATCCCAGCGTGGAACCAAGATATAAAGCGCTTTCATAGAATCTTTGACAGATACTTCTCTTTTATATATTAGACATGAAGGAAATGGCTTTGACATTTCGAATCGAAATTTGTTATAACAAATATTTGTTGTGTATATATAGAAAGAGAGCTTGGAACGGTGTATAATGATTTTGCCCCTTGTTTCTCCTGTTTTTTAATTAAGAAATCAATTACTCATTGATGTAAAAACGTGCCCTTCTTATACTTTCATTATTCAGTCGATTAGTCTTATAGTATTCGAGATATTCTGTCAGTTTCATTCTTTTATCGTATTTTACGATAATTGAGTGATTCTCTCTTTGATCTGCTTCGATCATTTGCTTGTCACTTGCATTTGAATAACAGTTTTTTGGAATAACTTCAACAAGTCGAATATTTTTTAGTCATTAGCCGGATCGAGTAAGAATATTCTCAGTCTTTAAATTTTTACATCATTAATAATGATTTTAATTAAACAGGGAAATAAATTATTAAGAGCGTTCAAAGTTATGAATTGTCGTTTTTCCTTCTCTGGAAGCAAAAAATATATAAAAATTGTTTAAAACTCATTTTCAAAGATATTTCAAAAACATTAATAAATATTTATTTTATTAATAATAATGTTAATAAAATAAATATTTTTAATTAATAAAAACGGGATTTTTAACCAATTATTTTAATGTTTTAAAAATATCTTTTAAAATAAGTTTTTAACATTTTTTTATTACTTATATATTTTTTTGTTACTTAGGTCTTTGTATTTATTTTAGCTTGTTGAAGCTATCGAGGAGTGTTGTTCAAATTGATAATTCGAGCACTCTGCTAGTGATTACGTTATTCATAATATTGATCGCGATCACTTACAACGTATATTTTGTACAAACGAAATCGGCGTTAACCTATCTATATATATGACATATGTATAATAACGTATGATTATGTATGACTATGTATGATGCGATTTGCATTATACATAGATCTCTGAGAGCATATTAAGAGAATAAAAGTATAGTATTCTACCAGAGAGGAAGAGAGAGAGAGAGAAATGCTCTAATCTTCTGATTATAAAAATCATTCATGCTCGAAGTGGCTGGAAAGCCTAGAACGAATAGATAAGAGAGTGAAAAATATAAAATACACGGCATATGCACACTGCTTTAAAAATTTTTATCGATGCCTGTGCAAGATGGCAATTTTGATGACGCTACGTTTTATTTTATATTGTTTTATCGAATCGTGAAATTAATGTGTTAACGATTATTATTTACTCGCTATTATTATTATTTGCCCTCTATTAGTAAAAAAATATTATACTACTATTAATAAAAAAGAGTATTATATTATTAAGGTCAACTCAATTATCATCGCTATCATTATATCTGCAGCATAAATTGCGAGCTCGTGATTTAATCGAAGTCACGTCGTGTTTTATTCTTCGGATGACTTCTTCGGATCATCGCATGACGTTTTATATATGCTGACTAGACATTTATGAAAAGACTCGCTCATTTTTCCAATTTTTTCTCACCTTTTCTTCCCATCCTTATGATATTCGCGTATCATGTAATGATCGATAATAATTGTATGATCGAAGACGTATAATATTAATGCAATCTATTATTGTAATGGTTGATATAATATATAAATAATATTACAAAATACACGAGAAAGTATTTTTAGATGTGTGCTTATATATATATGTATCTCTCTCTCAATAGCGCTGTTTCTTCAAGCAATATAGATATATAACAAAGTAGTGAATACGATTTTGTCGCAAAATTTCATGTATTGTAAGATATAAAATCGAATCAGAAAGTACAGAAAGTAAAGTTATCGCGATAGGTTGCCTTGGAAAATTAGATAAAGAGAAAAACGATAAAAAATAGCTGATACAGGCAAGAACGTATCATCGTAGTACAAATATATACGAAATACAAGCGTATACATCGAGAAGGGAGTATAGGAAATCGGCAATCTTTAATATTCATCCGCGCCGTCTCCCTCGCCATCGATGGAGTCCATACCGACTTCCTCGTAGTCCTTCTCCAGGGCGGCAAGATCCTCTCGCGCCTCCGAGAACTCGCCCTCTTCCATTCCCTCGCCGACATACCAATGCACGAAGGCTCTCTTCGCGTACATGAGATCGAATTTGTGATCGAGCCGCGCCCAGGCCTCGGCGATCGCCGTCGTATTCGAGAGCATGCACACGGCACGCTGGACCTTGGCGAGATCCCCGCCCGGAACGACGGTCGGCGGCTGATAATTGATGCCGACCTTGAAGCCCGTGGGGCACCAATCGACGAATTGTATGCTGCGCTTGGTCTTGATGGTCGCGATCGCCGCGTTGACATCCTTCGGTACTACGTCGCCTCTGTAGAGCATGCAGCAAGCCATGTATTTGCCGTGACGAGGATCGCACTTGACCATCTGATTCGCCGGCTCGAAACAGGCGTTCGTTATCTCGGCGACGGAGAGCTGCTCGTGATAGGCCTTCTCCGCGGATATGACCGGGGCGTAGGTGACCAGGGGAAAGTGAATCCTTGGATAGGGGACTAGATTCGTCTGGAATTCCGTCAGGTCGACATTGAGCGCGCCGTCGAAGCGCAGCGAGGCCGTGATCGAGGATACGATCTGACCGATCAGTCGATTCAGATTGGTGTAGGTCGGTCGTTCGATGTCCAAGTTGCGTCTGCAAATGTCGTATATCGCCTCGTTGTCTACCATAAACGCGCAGTCCGAGTGCTCGAGGGTGGTGTGGGTCGTGAGAATCGAGTTGTACGGCTCGACGACGGCGGTGGAGACCTGGGGAGCCGGATAAATTGCGAACTCGAGTTTCGATTTTTTGCCATAGTCCACCGACAGTCGTTCCATCAATAGGGACGTGAAGCCGGACCCGGTGCCGCCGCCAAACGAGTGGAAGATCAGAAAGCCCTGCAGTCCCGTGCATTGATCCGCTAGTTTGCGAACGCGATCCAGAACCAGGTCTACGATTTCTTTGCCGATCGTATAGTGGCCGCGCGCGTAATTGTTGGCGGCGTCCTCTTTGCCAGTGATCAGTTGCTCCGGATGGAACAGCTGTCGATACGTGCCTGTGCGCACCTCATCTAAAAGAGGAGATTGTAAACTTGTGCAATTTTATTTCTCTTAAATAATTTGATATATATAATTTATAAATATATTATTAAATAAATAAATATATATATATATTATTAATATTTGATATTGATTAATAATGTAATATATTATAATAAGAATATTTTTTAAATATATTATTGTTATATTACTTGTTGCACAACTTACCCACGACAGTAGGTTCAAGATCGACGAATACAGCTCGAGGTACATGCTTTCCAGCGCCAGTTTCGCTGAAGAAGGTATTGAAACTGTCGTCACCGCCACCGAGGATCTTATCTGATGGCATCTGTCCATCGGGCTGAATACCATGTTCCAAGCAATACAACTCCCAACAGGCATTTCCAATTTGTACTCCGGCCTGTCCTACATGGACGGATATGCACTCGCGCTGTAAAAGAATAAATGTTACAAGGTGCATTACGTCAGTGTTCCGATTTAAGTCTAATTCGTTTCTTAGAAGACCTTTTTTTTCTTAAATATCGCTATCAAATAATAAATGTATATACGTGAATAATATATACAATGAGTTTTATTGCATATTAGTCTCGAAAGAGTAAAATTGTCGCGAATTTTTTTCGCGTTGCTGCTGATTAAAGATGAATTGCTCGTTACAGCAAAGTCTGTCGCACTGCGTCGTGCGAATTTTTATTCTAAAAATAGCAACAGCGTAATGTGTGCAGTTGTTATTTGCGCCAACAGAAGAGAAACGCTAGACAGATCGTGACCTTGACCAGTTATAAGTATATTAAATTAAGAGTTATAAGTATATTAAATTAAGATTATCTTCCTTGAAAAATGATAATAAAACACTATACATTTTTTACGTTTTCTTTGCTTCTTAAAAAATATATAAAAATGCGATACACACACAGATACTATTGTAAGGTTATATTTTGGATTCTCTTACCATGTTGGAAGAGGTTTATAGAAACGTGGGACGAAAACTTGCGTTGAAATACAGAAAAAAATCTGTTGTAGATCCGTTTGAACGAAGCTGGCAATGGAGCTCCTTCGAACGATCTTAACTAACTGAGCCGGGCAAATCGGGAACAACGGTCTTTTATAGCCTCGGTTTGTACCCGATTTACGCTCGTCGCGCCAAGATCACACGCTACCATCAATGATGGTGGGCATTCGTCACGCTTCGCATCCGGCTACGTAGGAGTGCGTACATACATAGAGTTACGCAACGACATATTTGCAATCGACATAATCATGCGAACGCTATAAAGTTCAATTACTTTTTTGTTTTGCAATTTTAATCAGCGACGATATCCGCAAAAATGACACCGGACTGATGGTCTATACTTGTTGGCTTCCTCTGGACATTCCTCTGGATCATTCATCTGTGTCACGCGATATTTCTGCATCGTCATTTATTTTTCTCGCATATTTTGATAGGTTTTCTGAAAAAAGATAAAAAGGAATTAAAAGGATTTCCGTGAGTGTCTGAAGCGATATAAACGAGCGAGACGATTTTAGAGAATACGGTGCTGTAAATATCGCGGAGAGCAACGAACTCTATAGCTATTAAACGCATATATATGTGTATGTGTTTCCGTTCTAGAATAGCCACCGTATCCTTATGATGTTCCTATTGTATTCCTTTAATATATAATGGATTATTTTACAAATAAACGATATTGGAATTGCAACACCAATTATCAGCAATTAGAAAGATCGGTGGTATATTTAATAAATTTTATAATTGTTTCAGTCAGTATTTTTCATTACAATTTATTGCGATAAGATAAACTAAATTAGCAAATTTTTTAATAAATGTAATTAAAGCAAAAGAGTTAAATGTAATTTTAAAGGGATCAATAATTTATATATATATATAAAATCTAATATAAAAAAATTATATAAAAATCTAATTAATTATCATATTAAAATAATAGCTTCTTAATCTTTATATATATATTCGATTACTTATTATAAAATTTTGAGAGTAATAAAAATGAGACTACAACAATAAGACTACAAGTTCTTAAAGAAATCTTTTTCTTATAATAAAATATCATTATTAAGCAATTTAACAAGAATATATACCTACATAATGAGATTTTGATTGCAAATCCTCTTTATATAGTAAAAAACATTTGCCAAATAAAATTCATTATAGCTCTACTTTTACTATGGACGGATTGACATGGATTCATTATCTATTTATCGTCAATTCGAACGAGATACGATCAAGCGAGACAGCATGTATGTAGGTGCAGCAAGTATATCCTTATAAGGCCAGGGAAACTGGCGACGTTCGTACACTCTCGTGGAGAGTAGGCCGTGGCGGGAATCATGTAACTTCCTGTAATCGTGTAACGAACCATCGAACGAGCAGTCTCACCTCTCTATTATTGTTGCAGCACGTGTAGTGCAATCTGAAATTGTATTTTGATGCTCTTTTGAGAATCATTTTTTAATGATTCTTTTACACAAAATTATCAGTACAATTCCTATAATTTGTGTAAAATAATAATTTATTACTAACCTTTCTCCTTTATACATTTTTAAAAAGATCGAGTTCGATGGCCCTTTAATATATCAGACGTGTTTCGTTTAAAACATTTTTTTCTTTGTATCTGTTGAATATATGAATAAAATATAAATTTAGAAAGATTATATAAATATATAAATATATATATATATATGGCTCAGTAGAGAGCCTAGCAGAGTGGAATCGCGCTATATGACCTAACGTCAACAGCGTTCTCGTACGAGAAAAATCTAGAAAAAAAAATTTTTTATTCTAACATGAACTTTTTGAACATTCTCCAATAAAATGTATGTTGTAAAATATTTTGAAAACTTTACCTGAGCAATTATATATATAAATCTTTTCAATAAATGACGTAAAATTATTTTTGAGATATACCTCAACATGAATATTCCATATTCCATATCATGGATTCTATCATGGATGGATCATATCATGGTTTGATCATTGGATGTAATGTTTTATATATATATTATAAAAATGTTGAATACCGTCGTAATAATATGTTAAAGATTTTTTTACTCTTACTTGAGCAGAAAAATTAGGCTAAATATGTTTCTTTTCCAAGACATATTTACAACCGACATATGTAAATACATATATATACGATGACAGATGACATGACATGTTTCGTTCGGTGGAATAAATTGGAACTATTTTAGGTAAGTAATTTCTTGGAGATGTCGATAACCAAGTTTACGATATTACCAGCATGCATGCATGATGATCAGTGATCACTCGAACCTAAAATCATCGATTTATAAAAATACGTATACCGTTTCGATATAATATAAATAAACAGATATATCAAACGTTAAAAAATTGAAGTTGAAATTCTGCACCAGTCTAGGTCGAATCGAGCTGTCATTGGATTCTGCAGATTTTACAGTAATCATCGACATGCTCTAAAGGAATATAATCACAGGTAACCTATTATTGTGTTTTTATTATGCTTTTTTAGTTTAATAAAAAAAAAGGAAAAGATTGCATACTTAAAATAATTAACAAAATATATTTGCAGTGCATCTCTAGATAAATCGCCGCCTGACTGTCAGGAGTCTCTTCCTAAATGAAAAAGCGATGTCCGCTTTAATTTTCTACACGTTATTTTATCTTCTGATGTCGGGATGTATCGTTTATCCGCCAACGGAGTTCGTCTCGGCGGGGCTGACCGTGAAAGACATTTTCGCAAGTTGGCTCGGTAGCGAGAATGAATTTTTATTCAGTATCATATTAGGAGAAGTGTAATTACGTTACTCATACACTCTTTGCTACCTTTAGGTAATAATAAGGAACTTATATTTTTATTTTAAATTCAGAATTATATATTTTTAATTATATTTTATATTATATTTTAAATTTATATTTAATTTAATTTAATTTAATTTAATTTAATTTGAATTTTCGGTCACTTGTAATCTATCAATTCAAGTCTTAACAGAATTAGTGTATAATTATTTGTTTTTTTTTGTATTTAGGTTACATTTTAGGATTAATTTTCTTTGGTCATGTGGATGCAGCGAGACTGTTCCTTATCGGTGGAAATTTCCTTGGGCTATTGATTGTTTTTTGCTGCACAATTGGTCCGCTTTATATGTTGAATAAGGTCTTTGAATGGTCTGCACATGACTGGGCTACACATCCAATAGCACGAAATCTTTCTGTATACAGTAATAATAATTTGTCATGGATGTTCGTTGCCTCTGACATTAATGTAGAATATCGAAGGTTCAGTAAAAAAAATTCCTAACGCTTACAATTAATAATGACTCTTTTAAATGATTTAATTGTAAATAATCTGGTTCTTTTTATTTTAGAGTAGATAAAATTGTTATTGTCACAAGTAGCATAACTCGTATTGTAGCAACAGACAATTGGATTATTAAAATTACACCTTATAAATTACAAGTGGCGCATCAAAGTGATGCGACCTTAATTGTGAATAAGAGTGATACACATTTAATGTCACCCACAACGAGAGATCAAGTTCAATTTATCAACATACAGGTATAATAATGTAAATTAGCATAGAGGAAACTATCTTATACATCTGATTTTTCAGGTAAAACCCACACGTGCAATGGCAGAAGCATTTGACATAAGATTAAATGCATTGGATTTTAAGGATCTGCAAGATAAAGTTTCGCGCCCAATTATCGTGCTGCAAAATATAACGTTCCACAGAACTTTGCTCGACAGATTTATCGATACCTTCAAAGAGGAAGTCAATAGAAATCCATTCTATGATATTGCTTTCCAGGTATCCAATAGCAGCTTATTAGTTCCATTATTTTAATTCTTTATCTTGAAATTCGTTTTTAGTTATTGATTTGTATATATATATAATAGGAATTAGATCAATGCATTGGGTGTATGCAAGCATCTTCAAATATAAAATTGAACAGATTGTGCAGTAGCGCCGAAAGCAGGGAATCTGATGGTTGTACGACATGTTACTGTCGGCCAATGTGGTGTATAGAATGTATGGCAAAATGGTTAATATTCTTTATTCTGTTATTTTCAATTATTTTTATTTATAGTGTGGAACATATTTTTAATATTCTTTTTATTTAAATAGGTTTGCCTCGAGACAGGATGAGAACGCACCAGAAACGTGGTTGTCCTCCAAGTGTACTTGTCCTGTCTGCAGAGCAAAATTTTGTATCTTAGATGTGTGTCATGTAAGAACTTCGAATCATTAACGCTTCAATAATACTACATTCTCATAAAATCTTTTTTCTTTTTGGAAATATAATAATTTTCAACAGAGTAACACATTAAATTAATAATTTTTATAAATTTTATTCAGATATGTGTAGATCACATATATCTTTAGTGTGCAATAAAGATAACTAAAAAATATACATGTGTATGTATATATATATATACATATATAAATATATATATATATATATACACACATATACATGTACATATGTAATTGGATTTTTTATATGAAAATATGTGTTATGTGTAAGTGCATATATAAATATCTTTAGTATCAATTATCGCACAATCGGTTAATATTAAGTTAATATTAATACAAGTCTCAGCGCTTCTGTCACATTAATAACTAGAATAAGTTATTTTGTTTCTTATTTTTTATCATAAAACTAACAAAATCCAAATGATAAAATCGAATCTAACTATGAAAAGTTTATATGATTAAAGTAATATTTTATTATTAAGAAGTATTCCTTGATCATAACATCTCTTAATCAAAAATATACGAAAAATTGATTACTGATTAATTCGCATCACATATTTCATTATAATATTGTACACAATTTGTATATAATTCAAAGAGATTTTATTTATATAAATAAAATAAACCAAAGGTCAATCAATGTATCATAAGTCTAGGTGCAATATTCATTGCCATGAGTTCCTGGAAAAGCAACTTTGCTGCATATGGTAGTCTAACTTGTGAAATCTGTGTCTTGTTTTTACATCCTTTACATTCAAAGGTATTGTTCCGTAAATTCGCTATCGCGATTAAACCACAGAAATTACAGATGTGAATTCGATACGGATCTGATACTTCAAAGAGACGTTCTCGCAGAAATTGTGCCGCACCGTGAGAAATTTGACAATCCCGTTCCATTTCTCCGAAACGAAGTCCTCCATCCCTGTATGAATATGTATATAAGTATTCGTATGCGATGTAGATTAATAGATAATATTAAAGAGTAATAACGCGCGTAATTACCTCGCTCGACCCTCCATAGGTTGTCTAACTAAAATTTGCACAGGTCCTCTCGCTCTGCTATGAATTTTATCGTCTACCATATGTTTTAAGCGTTGATAATACGTCGGGCCTAAAAAGACTTGCGCATTAATCTTGCGACCTGTGTGTCCATTGTACATCACTTCATTTCCTCGCAACTGATAACCATATTCTTGTAAAAGCGTAGAAATTTTTTGCACATTTACGGCATCATTGAACGGGGTAGCATCACCGATCTCTCCTAAAAATATGTATAATCATATACATATATTAGAGAATATTTTATCTTATTTAAACTGAAATGAAGAATAATAATATTACCTTTGTTAGCAGACACTTTTCCCTGTATGCACTCGATCAAGTGACCGATAGTCATACGAGAAGGGATGGCATGGGGATTGATAATAATATCGGGTGTAAGGCCTTCGCATGAGAATGGCATGTCTTCTTGTCTGTACTGAATGCCGCATGTACCCTTTTGTCCGTGACGCGACGCAAATTTGTCGCCAATTTGTGGAATGCGAACGCTGCGTACTCGGATTTTGCAAAATTTATATCCTTCACTGTTCAACGTCAACATCACTTGATCGACTATGCCAGTTTCGCTGTTTCGCAAGAAAGTCGAAGCGTCCCGTTTTGTAAAACGTTTGGTCGTACTATCCAACTGAAAGCATAAAAGAAAAAAGATAAAATATTGCGTTACTATTAATTATATTGTCTTTGTTAATCAAATATGCGTTATTTGTTATGAAAAGGAAATAATCGATTTACCTCGTCGTCTGTTTCTGGCAAAGTAATTGTTTTTCCTATAATTACATCATCGCCCGATACTCGAATACCAGGTGCAATAATTCCGTCGTCGTCCAATTTATCGTATATGGCATTACGCATTCCTTGGCAAGTCAAACGTGAAGGTTTCTCAAATTGCTCTTCCTGATCGCCGATCTTTTTCGATTCGGCTTCCTTGTAAGAACGATAAAACACCGATCTAAAGAAGCCTCTTTCGACGGCGCTCGCATTCAAAATAACGCTATCTTCTTGATTATATCCGGTGTAACATAAGATCGCGACAATGCTATTAATGCCAGCTGGCAATTCACGGAACCTAAGATACTCCATGGATCTCGTCGTCACCAGAGGTTTGTGAGGATAATACAGTACATGAGCTAAAGTATCCATGCGTACGTGAAAGTTTGTAATATATACACCCATAGCTTGTTTACCCATAGCGCTCTGAAAAATAATATAAACAGCTTTTATATTATTATATGTTATATTATTTATTTATATTATATTTATTACGTATGTATTATGTATATATATTTTATACTATCATATTATATTTATTATATACATTATATTTATATATTATCTCGCAAACAGACAAAAAAATCAAAGGAAAAAATATATATATTAATTCAATATTTATATATTATCTCGCAAACAGACAAAAAGATCAAAGGAAAAAATATATATATTAATTCGATCAGATACCTGATAAGTATTCCTAGGACTTTGATTATGATCGGGGAACGGTATAATAGAAGCGCACACGCCTAAGATCATCGCCGGGTGAATTTCACAGTGCGTGTACGTTGTACAATATGCATATTCTTTATCTTGTTTAAGATCGTCGGGTGACATTGCTATCATAACAGTTTCTTCTTCCAGTGTGTCTATGTATTCCACCACACCACTGCCTACCAACTCTTGCCATCTGTAACATAATATATAAATTAATATGTATAATAAATATATATAATAAAAATTTATTAATATCTTATATATATAATAATATAAATTAATTGTCTCGCGCTCACCCGTCATTATTATAATCTCTCTCCTTCAACATATCAATGTGTCTCTTTTTCAATAACAGAGTCTGTCCTTCTACTATGAGCAAAGGTCTACTGATCCTGCCAGCATCTGTGTATATCCTTATCTCACGATCTCTGATATCACGAATCATGGATACTTCCGACACGATGATGTCCATCTGTCTTCTTAACTTGCGTAAGGTAGCCATCAATTGATCTGGATCTCTGTGAATGCCGACCCAGCATCCGTTTACAAAGATTTTCGTAGCGTCAGCAATAGCACTCGGTGCTATCTCCTCAAGATTCTCCATGGACCACTCCTCTAAAAATTCCAGAATAGGAGATGGCTGCGATCCAACGCTAATGTACGCCATCAGGGCTAAATTCTTCACCAATCCTACAGCAGCACCCTCAGGAGTTTCCGCTGGGCAAAGCATACCCCATAATGTATTGTGCAATTGTCGTGGCTTGGCTAGTTTGCCGTCTCTTCCTATAGGCGAGTTTACTCGCCTCAAGTGCGACAAGGTCGATGCGAAAGTCAGTCTGTTCAATACCTGCGATACACCGGCTCTTGCCTGATGCGCCTTCTTCTGATCGCCCCAATTACCAGTAGCTAGAGAATATCTTAGACCATCGGTGATAATTTTCGTCTTAATGGCCAGTTCGAGATTGAAGTCCTTCCCTCGGTCTATAAATTTCTGTGCATACAAACGTACTTCTTTCATTAGATTCTTAAACAAGCCACGAAATAGAAACGCCAGCAGAGGTCCAGCCAGATCCAATCTCTTATTGCCATAATGATCGCGATCGTCTAATTCTCTTCGTCCTAGAGACGCCGATAATAATCGGTGTACCATGTAACCGAGGAAATAAGCCTTTTTAGTTTCGCAAAAGTCGCTTATGCCGACATGTGGCAGCATTTCCTTCTGTAAGATCTCTCTGGCGTATTTAATTCGCTTTTCCTTAGTCACGCCCGGCTTGGCACCTCTCGTACCAATGAAATTCAAAGCGACATTCTGTTCCTGTATAACAAAGGCTTCGTCCAAGGACGGCTTCACCATTTCCATCATTTCCGGATCGTCGAAGTCGTAAATAATATGCTCGAGAATATCGCGATCGGCAACAAATCCGAGGGCACGAAAAACCACCATTATAGGTATCTCTTGTTTGATGTAGGGAATGATGGCGATAATGCGTTGACCTATGGCAGACTTTTTGATACTGGCACCACTCTTAGCCATCATGTTGATCCATAAAGTTGAAGTGGGACGCGAACTGTGTTCCAAACAGGATCTGATTTCCGCCTTGTAAGCATATTTACCATCCTTCATGCTAAATACATAAACAGTATTTGTCGCCATTTTCTCCTGAGCTATAAGGACCTTCTCCGAACCATTAATAATGAAGTATCCACCAGGATCTAATGGACATTCATTTAGTTCTGTCAAATCACGATCGGATAAGCCAGCGAGCAAGCAATACTTGGATCTTAGCATGATTGGTATCTTGCCAATAAATGTCTTCTGATGCTGTGTCTCAATGGGATCTTCACCATCCTTTACAATGGTTTTGGTAATGTCTACATACAAAGGTGCGGAGTACGTTAAATTTCTCAGTCTGGCTTCATTGGGCATCATGGGGGACGGCGCACCATCTTTCTCCCAATGAGTTGGCTTGGACAAATAGATCTGCTCGAATTTCAACAAATGTCTCACAGGATTTTCTATCTCGCCTGTGGTGTGCTGTGCCTCTGCTTGCAAATCAATTTGCGGCGAATCTTCCACTATGCGTTGAACAGACATTTCGATGAACTCATCGAAGCTGTCCAGTTGTTGCCGCACGAGTCCCTTCTCGTCGAAATATGCATTAATAAGAATCCAACAGGCTTCCTGCCAAAGCTTCGACGAAATTTCCTCCGCATCTTCGTCGTCATATTGATCTAGAGTGGTAGATTGTCTTTTATAAATACTAAATTTATGAAAATTATAATTATAATTAATTTAAAAAATTAAAATAAATTAATATAAATTAAAATTATATTTAATTTATGAAAACTATAGATTATAGATTATAACCGGTGAATTGAAGGTAAAAAGACATCTATATAAACGTTTTTTAATCATCTCCATATTCTGAATCTTATTGTTTTAATCTACTTACCGTCCTCGAGAGCAAATATATTGCTCATTTTTGCTAAAAATACTCTTGCGGGAGTCTCGTTTAATGTATAAACAACTTAGAATTGCGTAAAAAAGTGAGAATAACTTATTTATAAGCACCACAACTTCCGTTGACTGCAAATTGCAAACTAAAGAAAACCCGAAACTTGAAACTATAAAATAGTATAGATAGAAACGAAGTCGTAATTCCCGGCCGGCTAATAGACGTCTCCACCGGGCCATCTGTCGACTCTTGAAACAAACTTACTGGACAAGCTAGTGTTTCATGTGCACCACTAAAGACCCTAGAGTAGAAAAAAAATGATTGATCAATTCCTTGGAGAAACCTGAGAGCTGCCATCGCGATTCAGTGGACGCGTGTACTAATGCGCCCATTGTAAAAGTAGACGTAGTGACCGCTCTCAAGTTTCTCTCTAATCAATTCTTTTTATTTAAAATAAAGTTAAAAAAAATTAAATAAAAAATAAAATTAATTAATTAGGATAAAAGGAACAAGTTTCTTTTAATTGATCAATCAAAACTTCTTTTATCTGACAAATAAATTTTTAAACTCAAATATTGTAAAACAATTGATGCGCGCAAAACAAATTTAAAATAAACATTTTACACTAATTACATACACACAAAACAATTTTGTTTTAAGTTGAACAAAATTTAACCTTTTTTAAGGAGGATAATAACAGATACGAAATAGGATTTTGTATTTCAAGATGTTTTTATTATCAATCAATCATAATTATTTATACTTATTTAGCTTTTTTGCTTTTAATTTTTCTCATGTAGAACTCAAGTTCCTTGCCTTCCAAGATATAACCATCAGCTCGACCACACTGACCAGGTCTGCTCGCTACACAAGCTAAAATTGAAATAAATACACTTTCATTAGATTCAAAACATAAAGCAAGAGATAATAAAAAGTATCTTATATTTTAAACCAACTTCTTATATAGGACTCGTTAAAAATTATTTATTCAATAAAAATATATACTACTATTTTATAAAAAATAATTGAAAAAATATTTATACCAAGCACACGTCCCGTTGCGAATTGCTCTTCCAAAGCAGGTTCAACTTTGGCAAATTTCTGCCTAGCTTTGTATTTAGATTCTGCTTTTTTAGAACGTTTTTTATTTAAAACTTCCTCTTCAGCTTCGGTCTGCAAAAATAATTATACTTTATGTTGCTTCATTCTAATATTCTATAAATTCAAATCAAGCTACATTTCAGTACTCACAAGCTTTGCACCTCTTTTGCGACCCAATGGAAGGACATAATGGCTCTCAAACCATTGTCTGAATGGTGTAGCATCAATGGTGACAATGGCATTTTTCACTAGAGTTTTGGTTCTCACCAACTCATTGTTCGATGCATTATAGACAACGTCAATGATACGAGTTTTCCTGGTACTACACTCAGAGCCCCAGGAAAAATTTCCTGTATCCAATCTAAGAGCTCTGTACTTCTTATTACCACCTCGTGTGCGGACCTGATATAAGACAGATATTTAGTTTAAAACAATTCTGACTTAAACTATATTTAAAATTAAAAAAAAAAAACACTATAAAATTATAATCATCATAGAATTCAGAACAAATAGAGTTATCAAATTATAATTTCATAAATCTTAACTAGTGTTACAATTTAAAATTAAAAAATTATTATAAGTACTTTAATTATAATTATTTAAAAACTATTTTGTAAATAATTATAATCTAAATTTTGTACATAATATAGACATCCTTAAACACATTTTAATTTTATTGTAATATTGATACTTATTGTACAATCATTTATTTACAATTTATTCATCATAAAAATTTGAACTTACAGTATGAATACGTTGCGGTCCAAGTTTGGTATTCGCAGCTGGACGTCCTAATTCAAATTTCCTCTTCTTACGAAGGGGCTTTCTCTTCCCACCAGTAGCTCGCCTTTTATGCCAATGATCTCGAGAGATACCTGTAATGCAACATTGATAAATAAATAATGAGCTTGGAGATGAGACATTTTAATCTAACCAAACATGCAACAGATACAATAAAACTTGGATTTATTTATACATTGAACTGTAACAATTTAAAAATACTTCGATAATAAATATACGTCTATTTTCGTCAATAAAGTAATATTTTACGTTAAATAAGCAGAAATATAAATCATGTGACAGATTATTATTCGTATCGTTGCACGCTGCACGGCATATATGCTCCGAGGTAATTTTTATAAATCAGACGTAAAGATGCAAAAATAATATCTTCCCTCGAAACAAAGATATTTAATTCACGCAATAATAATGTTTCATCGCGATATTGTAATGAGAAAACGTGGATTTGCATCGATACGAATTTAATGTGTTGTCTTACCCATCGTGTCATAACACAGAAAGGACCAGGTTCTCTGAAACCATCAAAACCACAAAATACTTGAGAGGAAACTCGTTGATCAAATGAGTGCGCATGCGTCAATAAAAATATTTCTAGGAGATTTTAGTAAATATTCTTGTTTGCCATCTTTATATGTACTACTTTATGACGTATACAAAATGCAGATATCAGAGTGAAGATATAGCTTCTCATCTAAAGAAAACTGAGTATTGAAGATACAAAAATATAAAATTGTCTAAAAATGGTGTATGAGCTTTTATAGTTCCAGCCAAATAAGAAGAAGAAGAAGAATGCAGATATCAAATGTCAAAGAAATGAATATGATTCTAATTTAAATTTTTGTTTTATTATCGTATTTTTAATTATCCTTACATTAGTGTGCTCTCCATCACATTTTTAAATCCAAATAATTATTAAAATATATATAACCATAATGACTACCGATATAGTGACAACATTAAAAGAGCCGAGAATGATAAAAATATGTGCTCCTATGGTTAGATACAGCAAGTGAGTTAATAAAGTGACATATAAAAAAAAAAAAAAAAAAAAGAATGTTTCTTGTAAATTATATTATTGTTCTTTTTCTGCTACGGTTACAGATTACAATTTAGAACGCTTGTAAGACGGTATGGATGTGACATATGTTTTACGCCTATGATCTTAGCTGATTCGTTTGTGCGATCTTTAAAGGCTAGAGAAAACGAGTTTACTACACATAAAGAAGATAAGCCACTAATTGTTCAATTTGCGGCTAAAACTGTAAATGATTTTGTTGGCGCTGCAGAAATGGTAGCACCGTAAGTTTATTATATATTATAGCTATTTACTTACATATATCTTTATACATTACATTGAAAATGTTTGTTGTACTTATGTTTTTTATGCTTATTTTATTTATCTTGTAATTAATAGGTATTGCAACGGTGTAGATCTAAATTGTGGTTGTCCGCAACGTTGGGCTATGAAAGAAGGATACGGAGCTGATTTATTGACAAAGCCAGAGCTTGTGAGAGATTTGGTGTATAAAATTAGAAATCGTATTCCAAGACCATTCACTGTTTCAGTGAAGATACGTCTTTTAAAGGATATACGTCAGACAATATTGTTGTGCCAAGTCTTGGAAAAAGCTGGTGCTTCATTCTTAACGGTTCATGCAAGGACTCCTGAGATGCGTAATGAACCAATTGACTTGAACAATCTGAAGCTTCTTAGAGATTATGTACAGTTGCCTCTTGTTGCAAATGGTGATGTTAAAAGTTTAGAAAATGCAGAATTTTTATTTAAGGAATCTAGATGCGAGGGAGTAATGTCTGCTAGAGGTCTTTTAACCAATCCAGCATTATTTTCGGGACACTCTACTACTCCGCTTGTTTGCGTTCAAGATTGGTTGAATGTTACATCGACTATTCCAACTGAATTTCAATGTTTTCATCACCATTTAGTATTTATGTTGGAAAAAATTTTACCAAAGAAAGAGCGAGTGTTGTTTAACAATTTACAAGACAAATCATCTGTATTAGAGTTTTTAGAAAATTATTATAATATCAGACCGAATATTGAACATAATTCACTAGAATTAACTAAATGTAATTTTGATACCTCATACGTACAACATAGAAAAAGATATATTAATAACTGGGAAGATGATTCATTTAGTAACTTTTTGCAAAATATATTTGATACAAATTCATAAAAAGCATTACGTTTTCTTTTTAGTTATGGCGAGTTGTTATAAGAATTTGTGATTTGAATCTATTCTTATGTTTCAAGACAAAAATTTCTAATTTTTTGAGCATATTTTAAAGAATTTTATAAAATTTACATCTACACGGTTTTTATATTTTTTTCTATACACTCAAAATTTGTAAGATACACATTTTATTTGTGTCTCAAATTTGTACATTGATTTTCACAAATGTAATTTTTAATTATACAAATTTTCTTTATTTTTTATTAATATGTAGTGGTATATGTATCTTCAGTTCTAATTTAAAGCAATTTAAATATTTATAATTTAATTTAATTAACTTTGTATTGTAAATGAAAACGGGAAGCTATCCAAAGAGTTGAAAGGCACGAATGAAATAAAATAATAAAAATCATATAGTAATATATAAATAATTTTATAAATTCTTCGAATTTTATTGAAAAATTCCAATAAAAACGTATTTCCTAACAATTTTAATTTTAACATGTAATAGATAAAATTATTTTTCTTTGTCTGGAAGGATCAGAAAACAAAACTTAAATTATCGAGATATTTTGAATAAATTTAAAATAAACTTGCTTTAAATATATAAAATATAGTGGGTGTGTATATATATATATATATATATATATGTATATGATCTAGAGTGTGTTCGAAAATCCTAGTCACGAGAAGAGTAACATTGAATTTGACCAATCAAGACAAAGAAATCTGTGCTCCTTTTGTTCTGAATTATTTTTGAACGCACCCTTACAGGTGGCAGTTTAAAGAGAGAGCTCTCTTGTTGTCTCCTTTTTGTTTTTATTTATCCTAATTTGTTTATTTTCACATCTAGTTTGATATATTAATTTAAAAAATTAGGACAATTTTCACGATATTTTATTAAATATCGTAGTACGTGTATGATTACTATTATAGATAGTATTTGAAAATATTAAATAGCAAACTTTGTGAAATGAGTTATTATAATACACGTAAGTCTTGTAAAAAGTACTTTCCATATTTGTAAAAATTTGCTAATTATGAAACATATGCGTAATTATTAAACACTATTAATTTTCAAAATAGAAATTTACATGCATTGTATGTGAAGTATTTTGCTCTTGTAATGTTTCTAACTTATTAATAAGATTATTTAATACAAAACTGTTTATGTTTATTTATCAAAAATGTCCTTTTTATTTCCTGTCTAATCATTTTACTTTTACTCTTCCTCTAACAAATTGATATACAATTCTCAAAGCTTTTCATTCATTTACAATATAATGAGAAACAAGGTTATATAGAAGTTAATGTTTTTAGATCTTACAGAAGAATGTCCTTTAACGAAAGAAAAAAGTTACAAATACAGATTATGTGCTTACTGCGGCAATGGACTTAAATTTATCATTGTCTGCTTTGTTGCGTTGACTTTTGCTATCACTACTATGTTGGTGCTACAAATTCTTTATACTGAAGATATACTGCAGGTAAGAAATATACTGCAGATTAAAAAAAGAGGAGAAATATAACGATAAAGATTCTAACAAAATTCTAATAATTTTAGAATAATCTTCATGGTATTCATGGAGCAGTTGCCACTGATTATTCAAATTGTTCTCAGATTGGCACTAAAATATTAAGAAAATCAGGCAATGCAGTGGATGCTGCAATAGCAGCAACTATTTGCATGACTATAGTAGCACCTCATAAAACTGGTCTTGGCGGGTGAGATAAATTAAAGCGTTGTTCACATTATGTTTTTAATGCTATTTTCTTTCCAGAGGTGGTTATATGATGATACATAATTACAAAAATCACTCTCATCCAATTCTTATTGATTTTGCAAATAACACAGCCAAAGGTTTGTGCATTTGATGTATATTTGTGATATAGAAAGAAATTTATATATAATATATTATCTACCTATACAATGTAGGTTCCTTTGCTAAAGCTGGAGTTCGTTTGCCAACTCTATTAAAAGGATTAGAATTTGCTCATGTATCATATGGCAATCTGCCATGGCATGATGTAGTAAAACCCTCTGTCAAGTTGGCTCGAGAGGGTTTTGTTGTATCTAAGGATCTTGTGGATGAAATATCAAAAAATACAGATTATGGAATGCTTTATAATGGTCCTTTAAATCCAGGTGATATATTACAATTGCATGAACTTGCGAATACATTAGATATGGTGGCAAAATATGGTGTAAAAGGTATGGTTTGCAATTTTATCCAATCATAAATAATAATTTTCATGCAATATTATCTCGATTTTCTTAAACTTATTTCTTAATTTTTTCTTTTAGTATTCTACAATGGTACTTTGTCATATAAAATTCTACATGGTAGTAATTTGCATGAAGAATCACTGCAAGAATTAGCAAGTTATAAACCCACTCTAACAATCGCGAAAAGTTCAACATTATATCATCATACAATTTATTATCCATCACACGTATCTCATATGCAAGCAGTAATTGAGGCATTAGAGGATCTTCCAATTTTGGCAGGAAATGCGTCTACAATAGAATCATTAATTCTTGTCGCGGATACATTGATGCGCTTGTATTCGTCTTCTCACAGTGTGCAACATGGTGAGTCATATCAATCTAATTATTACTGGAAGGCATAATTGCCTAATAACATTTTGATGACAATTTTAGTAAAGAGAGACGCGTACACTGGAGTTATGGCAATGGATTGGCAAGACACATATGTTAGCGTATTATCGTTAGTATCTCAAATTATTTATATTTATATATATTTGTTAGGTAACTATATATCATATTAATATATTATAAATGATTCAGTGGTTTAAGTTCACCTTTGGGCCTTGGAAATATGACGGACGCTGGCTTTCTATTAGACAATATCGATGATAATGATTTATTTACACTTATCCCTATTATTTTCCATTATGAAGAAGGAACATGTGGATTGCGTGGAGTGTTTGGTTCAGATGATGCTTACCTTAATGGTCAAATTCTCTACAATCTTATCGTTCGTGCTCTCAACGTTTCCACTGCAATAGAATATCCCAGGTAGATGAAAAGATATTAATATATATAATATATTAATATATACAATAATTTTACATAAATTCATTAAAATATTGTCAATTATCACAGCAATAATCACATTTTTGTTTTTCTAGATATTATTTTGTTTCTGGCAGTATGATGATAGAACATAATCAAAGACATTCAATAGAGACTGCATTGCAGGCTCGATTATATTCCATGATACCGTCATTGTCTATTGACGATAGTTTACTTACGAAAAGTATAAATGCAATTATTAAGAAAAAAGATTCGTTATCAAGTCATTCTGATAGTCGCGGAAACGGAATAGCATCCCGATTTTAAACGTATTCTTTTTTGTTACAAGCATACATGTCAAAAATCTTAAGAATCTTAAAGATTGCATAACACTGTGATATTAAAAAATATAATTCTAGACACTTAGACGTTATTTATATACAAATATTTGTGGGAATATGCAATAAGAACGGATCAATTTTGTAAGTTATATCTTTATATAGCTAGGAATGAGAAGAAAAGGCACATATAGTATATATATTAATTTCATATTTTAGATTCTAATACTGTTTTACACATGCATGGGACACATACTTAATATGTGTGTATGCATACAGATACATACATTCATATATACACTGTTACAAAACTAAAATAATTTTACATCAGTTTGCATATAACATACATACATATATATACAAAGAATAATGTTTTCCATATTATCTTGCTCTCTTCCTGAATTTCTTAAAAAAATGTATTTTTAAGAAAATATTTATATATATAATTGTGTAAAAAAATGATATTTTTATATATAAATTCTAATGAAATTATATACTTATTACTATTGTTAGACCTTAAGCTGTTGCGTCTCAATTTTATACTCTTTACTTAAATCCAATTGCCTAATCCTTGCGTAAGCTGCACTGGCAGTGAGTACAACGATATTGCTTAGCCACCAAAGAAATGATTTTTCTTCGTTAAACCAATAAGTTGCTAAGACCGTTTGAGCGCATGCTTTTGCAGTACCGCTAACGTTATGTGTTAAAGGAGATGTGACCTTTATTTGAAGCGCGGTAAAGTATCCAATGGCAAAACCAAATATACCACCGATCGTCATAGCACCCCAAAAAAAGGGATGTCCAAGCTTCTCGTAATTATATACAATCGTATGTTCACCACTAATTAACATTAACGGAATAAAAATAACAATACTGTACACGTTGTTATAATAAGAAAGTAACCAAATGTCCTCATTCACAGCTGGTAGCGTATGCTTTACACGGATGGAATATAAGGATAACATTAATGATCCAAGCACGCCGAAAAATGTTCCAAGGATGGATAGGGAACCTGCTAATTGTTCCTGATCTACACCCAACCAGAACCCAGCGATAATTACTGCACAGCATACTATGCACTTGAAAGATGTTTTTTGCCCTGTAATTTTTGCCGATTAATTTCTCCAATAATTTTTAATCAAAGTTTTTGGCTACTTGTTTCTGTATATCTTACCAAGTAAGATATAGGTAAATACCACATTAAATACAGTCGTCAGCGAACGGCCTACATAATAAAAAGCCACACCGACGTATTTTAAACACAAATTATTAGTTGCTATCATTCCAGTGAACAGGAGTGATAATGGTAGTACCTACAAAAATTTGTTCATACATATAAAAAAATACAATTATGTACTTTCAATAAAAATATAAAAACTTAAAGAGAGAATCCCAAAATTAAGATCATTTTTTCACATTTTTTTTAATTTTCAAAATTTTAATAAATTTATGGAACATTATATAATATTAATAATTAAATATTTATTCTTTATATAGTAATAAATATTCTCTCAATTTAAATATCATAAAAATGTATATCATTGTTATTACATTAAATAATTGTATTATATTAAAAGAAATTATATACCTTTTTAAAAATATCTTTTCTAAATGGGCTACCATCTGCAATTTCAATGTATCTTGGAAACAATTGTGACAGTTTGCGTAAAGTAATGCAGATGATTACACTCACTATGCATTGAAACCAAGTTACAAACAGAGGAGCATCCAAATTCACAGATTTACTGGATAAGAGTGCCTTATTTACAAATACAGTCAAAATGGATACTATCCTAAAATTGATTTCAAAATATAGTTATACATATATATCAAGAAAATTGTATATCGAGATTTAAAATTATGCTTATCATATTCTCATGTAGTATAAAAAAAATCTATATAAGTATACTTAATAATTGATAGTAGAGAGAGAATATGTAAGCAATTTAACATCATTTTGCGACTCACCAATAGGCTGCAATTACAAATGTGATGTATATGTATTTGGATGCAAGTCCTGTTTTCAAGTTCATCTTGATAAAATTTATATATTTTTGGAAAAAATTTTATATATATATTTATCTATTTTAGTCAAAAGATACAGATGATAAATTATTCATATGATTACAATAGTTAGACTTGACAATTTGCATTGGATTTAATTAAATTATTGTTTCTTTTATATTATTACAAGGTAAACAATTTCATATAGGATCAAAATATTTTAATGAAACGTCAAATAATTGAAGTGCATATAAATATATTAAATTAGCATATAAACTATCTTGTTGTGCTGAAGCATAGATAAATGACAATTGATAATATTCTAATTATATGATAGATTCTTATGTTTGACATCATTCTTTTATTTTTAATGGTACACTTTCATTTAGATATTATTTTCAAATATATTGATTTTTTTATTGCTGGATGCGATGCCAAATAATTGAGGTTAAATAATATGATGGAATTTTTTTCTAATGTTAATACGTGTGAGAGATCTGCCGGCTGTTTTGATACTGATATATCACATCGGATTCTCAATTTCATAACATATTAATAAAGTAATTAGCAGCAATATACAATGGAATAATCTTTTTACTTTATTAAAAATATCATGTAATCTCACACGCACATGTACAGTCGAGCTTCTTTATTTGACAGTTAAGTTATCTCGAAATTGACACGTATACATTTCCTCTACATATATATTTTAAGATTTCCCTCGTGCTCTTGTCTAATGACACATGTGCAAATGAATCTATTTTAGCGCGCTATCTCTTATTTTCACTCACTATCATTCCCTCTCTCTCTCTCTCTCTCTCTCTCTCTAATGTATTCATCACGTGATAATATATATAAGTGAAAGAGAATAAGAAATAATTTAATTGATTCGCAAGATTGTAATTTTGTAGTTTAGAATAATTTATTATTTTTTATAAAACGGTTTATATGATATATATTATTTAAAACACGCACAAATTATCTAATCAATTTTTTTCCTTCAATTTTTGATACTTATATTTTAATATTGTTATGTTTCCTATGCAGTTTTATATTTATTTTATTATTATATAAAAACATCACTTTTGTACATTTTCAAATAAATATAAAAATCTAATTTTTTAATGCATTCTCTCACCTGGTTTTCTTTATTTTTTGTAAAAATAAACAGTGTATTGAAAGCAGATCTTGATAATTAAATAATTAATTAAAATATGGATTAAACACTTTGATAATCAAGATCATTGATTAAATTCATTGCAAATCAATAATAGTTTAACTGAGTGATGCTTTAATATATATATAAATTAGTCAAACATTGGGATATAAATAAAGCTATTATTTATATAGACGCTCTATAATTTGTGATAAAATCTGTACAGAATTCCATTTATAATAAAAAGTAATACAGAGAATATTTGAAGAGTAAAAATTACACATATATACAAATACATTTTAAGATACATTTTAAGATACATTAAAAAATACAAAATATATTTAAAAAAAAGAGACATACATACATATATTAGAAAATGTGTGTGGCACATAAAATTCTATTTTTAATTTTGTCGCAAATTATAGATTGTCTGGAACAGGATTTTAAATCAATTATATTCAATGCAAAGATGAGACATTCTGTCTTCTTTTTTTAGGATTTTCTAAAAAATACAACTGATATATTTAGTAGAATTCTGTATATTAAGAACTTCGAATATATAGTACACAATTAGAAATTATGAATTATGCATTTGAAAAATTTGGTACATTTTTAAATGTCTTTCATAATGATATAGTAATAAACAAATTTTCGTTTCAACAATAATTTTGTTCAAAATATATTATAGATTTTATAGTATGTACTTATATGCTATAAAATCATTCATAGCAACGATTGCTTCCTAAATCTTAGTCACATCCGCGTGTTTTCGTTGCTTATTGTCTAAACTTTGTCTCGCATATACATATTATATTAAGTATAGAAATTTTACATATCAACCTCTTTTTATCAAAAAGACCCAACAAAGCATATGTATATAACTATTATTTAAATATTATAATCTAAGACATGGAAAAACTGTAGTTTTTTAATTTTTTAACTATATTAAAAATTATAAAAATAAAGATTAATAATTATAAATAAATGTATGCTTAAATAAATTATTTATATCATTTAATAACTATACTATAATTCATAAAAATAAATAAATGAAGATTCTTGCTTCCTCACTGCAGCATATTGCACTATGACATTAATGAAAAATCATATAAATTTTCGTTTTTGCATTATATTATGCCGAAATAAATTTACTTCTTCATACATTATAAATTGCATTGTATACTAACATACTATTAAAAAAATTTATATTTTTAAATTTATGTGCAAAAAATTTGCTTCTTATTATAATATAGCTGCAATGAAAAAACAGGAAAAGCTTATAAGAAAAATAATATATAAATATTCATATAATTTCTATAACATAATTCATATAATTTTCAAACATAAATTAATAATAATTTGAAGATAAGTAATATATGTGCCCATTTAAGCTTATATTATATACTTTGTTTGGAATTTCATTTATAATACACTAGTCGAATTTGATAGATTGTATTTGTTAGATTTTATCTCTTAAAATGATATGTAGACTTTCATCTCACGAGAAAATTCAGAGAATTTCAGTTCAAGTACCATATTTCAATATTTCATACATATTTCACATTTCTTTCATATTTAAAGTTTTATAGTGCCATAATTTTTAACTGTAATATAATTGTAAAGTAAATATACACACAGACACACACACATACACACACACACACACACACACACAGAAAACCCCATTATTTTTCAATCATTTTTCAATATCAATTTCAATAATTTACAGTCATATACATATCTTCGAAAATAACTTCTATATTCTTAAAACTAATAAAAACTACAATTAAATAAACACAAGCAACACATTTTAAAACATATTCAAACAAAATTTGAAATTAGATATATTTCCTCTATGTTTTATATACATTTACCGTATCTTTCAACAGCACATGTCCACTGGCATAAGATTTAGGAAATTCTTTGTAGTCTTTTATTTAGATTTATGACATGAAAGTTATCAACAAGATGAAGTATATGCCCGCAGATTTAAAAAGCTAACACCTGCGACGGATTTGTGCAGTCACCTATTGTCATTCTATGCATTGCCATTTCCGTAATACCATGATAATGTACAAAAGCAGCTGCAATTACTAATACATGGAAGATTTGATGACTCTGAAACTAAATTTAAAATGTAATATAATATCTATATATATTGCTGAAATAATCAATATTTGTTATTTTTGTAGAAATCAATATTTTGATATCGATTTTTAATAAAGTTCTTACCCAAATATCAAATTTTCCCGGAAAAAAACGTTCAGGTACCCTTAAAGCATAAAATAATGCACCTAGTATATACAAACATCCCATCAGTATCAACCATCCAAGGGATGCTTGACTGATCGCCTTGAACCAACCTTCAGCAACAGCATAATGTACTGCTGGTATTACCTATAAATATAAATAATAATAAAAATAAATATACTTAAGCTATTTATTCTAAAGTGAAAAAATGCTATATTCTGTAAAATAAATTAAAATAACTTACCCCGCTAAGCCCGAATCCCATAAAAACTCCCGCTCTGAGTGGACGATAGTTTGGTTCACCAAACCGCTCCCATAATGATACTACAATACTGGTTATACCAAGGACAACCACTACAGATAGGTAAATTAATTTAGGTTGATAGTCGCAATAAAATCCATAATAAAGCCATGGTACAAAACTACCCATAATAAGCATAGCTATGCCACAATAATCTAACTTTGAAAATAGCTTTCCAACACATTCGCTGTGGCAATGAACTGTGTGAAAGGCAAATGACATTCCTAGGCAAATTATAGCACCAGCAAAAAAGGTACCAAATACCAACTTTTCTTCCAATTGAATTTCTATAGGAGGTTGTGTTAGAAAAAATATAGCTATACCAATAAAGGCAACGCAGCCTGTAAAGAATAAAATATGTTATCAACATAATTTATAACCAAAAGTTATACAGAATATGCTCTCAAAAAAATATATGCTCTTTTCAAAAAGTGCACATCAATATACATTCAATGTTATTTTATATACTGATAAACTTAATATTGATAAAAGAGTGTACCTAACAAATGTGTCCAAATATTGCCAGTTTCTGTATGAATTCGAAAAATACTTTTAAAACACGCATAAAACGAGGGTAGTGGTGGTCTGTGACCAGCATGTAAGAAATCATTATCTTGTAACCATCTTGGTAAATTCCTAAAATGACATTGTTTCCATGATGCTTCCCATACCTATAAATAAAAGTTTTTAATTTGATTTGCTAAACATTTTAATTATAATTCTTAGACTGTTATAGCTAACTTCTTGCAACTGTGATATAAGAGCATTTTTTAAATTATATTCTTATTACAATGATTTATTAAATAAATAAAATTATTAAATAAATTATTAAATTACATTAAATAAAATTATTAAATAAATATTATAGTGTTTTCTATTACCTTTCGAACGAATTCTTCGGCCTGTTCTGCTGCATTATGTGCTAATGCACCTAAATCAATTTCATCGCTCAATACACCTGCTTTCAATACTTCAGTCATCTATAATTTACACATAATACATGTTTATTCCACAGTTAATTACATTTATCCTTTTACAGCAAATAAATAATAAGGCAAAATATACCTCACAATCCAGAAGATGATCATCTTCTGGGGTTGAAGGCAAAGGACATCCGACTCCATCTTCTTCTTCTGCCAAACAACTTGCGTCATCATCATCTAATAATTCTTTAACTTCATGTAAACCAGGTATTTCACTATTTAGTAATACACGATCACTCCATGGAATACGATGTCGTATTCCTGCCAATTCTCTCGGTAAACATTCATCTTTTTCTTTGGCCTCCAGAATAACATCTTCGTAATGTGACATGATTCAGAGTATAATTGACTGCAACTCTACAAGTTTGCTTTAGAAGAAAAAATAATACACACGTTATACAAATTTTTAGTATAAATCGGTATTTGTAAGTCTATATATGTCATCCATAATCTCAATATAAATTTTTTAAAGTGTATATCTAAGATCATAAAAATATCTCATAATTGTTACTATATTTTTAGTGGACATAAATTTTTATCAAAAGTTATATTTTTTTTTATGTAGCTCTACACATTTACTTATAAATCTATGCTTGAGGTAAAAAATATACTGAAGTAAAAAGGAATAATTTTCTAACAAGAAATAAATATTAAAAACTATTGTCATGTATGAGATGAGGAAAAGGTTAACACATTAAAATTAGTTAAGACAAGTTAAAAATAGAAATCAATTATGTAAATTATTAGAACACAAATCTAGTATCAGAATAAATCCAACATCTGTTATATTTAAATCCAAATATAATTTTTATCCAACTATAAATATATATCACAGCATTAAAAATATAATTTTTACAAAAATGTACTGATTTCTTTTTAGTACACTTACACGTCAAGAATAAGAATTATGACTTATTATGTAAGATACGATAAATATACATGTGTATCGTCAAATGCAAGTCACTTAAAACTTTTCTCTTTGTTAAAGGTTATTTTTCATTCAAACGTTTCGGCTTGTACGAATTTTAATTTCTTGAAAATGCCATTACGGCATACAGTATAAAAAGGGCAACGAAAAAATCACGGATATGAAAGAAATACTTCATAAATGTAATAAAACTAATAAAAAAATCCTAAGCAAACGTCTAGAAAAATATTTCAGCACTAACCCAGTCGCACGATGTTCCTACACTTGCAATAACGTTCACATTTGCGTGAACATGTTCCGAGAGTTTTAGGCTGTAAGAATATCGGAACGACTGAAAAAATTACGTTTCCTGTTCCGTTGTTAACGTTTGCACGTTTGATCTACAAAATGCTAATGACACATTACGCAGCAACGACAACGCGTGGCAAAGTAAAATCCAGAGATAACTGATGAACTTTTCTATTATACACAGAATACACACACGCATACGTCACGTACATTAGGATATATATATATGGTCGTAGAACGGTATAGTTCAATGTACTGAGAAATCGCATGGGGCAAAGATCGTATAAATTTTCCTTGGAAGCGGAAATGTCAAAAAATTAGCTGGAAAATTTTATTTGACCTCGAAGTGATTCCAGAAATCACGTGAGGCTCCAAAGTGCGAAACTTTTCACGTTTAAAGCCTTTTGGTCGCGAACATCGCGAAAAGATGAAAATCTAGTGAGATACTAGGTATTTTTCTTAAATTAGCATTTATGACGTATTTTTAATGTTTCAATGACAGGAGGAATATTTTTTAAAAAAGATCTACGATTAATTGAACAGGTTATTTGATGCAAAATATACAAAAAGCTTTTCAAGGTTATACATTTAATAGTCCCTTTATGGTTTGTCGTCTGCTATCTCGATCAGCTGTATGGATCAGCTGGATCTAACATAAGTAAGGACCGTAGATTGTGGGAGCTCTTTAGCTAGAAGGTAGGTGGATTCAATTGATTTTTAAATATAGAATTTGTTTAAACCTTCTAAATTTTTCTATTTAATTAATCATGGGACAATATTTGGAAGTTCTCAATGTATTTTGCAGAAATTTAATCAATCGGGAAAGAAATTTTTGCTTCTTTGGATTGGTACACCTGACTGTCATATGATAATAGTACCTTGACTTTGACATTTGACATTCCTATAGACTTCTATAGATTATGTAGAAGGCTGTAGACTATAGATAATTCCTCTTCACAATATTGTGTATTTTGATGATAAAATTCAGGCAAAAAATAAAGTTTCCTCTTCATGTCTTCCCTTTTTCATTAATTTTAGAAAAAAGAAAGATTTTGTATAATTAATGACTGTAAAATATATAATTAAATTAGAGAGGTATATATTTCAAATATTTATATATTTGTTAACAAAGGAAAATTTTATTTCTATTTAATTATATTTATAAAGCATATATCTATAAATATTTTTTTTCTTTTCATATAAATTTAAAATTGTAAAGTGAAAAGTTAGAAAAAATGCAATTGCAAGAGAACAAACAAGTTCATGATAAAATAATAACATTTTTTTAACATTAATTAAAATTTCATTACGTATAATTCATCACATCGCAGTCACATACACTTACACATACATCTGAATAAAAGAGCACAATTGATTTTAAAAATTGAAACATTTTATTCATATTTTTATAAGCAAAAACACAACAAAATTCAAGTACACTTATATCATACGTGTTAACGTCAACTAAAATATATAATTACAGTAACATGACTCGATGTAAGATGCAACGCTTTAATGTCTTTATGAATTTCTCGCATACCATGATTGATTCGATGAATAGATATCATTTCGCGAAAAGGAATTCAAAGAAATTCTCATTTATTTTTTGAGGGTATGCATGCACCGATAAAGATCATTATTGCGATGGACCATGAAGCCATGTCCACGCACATTTTTCTCTCATCAATTTTTCTTTTTAACAAGTCTTAATCGCATCACGATTTCGCTACTGACTATCAAGGAGAGTGCTTTGAAAGTTACAAAAACGGCCGCCACATAATAAGGCACACAATTGATGCAACGCGCATTTCAATATAACGATATATATTCGTACTTATCTTTAAATGTATTTTGGTGTGAATGAACGTTTGTAGAGCTATACGAATCATCTTGGAAATGATTTATACGTATCATGCTTAAGGAAACTAGAACCTTGCACAGGAACAATGGTGTCTATATAATATTTATATTTATATTATATTTTATATATATATATATATATATATATATATATATATATACATATATATGTATATACATATATGTATATATATATATACATATAATATCGCTGCTATGTGATAAGATTTCGCGTTGATAGCGCCTGTTCTTTCATATCTTTATCAGCATTGTTTTATCGCATCGCTACTTTATCATTTTATTATTATTTAATTGTATTATTATCATTTTTCGTGTTTTCTCTAATTGCTTGGATTGATCGATATTTTATTTACATATTTCTCTGAGGTATATGTTACGCATATTGTGTGATATGGGATATATGTATGCAATGAGACTTCATGAACCACGTCTATCAATCGACTTACGTAATATGCAACCTAAGGTACTCTCGATCTATTCCTGACACAAATCAACTAAAGCGTGGACTATATGTCGTAACAAGTGATGTGGCTGTCATGTGTGTAAGTACACATATGCATCTTTTTGCGGTGCGTTTACTCGATTCCGATCTGAAACGCTAGTATAAAAAAAAAAATTTTTTTTGTTTTCTTATTCTGATTTTTCGGTAAATGTTTAGAATGGAGATTATCTTATCTTTTATATGAAACTGTAATATTTGAGGCGGAAAAAAAAAAAAGTCCGGATATAAAGATGTAGTAATTTAAAAAAGCGTCATCCTTAAAAATTATATATCTTTAAAATTGACAAGACAAAAAACTTTTTGCAATTGGGCGACATAAATCACATATGATAGCAAAGTTTTCAAAAAATCTGCGTAATAATTCTTATTCTAAACATTTACCGGTGTGTTCAATGTAGAATAATATTTTTTAACCATCATCATAAGCTTTTTCTATATACATCTCGTTATACTTTTCAATAACAGGCTAAGGTACATCTACAAGTAGCTCACTGTTTTACCGCTGCCCTTTTTCAACTAGTATCTCCTATGAAAATGTGATATTACATCCTGTATGGTTATTACATATCGCTATCTTAAAAGCATGTATTATTGAACTATCTAGTCTGCCAATTTTTCTCTGTATACAATATATATTTCCCTTCTCTCGACTAGAAAAAGAAAGTCTTAAAACCTTACGGATGAATATACACAGGGTACTCCGATGATGCCAAGTTGAAAATTGTGAGCAGTCAGAACTTCTCTAAGCAAAAGGCCATCCAACGTGATCATGTGCAACAATAACTCTTAGTCTTTTAACATTCATGTCTTTTATATAGATTGTAAAAATAATGCTTTAGTCATTTCCAGAGGCAGATTTGTTACGAGAGATATCGTAGTGAGAATAAAAAATAACAACTTGGCATTTTATGCCTCAATAAATATTTCATCATACGTATGTTCCTCTTCTTTTATTTCATTTAAAATAAAGTTTCTTTATATTCGCGAAAAACAACGTATTGCCTCTTGATAAGCTCGGTCCAGATAAAAGCTAACATTGCGAATCTTGTTTTTGTTTTGATTATGAACAATGACAATACGGTAATGTTTTAAATGACAATGGTAAAATGCTATCGTAGAATGATACTACAATGCATGCTCCCACACACATAAAATTTTTGCAGATTGTACGATTATGAAGGAAACTTAAAACTATTTACAAAAATGGATCTGCAATGCTTTCGAAATAATATAACATTTAGTAAACATTTAGATAACATTTAGTCCTCCTTGAGCGTGTCACTGAATTTTCGAAAGAATAATCGATTTGTTAAATCTTTGCCCAATAAGGGAATAAAATATTTGCCTTTTTTCAATTACGAGGAGGTATCCTTACACGTACTTATACGTGCTTGATTGAGATATACCCGGGAAAAAGTGCAACATCCTGTGGCCTATTTCGAAAAAGACGAGACCTTTCAGACGCGCGCGAGTATAATAATATATTATTATAATATAATCTGTATCACAATTCCCATTCTATACACATTCTATGTTATAATAATATATTTCCTCATCTTGAGGAAAGTTTGTGACGGGAGGGTATATCTGAAATTTTCCAATACATTATTGTATGTTACAACATACTGCTCTGCAGGGTATCGGACCTTCAGCATTCTGATCGTACAGAGGCTGTTGCTTGAATATTTTCGAATCGAACGGTAAGAATGGCGATTTTCCGGTGTAATAGCTTTCGTATACTTCGTATGCCTCGTCGATGGGTATTTTCTCGTTTTCCAAAACGACAGTCTGATTTAAATTCGGTACGAAAATCGGAATCTCTTCGCTGCAGAAATGCTCGATCATCTTCTCAGAATGATTATTTGGCACAGTTTTCGATTTCGATGAGATTACCGACGTGCTGAATCCTTCCTCGCTCGATTCATCCTCCACACTGATAACGCTGTTCTGTTCCAGCTTATAGTACTTCCGCACGTGTTCCATCGTAGCTCTCTCTATCTCGAAGTTATCCTCTTCCGCAGCTTCACCTTCGTAGAGGACCCCCGGACTTTGCATCATCCTTCTCGGGGTTATCACAGGTTCTATAGTTTCGGCTTCCCAGCACTCTAATACATCGGGTTCTTCTATGCTTACAGAGGACGCTATCATTATACTGTTGTTTTCCTCATTCTCGCTGCTATTTCTGGTCTCCTCGCGCATCACCACATTCTCATTGATTACATCGATATGAGCAGCGGTCTTCAGCGCACTTGAATTATCATCTTGATCGTTAAAAGATGGTACAGTTTCGTACAAGGACATTGGTAATAATTTGCCATCCTTCGAGATGATAATCTCCCCTTTCTCGAATGTCCGTACGCTCACCATTCCGTGTTCGTTCGATTTCTTCTCGTCGTTTTCAACATCTATCCGTCTCATCTTGATATCGATATTCTCAACGTGATTTCTATTGACTTTTCTCAATGTCTTGATTCGTCTTGCATTAACTCTTTTCGAGTTTATCCGAGAACTTAAAGCAACCCTCATACCCGCAACGCTATCCTCCTGAGTAAATTCGCAAACGTTACCAACATTGTTCTTCGACGTGTCTTTTCTTAATCTCACGGCAGCGACAAGGTCTTCTAGAGTACAGGAAACCAATGAGGAGACCAATTGATTCTGCGTCTTCTCATCAAGATTCTTGTTCAGCTTGTCGACTCTCTTCGCTTTTCCTTTTCTTTTCGCGTCTCTTTTTCTCCTACCGATCGATATTAACGTCGAATCATCCTCCACTTGATCATTTCTCACGTTGTTTTGACTGTTGGTTTTTGCGAATTCGCCGCAGCTAGCCATGCGCGACAACAAAACGTTGTCGACGCTGCTATTAACAGATAGTGCAGGCATGGGGTTGCCTTGCAAGTTTTTTGGCGGCTTACCATCCATTTCATCATCGTCGTCTTCATCCGTCTCACTTTCCGAGGTCGACGCCGACGTTACAAAAAGATCGGGCGAGTTCGCCCGACGCAGCCATTCCTTCACAGCGGCAGTGATAGGGTATTCCGACAGTCGAGTCTGACTCTCAAATCCGAAATCTTCGTTCGAAGCTTCTATCGTGATTTGGTTCGTGGTTTTGGTCTTATTATTTTCGTTAGCGCGCACCTCTAACGCGACCTTTTTGTTTGTCGCTTCCTGATCGGTTTCGTTCAGTTTGTTATTTGTGATCGTGCACGAATCGTTTAGTTCGACGGCTTCAAATTGCTGTACGAGCTTTCCGTTCTCCATGTCTAAATCCGGTCCCGGAGTAGGTTCTCTCACGAATTTTGAACCTTTTTTGCTGTACTTTTTAGGTAATACGAACGATGTTCGCACAATTGACGAATTGTTGTAATGTAATTGTCGAATATCTTCCTCTTGTTCCTCATTGACATCCATCGGAGTTGAATTAGTATTGGAGGCACTCTCCTGAAGACTTGTCAATTTTGACTTCTTCTCCGTTAAATTGGTGAAATGTTCCAAATATCTTTCACCATTCGTTAAACCTTCTCCAGGATATCCGATATGATTATTCAACATATCCGTCGCATGAATGTCATTACTATTACTTTCGAATAGCTCATGCTTCGCATTGGCACTGGTCGAATCATTTTCGATAGGTTTGATTAGTACCTTGTGATCAGTCAGAGCATCGCTGTTTATCTCCGCGATCTCATTAGTTACATCTGGGACTAGATGATTCGTTTGACTGTGAATTTCTACGTTTTTGTTCTTTGGCTTGTGCTCAACTATTGTCGATTGAATACTTTCCACCGGCGTTTCTGTAAAGATGTGTTCTGCATCGCAGATTGTTGTTGCGTCTTCTTGGTTGGTTGGACTTTGAACGGTTGAGTCAGATGTTTTTTCAGTCTGGCGGCTGGAGGGTTCAGTTTCGACGTAGGATGATACATCTGATACATCGTTGACAGACGACGTAACTTCTTCGGTCACAGTGCTGATGGCGGATGTTGAGACAGGACTAGAGAGGATATGAGTTTTTTGCGTGGCCGGCCGTAATTGAAATTCCTGGCACTCGGGATTCAGCGGCCGATTCGCCGTTGTCGCAGTTGTACTCGCAGTTGATGTTGGACATTCTGACCAAGGTAGTCGGGAAGACGATACATCATTATCACATTCGGAACTGTATTCCCCTTCCTCTTCATCTTCGGTGTTACCCTAAATTTAACAAGAAGATACATTAACATCAGTGACAAATTTTAGTAAAATAATTCAAAATAAAAATTGTTACAAGATATTTGCATATTTTAAATATTTATATTTATAGTCCTCAATAAAAATGTTGAGGGAAGCCATCATTTTTTGCATGTTCCCAATTTTTGCCATCATGTATTTTTATAAACCTTAAATTAAAATTTTGTTAAAAAGTAAACTCTACTTGAAATTAATTGGAGAATATGGTTTTATGAATATTTTATTTCCACAAGACTTAGTTTGCGAAAAACCCTTTATTTTCAATCGCTTATAACTCGAAAATGATTGATACCTCAATATTTTTATTAAGGAAAAATTGTCTCTAAATAACAAGACCTACTTATATATATTTTCGCTGTGACACCTTATATCGGGCACGCTGTGTATAAATAGTTGTTGTGTAATTTATTTTGTTTTGTTACATATTAATTTATTACTTTTACAATTAATGAAATGCATTTAGAATTGACCCTTGTATGCAATGGGTTTTGTCGACTTACCAAAGTAGGTCTTTTCTGTTTTTTTTTCTTTTTCTTCTTTTTCCGTTTGGCGTACGCCATTGTCATAGCAGTTACGTCCATGGTTCTCACTAATGGCCCGCCCTGGATGGTAACACCTTGGACAAAAGAAATTATCGCGCGTTATCGGTCTGTCGAGAGATGAAAATCGGTCAACAAACAATATATATATATATATATTTCAGTGCGACATTTGATTCACTTCGATGAGCGCGACCCAATCGTGATCCCAGGAACAGGATAATGAGTGGCAGAAGTTGTCGCGAGAAGTGAACTTTGGTTTTTCACTGCTTCTTTCTCGACTCTCATATATCAACACGTGAACGATACGTAACTGTTATTTTTAACAAGCTCTATTTGAGGTGTAGCAACACGCTGCCCGTTGCCAAACTCTCGTCTCGCGTCTCTGATCAAGAGCTGAGACATATTTCTGACGTTGAATTGTGCTGGTGTTACCGCAGGACATCCCCTCGCGCTCTAGTCACGAGTCAATGGAGACTCTCGGACGAGATACGCTTTCGTTTACTTGGTGCAATGTGGAAACAAGAAAAGACGCACGGTGTGTTGGAGCGTGGTGAAAAGTACATCGATCGACATTTATGCAAGTGATAGAATTCGATGTAGCGACAAATAAACACCGAGCGTGTACAAAGTTGGGACTTTAGGAACGATCGTGAACGAATATGAACAGGGTGTATACTCAAATTTTATAAATAAATTTCATGATTTTCCAGGTGTACTTTTGTTCAAAGTTCCAAGTAAAATTAAAGTATTTAAAAAAATTTTAAATACAATTTTAAATTAAGTCTATTTTTGTTATACATAATTTTTTAACATAAATAAAATATTTTTAAATTTATAATAATATAATATTTTATAATAAAATGTATTTTAATATACTTAATTATATAAATTTTATAAATTTTATATTCTTTAAAGGTATATTTAAAAATAAAATCAAAGGAGCAATTTTTTAAAAAAATCTCTGAGTTTGAAATACACTCCATGAGTATTCTAGGATTTTTCAAGGTAGAAAAAAAATTCCCTGAGAATTTCAGGTTTTTCCCGGAAGTATACACCCTGATGAATTATAACGAGCTAATTGTCGGTTATTGCGAAAAGTGTCGAAAACCAATCTCGTGATTCTGTTTCACGAGATTGTTAGATCATCGACATTTCCACGATCGTGTCTAAAGCGTGGTACCTTTTTTGCGAATTATTACCTTTTACCTTGAATGTGGTAGAGGCACCGTGGTAATAAAACAGCAATGATGCCGATGGACGGGACAGAAGTCATGAATCGGGGCATATCCCTTTTCCTTGGCCGCGCTTCCGATTGACACTGTTCTCGTTTAACATTAGAAATAGGTAGAATCAAGCGTACTACCGAAAGTGTAGCGCAGTACGAGGAAGGAGCGTTTACATTGGATCAACATAAATATAAACAATTCAATAATTATGTGCGATTGTTACAACTTTTTTCACATTTCTCCCATTTTAGGCTGCTAGTTTATTACATCATTAATCATGTACAAAAGTATTCTGCAGCACTAGTCTTATTTCAATTGTGAATTTTTTAATCAATTTTAAATCGTTTTTTTCTTTAGAAAAATACAACACTAATAACTTTTAAATTAAACGAATAAAAATGTAGATTTTGAAAAATTAAGCTGTAGAGCTGCAAATAAAATATAGCTTTTTAAAAAAAAATCTTAATTTCAGATTTAATTACTGAGATACTAAGACTTAAAATTGATTAAAGAATTGATAGATTAAAAGAAATAAACTTGTGACACAGGAAACTTTGTGTTAACTATTGTTCATATTTTTTTAATACTTTAATCTCAATAATATTTAATACTTTAATCGTTTAAATCTGTCTAAAAATTATAAATTTAAATTTTTATACTAAAGATTATGAGCTTATCTATAATATTTACTTGTGTGTAATATGATAAGCATGATCATGATACTATGTATAGTGTTTCTAAAAATTATAAAAAATATATCTATTAATTTTATTCAACTCTTAAAATATATTAAAAATGCTAATTTATGAAAAGCAAATTATATAATGTGTCAAGTTTGATCTTTTTTAGTTTGCTTTTTTTCAATATTCTTATTTTCATCATTCAATAGATAAGTATAATTCGTAAATTGCCAATTATGTATTATATGTATTTAAATATACAATATATATTTGCAATTATTATATATATTATATATAAATCTGCTCATTTTTTGGTACAATTACTAGTATGATGAATTGCATATTTCGATCGTATTTTCACTCCCTCCCCGAAATGCGCCTTTTTCTCTTAAACGCAAACGTGGGTAATGAATCAGTTTATACGTTTGTCTGTTGTTCCGTCCATCCGACTGCGAACAGAACGAAGGCTACCCCGCGAATGTAAGTCTGCTCATGCAAATAGCAGAGAGTAAGTTCAGATTTTATCAATCTATATCTTAGCACGCGCACATTACTCATCAAGGGGATAACTCTTAATCTATCTATCTCGTAACTAACCATTAACGTTGACCAACGGCGGTCCGAACATGTAGTGACCAGGATACATATACGGTTGTGGTACAGCTGGCATTACATGTGGCACGTGCATCGGCTCTTGCATCAGTAATGGATCTAGATAAGGATCGACCGTTGTTACGCCGTTCTCCAAATGTTGTTCCTCGAGGTGCAACTGCTCCAGAGGCTGTTCCTCCGCGAGCTGCTCCTTCGCAGTGTTCTGTTCCGTGATGTCAACCTCTTCGGCTTGTTCCTCAATTTCTTCGGCTACGCTGCCGCTACAGCTAGCGCTACCAGTGCCGCTCTCATTCCACATACTGTTGGAAGCTTCCGCTGTTACTGCCATACCGTTATGCTCTTCCACTATCGTGACCGGTTCTGTACTTTGATTAGTCTACAAAGAAATAGCCGACATTTGAAGATCAATACATAATCATCTATTCATGTCATAATCAAATGTCTAATCAAGTAAACGAGTTTAGGAGATAAAAATAAAATATTTACGTGATTATTAAAATTTTAATCGTATATAGTCGGTAGTAGAAGATAAATAAGTATATTATATATTTAATGGATAAAAGATTGGACAATTCACCTGATAGTCCATTAAGCAATATGGCTGATTGGCAAGTTTAGGCACAAAGGCAGGATTGATCCATTCGATCGGCCTCAGAGGGACTGGACCACATGGTACAGTTGCTAGAACACTTGGTCCAACTTGAGCAGGTACTGGTGCAGGTCCGACCAACATCACAGGGTATTCATAGTAGTAACCGCTCGCGTGATCGTAAAACGTTCCATATCCTAATTGCGCTCCTGGCTCTACCATGGGCGGATATTCTCCCGTTCCACTGTCCCTATCCAAGAGTTGTTGGTCTTCCGTCGTTTCACTGCCGTCTATAAAAATGTTGTCGTCTAATCGCATATTTATACATTTATCGATATAAAATAAATATACAAAATAAAATATCCAATAATAAAGTAGCGACTTTTAAAAAAATTTATATATAATATTTATGTATCTACATAATACCATCTTCTAACATATTTATTTTAAAATAATCTTTAATAATCTTTAATAATCAAGCAATTTATTTTGAGTTTTAGAGAGTTGTAAGCACTATAATAGATAATATAATATTAATTTAAATAAACTATGAATACAAAACATCAAGCTAACTTATCAGTATTTTAACACACACCTTTTTGCTTGATAATAATAATAATATTTCCAATCTCTACCTGCGGTGGAATGTGACGCCGATTGACTCTCCGTGGTCGACGGCGTAGCGCTGGTGCTCGCATTTCCGGTCCAGGGTTTCTTGCGGGAGAGGTAGCCCTTCTTGAAGAGAACGTCCTGCCGCGGCGTCGTGATCCTCGTGTATTCCTCCTCGTTGAAGATAATCTTGGGCTGCGACGGCGAGCCCGCGCTTTCGTCCCTGTGTGATCTCGAGCCGCTGCTCGCGTAGCCGCTCGTACTGCCGCCGCTGGTGCTGGTACCAGCTCGACGTGGTTTGTAACCACTCTGCTGTCCATTTCGTTCGAAGGTGTGCGTGTTCGTGTCCTTCTCCTGACTTTTCACATAGTCCTTTCGCAAACCCTCTTCCTCATCCTCCTCACCGGGTGGAGCTGTCAAAAAAAAAATGATGAATGTGAATTGCTGTATTTTTTATTTTTACATTTTAGAGTTAATTAAGTGTACTGAATAAAATTTGTTAACTTGACTAAACCTTTCAGCTAAATATTATTTTGTTAATTGAAAATATACATGGAGAGAATTTTCTCTAAAAATTATGGTAATCGTGGGACAATATGGTATTGGAAGAATTTTATGAGTTTCTTTGATTATATAATATTTACCACAATAAATAATATTAATATGTACATAGTAAAATTAATTGAATATGTTTAATATTTTATTATGATAGATATTAATATTTTTTATTGTGGTAAATATTAATCTAAAAAAAAAAAACTTGTAAAATTCTTCCAATATGATATTGTTCCACGATTTTCAGAGTAAATTCTAAGAGAAAATTCTCTGTGTATAAAATATTTAAATTAAATATAACATTAAATTTAACATTTAACGAAACGTATATTTGACTTAAATACTAATATAGGTTTAATTAACAAAATAGTAATTTAGTTGAAAGATTTAATCAAGTTAACCATTTTGTAGTGTGCAATAAATGCTAAATTAATGAGCGCTGCAAATGTATTTAGAGTTAATTGCTTCAGTTTCAGCGTTAATAATTTTTTAATTACGAGATAAATGTCTATAAGAAAGATGTCTAAATAAAATATCTTAATTTCTTTAACGAAGTTTAAATGTATTTTTCCCAGTTATTTTATCGCAATTCAAGCTTACGTATATATTTAGATCTCTTGGACTGCCAATACTTTTATATCAGAAGATATTCGCAGAAGTTAAATATAGATTCTAAGAAATCGAGGTAGACATCAGTCTACATATCATGCATTGATTAAATTATGATAATAGAAGTGATAGTATTTCTCTGAACATATGTTTGTAGAGCGCCAGTAGTATAAAATGATAAAACTGTTGAGTGTTTTTATCTTAAATATTATTCGTAAAATTGATCGTATCACATAGAAAAACATTTGTGTAATCGATTGTTCGATCAATATATATATATATATATATATATATATATATATATATATATATATATATATATACAATTCAAAGATGTTTCAATCAAGACAAAAATTGAAATCGTGTAACGCCAAACAATATATGCATGAATTATTGTGTTAAGTTATAATTTATTTTTCGAATTATTTTCATATAACAAAATTATGTGTGTAAAATAAATACTTGTAGATGATGGATAGAACAAATTTATAATTTCAAAATTATAGCGAATGTTTTGCATTTCATGTAGCTTTAGTTGTGCCACAGAAAGATGATATGTGATTGGGAATTATCTAATTGTAAAGCATGATAAAGGAAAACTGCATGTATTTGTTTCATTCTCTTCTTATTTTTCTTTAATTTAAAAATAATTAAATTAAAAATTTAATGTTTTTCTTATATATACGATGGCTCGATATATAAGACACGACGCGTTCTCCATGCTTATAGTTACATCAGGATACTGTGATCGTACCATCTTGGTACCTTGCTAAGAGCAATACATGATTCGAAGAGCCGATCACGTGGGTGATCCTCTTCTGTCGTCGCCACTGCATCGCACTCTTCCTCCACCTGGCTTTATCCTCGTCTCAAGCTCGTCCTGACTGATAGGCAAAAATGTCAAGGACGTCCCTCGAGCGGTTCAATTCTGGATGCTCGACATCCTCGCGAGGATAGATAAACCGATCAGACCGCGAGGATCGATAAAGGACGAAGGGTTGGTGATGAACGACGAAAACGTACGAATGCAAGATTAATCCACGGTACGCGATGCTCCGAGAGCGACTGCGATCGACACGGAGAAGGGGATGGTGGTGCACAGGCCGGATGAGATAAAGAGAGCGCGAGAAGAGGGGTGTATGTAGTAGTTGCCGAACGGACGCGTTTGCCCATTGGCTGCCTCCACCGGGGTACCAGAATAGCATTGGAATTAGAATAGAAAACGGCCGCGGAGGCTACCGAGAGCCGTGTCGTCGATCGGTACTCCGAGCACCGATGTCTTCGTTCGAAGATACGTTTATTACAGGGAGAATGTTTTATCTCTTCATGTCAAATCATATTTTACTATTTTATATATATTTTTATTATTTTTAAATAATTTCTATGTACGAAAATTAATTTAAAAATTTCTATAAAAAAATAATTGTGTAAGATGTCTGAGAAATTCTTTGAAAAAAAGAAAGAAATTTTTGAGAAATACATTTATTACAGAGAGACTATTTGATTTCTTCATGTCAAATTTCGATATTTTATTTGTTTTATATAATTTTATTATTTTAAAATAATTTTTATAAAAATTAATTTAAAAATTTCTATAAAAAAAGGAATTATGTAAGAGATGTCTGAGAAATTCCTAAGTAGCAAGTAATGTTTCAATATAAATAATTTTGAATGCAATTTTAATATAAAAAGTGTGCTTATCACATTTATTTCATCAAAATGATGAAAACATTAAGTCGATGTTATTATAAAAGATTTAGATTAAAAGAAAACTGCACGAAAGAAATATATTTATATATGTGATTTGGAAATAATCTAAAATTGCATTTCGAATAAATACACTTTGTGCATAATTATTGTAAGATTTATTACGTGGCTCATAAACTCTGAATTATCATTAAAACGTAAAATTTTTATCTTTGTTCATTTGCATATCTAATGTTCACTGTTTAAAATTCGAGAATTAATAATACTTATTGTTAGGTTAAAAATAATAGTTATTATTTGCTAGCTAATTTTTTAGAACGGCTAGAATTTTTTTCACTCGAACAGAAGGAGCACAAACGTCCATCAAATTCAATTATAGTACGATCACTAAATGATGTGCTAATCTTTGACAGCCAATGGAGATTTTGAAAGAAAATTAACATTATTGAAGTATAGATATATTATAATCGATGTATGTCAAAAATATCTCGCAATTCAATAACTATAATTTTTATTCATTTTATTATTATATTACTATTGTCGACTTAAAAAAAAATTATTTTTATTTCTAATTTTTTCTTTTATTGGTTTTTTTTTCATTAATGTGATCATCCTTCAGACAGCGTTGCAAGATATATTATAAATTAAGAGACTAGAAAAAGAGAGAATTAACTTGTCATATAGCTCTATGTAAAGTTTACTTCGATATAGAATTGGAATAACTCCATAATTTTTACAATATATTTTTCTCTATAAAATAATATTTTTCTTGTATAATTATTTGATCTTTATATGTAGAAAGACAAGAGATATATGTATTTATATGTTAAAAATATATTTAGAAATTTAATTATTTATTGCTAATGTGTATAAAAAATAGCGAATATGCATCACAGAAAAAAAAAAAAAAAAAAAAAAAATTTTTTACGTGTGAATTATTCGTTTGCAGTGGGAATTATTTTCCGAGAACGTATAAGATCGAGTGTCGTTTCAACGTGTGTAAATAACGGGACATATCGCGCATCGCACTCTTGTTCCAGATTATGGCCTTGCATTTCGAGTGAACCGTACATTAAAAACATCTAGATATTGCACGGGCGTACCTAGATGGTTCCATTGATCGCGGAAGCACATGCTAATGCAGCTGATATGCACACACCCCGTGCATATGTGTATCCGGATGCTCGAATATTCGCCGTACGAGTTGGAGAAAATGCACTCGATATTAATGACGCCAGTCAAGTGCACGCATTTGCATCCTGCAAATACGTTCGATCATAACATTGTGCATTAGCGGCGTAAAACATTGGTACATTGCGAAAAATCATCCTTGGCGTTGAAAATAATTTTTCCTTGAAAGCCGTTTTGTTACGCTAGCAATGCATGCAATTCGCATGTCATATATTGTTGGTTCGTATTTATGTTCGTTGAAAATTTCGTATCTTTTCATATTCGTATTTACATACGCGTATTTATGTCTAAAGAAAACTTTGCAGTACACGAAAATAATTTTCCAATAATATATTTAAATTAATGAGTCTTTAATATAGAGATATAAAATAAATGCTTAATATATTAATAAAAATTTTTAAAGTTATCTTTTTTATAGAATTAAATAGTTTTTATAAAATTGTATTTTATTCTGTACAGTTTTTATAAAAACAAATACAGAAATGCAAAAAATATATAATAAATTATATAAATAAATAATGAGAGGAAATTGGATAATTGAATAAATGGAAAATATATGAGGAATTATATATAAATAAAAAAAGTAAAAATAAATATTCAATCAATTAGCATACTAAAAATATTTGTATGCTAAATTATTAGTAATTGTAATAGATCGGAAAAAGAAAATGTACCTACAAGAAAAATTGATGGTATTTTTCAACTAACTAATCTTTGAGCGATCGAAATTAGAGTTATATGTTATCTGCTTATATGTAAATATATATTATATCAGAATTATGCAATCGCAATTTGTTGCACTGTTATGCGTTACTTATGATTATAAGGTATGCTAGGATTTATGAGTGTTGATTATATCCTGGGGCTGCGTTTATATTAGATTGCATTCAGGTTTCATTCTTAACTTCAAACGAGATATCGATCAAGCAACGTAATACGCAATTCACGTATTAAATGTATATTAATCATACTCGTTAAAAATAATGTATATTAATGTATATTAATTATTAATAATAATTTTTTATTAATAGTAAATGATGATTAGTAATATTTAATTAATTGACCTTAGCATGACTAAGATTGTATCAAAGATTGTATCAGATTATGTAATTCTTAGAAATCATTCATTCTCTCCTCTTATTAAATGTTACCTGAAACCGTTTTTTTGTAAGAAACAAAACTCTATTTAAATTACAATTACGAAATATCTAAAAATTACCGGAAGTTTTCTCAGTTACAGCTTCTTTGATTAATAATGTGGAATCAATTTTCGTGAATCTTTTTAGTGAAAATTCTTGATATATCGTTGTACATTCTTTTAATTTTTAACATTATGCATTTTTTTTTAATCTTGAAATATTGACTGAAGAATTTGTCAAATGTTTTCTATCTTGGGACTTTTGAAATTATTAGAAGTCTTTTATCTTCAATCATTAATTAATAAAAACATTGAAAACCATATATATATATATATATATATATATATATATATATATATATGTGTGCTTTAATATTTTCAATATTTTTAAGAAAAAAGGTCTTTTCAAAACTTAGTTAGGCCTGTAATAATAAGCATATACTCTTTTATTCTGTACTGAGAGTACTAAAGTTTTTGAATAAAAATTTATTTAAATTAGCATATTAAATAGTTCCAAGTATATTAAGTTATTTGTATGATAATGCAGTGTTTCATATAACCAACTCTCATCCTTCCATATGTTAAAATATGGAAAAAAATATTTCTAGACAGTTGAAATTTTAATATATTTTTAGTAATAATGATGGAATACTTTGTTTAAACAACGTGTTTTTAACTTCTTCTTATGTCTAATATCGGACAGAAATTAAAGCAAAAAATAGAACGATTGAAAGATATTACGTAACTTTATGTCACATGGCAATGAATACTACACAGAGAGAATTTTCTCTGAATTTACGCTGAAAAATGATAATCGTGGGACAATATGGTATTAGAAGAATTTTATAAGTTTCTCTTATTAATAATATTCATCACAATAAAAACATTAATAATTAATGTATGACAGTAAGATATAAAAAATGTTCAATTAATCTTACTATGTACATATATATTAATATTTTTTATTGTGGTAAATATTAATCAAAAAAACTCTTATAAAATTCTTCCAATATCACAATTACCATGATATTTTCAGGGTAAATTTCAAGAAAAAAATTCTCTCTGTGTACTAATATTTCTTCGCAAAAAAAGCTATGTATTTTTACACAGAATCAATGCAGGTGATTACATAATATATCCTATATATAAATAAACTTCCACTTTGAGAAAATCATAGAAATTTGTCATCTATTAAAAAAGATGAAAAAAATAAGCAGAAAAATCGGTATTTAGTCGCCACGCCCGCGTGTTTCCGGTTGTCGCGAGGCAAAACCGGAAACGAAGTTCTCGCGGCCGGTTCTGGGGAATCGTTTCGTTCGCCGGGTCGAAGTCGGAGTCTCCTCGCCGATCGCACGAATATAACGCATACTGATCGCGCACTATGCTCAGGTGGATGAGGAGCCGCGGATCCTCTGGTCACCTCGGCGGCACTGCGCGGTCGTCGATGTGCATCGTACACCACGCGCTCCGCTTCGATTTTCCACGACCGTCTGCGACTGTGCAACGTGAACGATTTTGCACCATTATCCGCTTTCCCACCACCTACAGAGTATGCTCGCTCGGGAGCAGAAGCGAGTTTGTCTTTCCCCATTCCTCATAAATTTCTCAAACAGAGATTTATATCTCGCATTTAAATATGATATCTTCCTTTTTCTAATCATTTTCACACTTGCCACCCTTCAAATATCATATTTCTATCGCGATATGCGAGTAATATCATTAAATGTATATATAATGAGTAAATAAAAATAGCACACTGTAAAATTACATAAATAATAATTGTAAAATTTTATAATTATTATTGATATATAATACCTTCTTCTTTATACCGTTGAAATATCATATTTTTATTGCGATATGCGAATAATCTAATTAAATATATATACATATATATAATAAGTAAATTAAAATAGTACACTGTAAAAAATATGTAAAATTACACATAAATTATAATTGTAAAATTTTACAATTATTATTGATGTAATTTTATGTACGATTTTTTTAAAGTGAGTTATTACCGTGAAGATAAGCGAGTAATTAACTAATATAAACTTTAACAAAACTCGATATAATTTATGTCAAATGATAAATTAACAAAATTATAAATTGCCTATCTCATGTTTGTTCCATCCATCGTCCGATGATTTCTCGGATTGTCGCCTTTCTCTCTTGTTTATCTTTTGCGGCTTCATAGCATTTAGATATCAAATCTCGCGAAAACATGATTAGTTACGATCGCACGCATTATTAATCACGGGAATACGATGATGGCACGACACACTTTCCATAACACACTGTTGACATTAATTGCGCACGACGCGCACTTCATTTTGCCAGGAGGAGAACTCGCAAATTTATGTGCACTCGATTCTCGAAAATCGTTTCTGTTTCACTTGAGAAAGAATAACGCGATGATACAACATGGAATGGCTGTTCAGTTTTATTCTCGACACGTAAATGACAACAAGAGGACTAAAACACAAAAGTACAGAGCGCTATTATTTGTACGTGGTGGTGGTTTGTTTTGTTGTCAAACTCGCAACGATGAAACTCGAGAACAGAAGCCATTCTGTGTCATATTATTTTTCGAAATACGCGACATTCTCCACGATTATTACAATTAATTTTAAAGGGAGATAGTCAAAGTTGTATTTACACATAACATTTAAAATACGTGTGCTTATGTATGTGTATTCGTTGCCAAGGGAGATAAAGCATTGTGTGAATTCGATCGCATGCTTTTCCATTAGAGGATCGTAACTTTGTGTGTTTTCGCGATTTCGTTGGATTTTCGAATTCTCTCCTATCGTAATATTTTTACGTCAAATCAAGCGCGCATTGTATTAAAGGCGAGAAAATATATGTGCAATCGTCACATTCCGATGATTAATGAGCGCACACGATCGATAATTAATTATTTTTTTACGAGTATAAATGTCCTATTAATGCTATGAAGATGTAATAAAGAATAAACAAAAAAGAAGGAAAAAACTCAAGAGGGCATGGCATAGCGATTAATTTTATTTCATTTATTACCTGTCATTTACAAACTTTAATCGTCTATCCATGAGATACATGTATATAGTATTAGTGTGATTGCATATATTTTTCCTACGAGAATAATCTTGAGAAATTTAATTCGGATAATATAGCATAATTAAATGTTAATTTATTTAATCTTGAATTTATTGTTCACAAAATAAGTTTATAAAATAATCGAAAACATTCCAACGTCTATACATTATAAAAATAAATTACGTATATTATTATAATTAATTTTTTATTTTTAAAATGCTTCTCAAAATTTTTACTCTTGAAATATGTTAGTAATGAATCATTTTAATTACTCATCGTAAATTTAAAAAAATCACAAAGTATGAAGACTTGTCATACAAGGATAAAGTAATACTTTAAAAAGAATTAATTGCTCTTCTAATTTTTGCATTAAATATTTTTTATTACTTTATTTTTATATGTCTTTCCATTTGCTGAATTATTGACTTCTTCATTACTTTAGTGTTATATGGTTCCATATTGATAAATTTACAAAAAAAATTAATATTTTAAGATACATGTACTTTTAACTATTAATTCTAATATATTGTTTTCATGCTTATGGTTCGCTATAAATGTTTTTCGAAAATATAGCGGTGCTAATATAACGTTAAATCAACATTTCCATCTTGAATATGAATTTTCTGTAAATTGATAGAAATAACATATTCGAGATATTAGAACACAAATTGGCGTTTTATTCTGGTATTTGATTTCTAGTACAGTAATGAAAATGTCAAATTAATGGTAGAGATTCCGAATGAATTCGGTACGAGAAACTAGACTCAATTTACAGAAGGTGCACGTCTGTCATTTCGACAGCGGTCGTAAAACGAAACGGTCGAGGCTTCGTGAATGATGAAATGGCGGACGCACTTTGCTCCTCGCGTGGCAGGTTGAGGTGCTTGACGAATGATACCTCACGAAACAAAATTATTTGGAACGTCGGACTGTTATAGAACAGCGGCCTAGGCACTTTGTCAAAAACATGGGACAGAGAATATCGCGCTCTAACGCGATTCGATTCCTGTGAGAATATCTACTATATTTTATCTTTTCCAGCAGACTCAATGGAAAAAATTCCCTGACCTTTCCAGATTTTCCAAGACAAGAAATTTATTTTTTCCCTGACTTTTTAGTATTATTTTTTTCAAATATATATAGTTTGTATATATCTATATGATAAATCTATTAAATGTTAAATCATGAAATCCTTGAAATATTTTTGTTAACAATGAAAAGGTTTAGAAGTTAAAAAAAATTTTAATTAATTACAATCTGCATTATGTATGATAATCGAAACAAACGTGTCACTATGAACTATTTAAATGATCACCTTTTTTATTTATATATTATATCAAATTTTTTAAAAATATATTTTAACAAATTATAATACATATATTTTAATATATTTAATGGTATCTAATATCACAACAAAACTTTTAAATAAAATATTTTTAATAAAATTATGTACCTACTAATGTGTTCATTTTTAATAAAAAAGTGAATTAAAATAAAGTTCTTGAACAATGTTATAATATATTTTAAAATATATAAATGTGAAATAAAAATTGAAATAAAATAACACGATGATGAAAATATAAATTAACGAATACGTTGTATAGATGTACTGCTTTTTAACAACACAGAAAATTAGCGTACCGAGAGTCAAGGAAAAGTTATATTTATTTAATAAAAAAATTTCAAATTATTGAGACAGATGTAGAATAATGTGAAAAAATCTAGATAAATAGTAAAATTTTCTGACTTTTCCCTGACAATTCTAGGTTTATAAAATTAATGAATTCCCTTATCTCTCGATCTTTCAATCTTTATAAATTTATAAAATTCCCTGACAATATCCAGAGTAGTTTTCTAGATTTCCCTAGCCGATAAACACCCTGTTTTCGATTTTTTTTGTACACCGTCTGAATATCTGCTGAAAAGATATGTCTGTACATCTTTGAGCACAGCGCGCGGAAATAATATACGACCTGGTTATTTAACTAGTTATCACATTTCGAAGTGCGAGGTGTAACGCGAACAAAGTTCTTCGAACTGATATAGGACTTTGTCTTGAAAACTTTATGATGTACTATCTCGGCCGGTAGATCTATTTAAAAGATGCAATCAAATATGTTTTATTATATTATGCGGGCAAAGTCTTTTAATACAAATAATATTTGATTAGATACTACTTAATCATTATATGAGTCTTAATTAAATCGCATTAACAATAATATATTAGTATATATATTTAATTTTTATAAAAGATAAAAAAGTAAATTTATTTATGCACTTGCTGTATTAATATAATAATACACTCAGCAAATTTAGTCGTTAATAAACGCTGCGATTTATCAAATTATTAATTCAATGTATATGTAAAATAAAAGTATTATATATTCACAGACATAAAAGACACAAAAGAAAAAGCATGATAATTATGCACAAAAAAATCAATATTAACTGTTGCCCATCTTTTAAGAAATTCAAATACATATATAGCACACAGATGGTTTTTGTAACATCTTGTAACTTGATCTTTAATCTTCAGACATGTGGCAACCACAAAAAATATGTTGTGACAATCTTTGGTAATGTCTATTAAACACATTGAGTTTCAAATTATAATTTTTTATTATTTTCTTAAGAGTTACGTAAATGATTAGTGAAGGAAATATGATATCTTTTAATGTGTGTGTGTAAAAAAACGGTGCTTCTCATTTGAGAAAATCAACATAAGAAATAGTCAAAATAAAAAAAGTTATACTAATAAAACTAAATTCTTTTAAACTATCACATTCTAGTTTAGAATAAATAATTCATATAATGCCAAAAATATTAAAATATATATGAAATCTATTATATGTATAATATCATAAACTATTATATACATAAAAATACATTATATAATTAATCATTATATAATATATAATTTATTTATTTCAATGATTAAAATCCTCATAATTTTGTGAGTAGTTTATTATCTGTGCGTGATATTTTTTTCCATTTTTTAGAACACGTATAGAAAAAAAGGTTTTTAAATATTAAAGTAGACCGATAATTATCAAATGAACTTCAAGGTTAATAATATAGGAATACTTGTCTTTTAAAATATCCTTGATCGATATAGCAAATAATATTGTACATATAAAATGATTATAAGTTAATTTTTGGCAAATATGAATTATTGTTTAATGGACTACACCTATAAAGCTAAAACTAGTCTGTTTTTGACAAAACATTAACATTGAAAAAGTCAGCTCGAGGGCTGTGTTCTCTTATTAAAAATTATTAAAAATATTATTAAAAATTTAAATTAGTTATATTATGAGAATAACTGTCAACATGTAGCGTTAATAATATACTTTTAAATCAAATCGAT